ACCCACATATGTAGTATCTAGTAAAGAAAATGAAGAGTAAGTCAAGCCTAAATGTAATGAAACATATCCACAAGCATAACATAACATACAAGCATATTTATACAAGAGATGATAAACCAAAGAAACACTCAACAAAACGAAACCACAACATCATCTATACCTACATTCCCAACCCCTTCCAAATCCCCTCTGCTAAGAAAATCACCAAAGCCTATTCTCAGGCAAGACCTTCTCCTTCCTAACACCAGCAGCCGACTTCCTCTCCACCGGCGACCTAAAGAACAAACTAGGACCCTCCATCGGCTTCAACAAATGACTGAGGTACCCCCTATGCGCGGGATCCCTATAATACTCAATATCCCTTCTCTTAGTCGGATCAGGCAACCTATACGAATACCCCATCTCCTTCATAACCTTCGACTCAGTCAGGGCTTCCCCATCCTCCGCCACGGCCAACGCCTCACTCCCACTCTCCTTCGTCCAAGCCAAGGAGACAAACGGATGCATCTCGCGCTTCATGATCCTCGCAATAGCAGACTTGGTATAGAATCTCGTCGTGACGGATCCACCCGCCGCCTCGACAGCCGCGATCGCAGGCGCAGACGCCCTCGACACAACGATGTGAATCGGCTGCTTGAGCACACTGTCGACGGGGACCTCGTGGTCATCCTTCTCCACGCCCCGGCCGAGAAGCTTCACGCCCTCTTTGGTCTGGTGGATGCAGCGGGATTGGGCGAGTTCGCGGACCGTGATCGGGCGGGTTGGGTCGATGCGGCCTTGGTCGATCCAGGATTGGATTCGGTCGAGGTTCACGGGGGCGAGGTCGATTGAATGCCTGTACCATTATTATTCTCATTAGCATACATCCATACATACATCCATTTATTCTTTTGTTGTTTCACCTCCATCAAACTCGACAATGGGGGAGGATGAAGAGTAAACGTACACATTATTGAACCCCCTCTCACCATGCACCACAATCTCAGGCGTCTGACCACCATTAAACGCAGCGGGAACTTTACCATGCTGCTTTTGACCCTTGTGACCTCTTCCGGACGTTTTACCCTTTCCGGAGGCAGGACCCCGACCTCTTCTGATGCGCTTGTTGTAGGCGCCCTGCGTATCGGAGAGCGAGGCGAGGATGTGCGCGTTCCGGCTTTGTTGGTGGATAGGAATAGCTGCTTGGGGGAGGAGGAAGGCGGAGAGGAGGTTCGTTGTTGTAGTGGCCATTGGCCGCTGCCATTGGAAGGGCAGCAATTGGAGCCGGGGTGGCATGGTGCGGTGCTGTTGCTTGTGATGGGGTGGTGTTGATGGTTTGAGGTTTCTTCCGCGGACAAAGATCTTTCGTTTTCCGGGAGTGAGAGAGGGTTGGGGTTGATGCCTGAGGTGTGGATGGGATGGGTCGGTCGGGTCGGAGCGGAGGATTGGTCGGGCCGGGACTTTAGTATTTACTTACTACTACAGTATAGTACGCAACGGGTATTACGGTAGGTATTGTTTTGTTTGTAGGGGAAAATGAGATGTAATAAGTGAGTGACTTCTGGTGTAGGGTTCTTCTGTGTATGTGTGGTTTATGGAGATATGTCTGGTTTGGAGACTGATGGTTAGTATTTCTTTGGTTATTTAACTTAAGATCTGTCGAGTACATCTCACCGCTCGATTTGTCCGTAAGAATTTATTACCTGGAAGCGGTGAAAGCAAGAAGTCACCTTTAAAATCAACAATCTACTAGATGTCTACTACTGAGCAAAGGTATGTGTTGTGTAAGTTTTATATATTGAATATATTGAGCAGGCTTAGCCCGCTAGATCGATCTGCGATCGATCTGTAATGCAATGCAAGTAGACGTCAGTGTTAACGTACAGATACCACGCCATACCCATGCTTCGATAAATCAATCAGAATCCCTCCCATGGCCAAGTATGCAAACATATCCTTCCCAGTACAAAGGCCATCTATAAATGCAAACGCCGTCATAATGCTAGGTCATAACACAGAGTGAAGAAAGTTTTGTACAGTATACACAAGGGGGCAAACATGAACGACAAGTGTGCGAGACAAGCAAAGGAGAGAAAAGAATGCAAGCTTCTTCTCGTAAATCGTCGTAAAATCTAGTCGTAAAAAGTGTCTTTCGATAATGGCAAGTCATCTAATAGTTTGGGGTGGTGTGGAAGATCGGTTGCGGGAAGTGTCCATGCGGCCAAGCCTCAGGGTGCGAATATGGCAGCAAGCCCGTCTTCCGCTCAGACTTGCCAAGCGGCTGGTAGTGCATGTGCTCAAACGGGATGCGCTGCTGCTGCATAGACGTCGACGGAGGTGGGATCAACAACGTATTGACACTGCGAACCGGTCGGTAAGGCGAGTTTCGGTTTGCCAGGAAGAAGGTAGGAGAAAGGTGGTTTTGAGGAGTGTGAACGGAGTATGCAGAAACTGCGGGCGAGATTGTGCCCGATGTCATTGCAAACGGGCTGTTGTGGTGTCTGCTGGGGTCGGGCAGTGAGATGGATGTGTTGTACATTCCGTTGGCTACAGGTCCAACGGCAGTAGTAGGAACCGACGTCACAGGTGGCATCTGCGGAACCCAGTTCGCAGAAGGGTTGTAGACCGGGGGCATGACTCGACCGGAGGGGTTAAGTTGAGACAACGCCGGCATGGTAGGGGGAAGGCTGTGAGATGGGAAGTTCGGACGGGGGAGTCGCGAGACCGGTTCGGACATAGCCGGAAGGTGAGGGGGAACACCGGAGGAAGCCATAACCGGAGGCAAGGCCGGGATGCTTGTGAGAGCTGATGATGGGGGAAGTGACGGCATTGAGGTGAGCATGTTGTTTGGCATGGCTGTTCTCTTCGCTGGTGGCTCCTCCAGTGGCTCCTCACGGGACCGCTTCCGAGAGCTGGTGGCCGGTGGCAAGTCGCTCGGGAGCTGAGGTGCGCCAGTGTATGGCACGGCATTCATGGGAATAGCCCAGGGCTGCGAACGGAGAGGATCGGATGCGGGAGGCGATGGCAACTTTGTCGAAGGTGACGGCAACTGTGCCCGAGGAGACGGCCCCAAAGTGGGAGACACATTGAGAACTGGCGGAGTAGGGTGTTTCTCGTTCTTTTCGGAGGCTCGAGGTGCCTTGTTGAAGTAGTCCGTGAAAAGCCCGAGTTTGACGTGCCACTCATTCCATTCCTCTTTGGACACGAACAGGTTATAGCGAATGTTGCTGAGGAACTCCACCTCCATGATGTGGATTTCTTGGACTGTGATCCCGGAGACCTCTGCCCATGTCTTGTTGGTGTATGTGTTATCGTCGAGGACTAGACTCTGTCAGTTCTGTCCATAACCATTTCACGAGGGAGTGACATACATTTGTTGCCCAGCATGAGGGCAATGGTCATCAGCCGATACTCACTGCCTTTCTTTCCCCGCACACCCGGGTTGAACTTCTTCAACCGGTAGACGAAGAGCAGTGCCAATAAGATGACATTCTGGCTGACCTGCGTAGTTGACAAGATGTTTGTCACCCACTTTTGGAACGCAACAGCGGGAACTGCTTCTGGTGCAAGCGATGTGGTCGGGCTGAGGCGGTCCTCCACGGCCTTCAGTTTCGCGGTACTTTCGAACCAGAAAAGGCACGTCATCTACTGCCCAGTCAGCATCTTAGATCCAAGATGGATAGAAGAACCCAGCTTACCTGTGCTGCAAATTCAGCCAGGCTGCCTTTGCTATTGCTGATAGACGAAGGAATCTGGAGATACGACGCAACACCATTGGAGCTGGTTTTCTTCTGAGACTCTCGTTCGGAGGTCATGGTATCCTTGACCGGCGCTTGGTATTTCGGCTGGGACGAAGAGACCGCCCCGTTCGATACATCGGAGGACATGCGCGTATAATCAGACACCTTGGAATAGGGTGGAAGCTGATATCCATCAAGCTTGCCGCCATAGGAAGACGCCGGCAGAGCGCTGCAAGCGGTGACGCTATTCATGTCGTTCGGAGGGGTAGGTAGACCGTCCCTGAAGGGAGCAGTCCAGGTATAATCGGGAACTTCTGAAATAGCCTCAAGAGGTCGTTTCCTTGCGCTGAGCGAGCCTTCAGTCCGCGAGGAAGGAGCTATAGTAGGAGTGATCGGGTGGAGGGCGGGGAGATACGGCTTCGTTGAGAGGATCGGGAGAGACATATGGGTGGTATTTAAGGATGGCGTCAGGATTGAAGCAGTTGGATCGAGGATGGAGATGTAAAGGTAACACCCTTGTCAGAGAGCTCGCATTGGACTAGCTCTTAACCAAGTTGGTGTTATTCTTGAGTCGGGTGTTATTAAACACCGGGAACTTCCCAGATCTTCAAATTTCGGGCGTGGTATGCGGCGGTTTGTTGCGACAAGTCGAGACGATGGAAGCAACACACACGAGGTCAAACGAGGAAATCGCCGACAAAAGAATTGGGGTTCCAAGGGAATATCAGCCTGGCTGCGGGGGAGGAGTTGGTAGGATAGCAACAGCAGCGGATCCGGTGAATGCTGCTTTCCCAGATGGAATGAAGGCACCTAAGGGGGTGGGAATAATGGAAGCAGGGACCAAGAAAATAGGATAAAAAAGGATTATCACATAGTAAGTATATTAAAAGTCAACGAAGTGTAGGAAGGGTCGTAGTAGTTATAGAAAGTAGGTAGTAGTGACAGAAGAATGGATGATGAGGTTCTGGGTATAGATTGCAATAACTTAGGTTGCAAGTACAACCAGTTATAAAAAGGTATTATATCTCAGGTAATTCAAAGGGCAATTGAGACGATCATAAAGGAAAGTCAAGAGAGTTAATTTAGAACCAAAAAGGAAATCAAAAAAGAAAAGAAATTGAAGATGGAAATGAAATAAATAAAAAAGGCCTTGGATGGATAGAGAGGCCATAGAGGAGACGGAATCAATTGAATAAGGCCGAATAATGAAAATAAAAATAAAAATCAGGAAATTAATAAAAAAATAAAATAAAATAAAAAAGTAAAAGAAAGGTACTAATAATGAAGGATGAAGTCAAGACATCATCCTCCATCCAGCAAATGGCTAATCATCTTCAGAGCAACTCCGCTAGAGGAGCCAGGGTAGGCTAGTTCTCGTCCGGAGAAAGTGCTGTGCCCATACAGGATAGACAGAGTTTGACCCGGACGCAGGTCCAGAGGGTTGATCCTCCTTTCTGGCCTCGTTTGGGTCGGTTCCGGTTTGGCTGCCCGGGTTTGATTGTCTCTGCTTTGTCTTGAAGAGAATGAAATACCGGTTGATGTCAGAGCCACGGGGGGGGGGGGAACAAAGTGGATGCATGCTACGGAGTAGTGGAAGGGTAACAAGGTCAGCAGCCCTAGTCCAGATCCAGCGTTAGGTTCTAGTGTCTATAGGTCATTTTACTGGTCCAGGGAGGGAGAGAGGGGGGGCTTTTTTTTTTCGCCTTTGGGAGAGTACTAGAGAGAGTACTAAGAGAGGGGGGAGCAAAAAGGAAGAGGGGTGGAAATTCGGACAGCACCTCGCGCGGTCTTGGAATAATACGTGCCTGCTAACTCCGTAAGACCCATATCAGATCCAATAATAAGTCGGGTTTAGCGTCGCATTGCAACCGTCGTGGTGTGCCGCCCAGATTGGTCTTGCTTTTGGTTTATTTTCTTTTTTTTTTTTTTTTTTTCCTTTTCCTATTTTTGCTTTTTATTTCCACTTTCCTCACCCTGATTAGCTACTCACACCTGAGCATACTTAGTGTTTACTTATGCGTCTCCCGTTGCAGTTGGTCTTTCTATTCTAACTAAAACGGATCAAGATGCAGTAATCATCCTGAAAGCCACAAGAGGTCCTTACAACTACTACTATTACTATAGCAAAAAGCACCGACCGTAAAAGAAATAAAATAAATAAATAGGCAGAAGTGAAAATGTATTATCTCATGGAACATCAAATAAACCAAACACAAAACAAGATACCCACCCCCGAAGAAAAAAAATAAATAATGATGAAGATGATGATGAAATGAAATAGGAAGGAAGAATTAGGAAACGGAAAAGGGTAAAGATATCTTACACCAAGGGAGAAGGGGTGGGCATTGCTCAGCAGCCCCCGGGAGGCACGGGAGAGAGAGTGGACGAAGGGAGGTTTGTGCACTCTGAATGTGGTTGATCGCCAGTTCTAGTTCAACCAGGCGGAAGGCAAAGGAATGAAAACTTTCGGTACGGAATCGAACACTGCCTTCTGGTTGCTGCGTAATAATCAAACAATTCATACGGCATCCTTCCCGAAAAGCGTTAGCGTGGCCCCTTCACCTCATTAAAGTGCGCAGCAACTTGAGCTGGGGACAGGCAGGAGAAGGGAGGGGAGGGCAGAGCAAAGAGGAGAGAGGGCAGGCGGGGAGCATGGAATTATGGATCGCTGCGTACGGCAGCCGTAAGAGGGTCACGGTGGCTAAAACAGTTCTAGTTAGTCCGTGGTTGGTACTGGAGGTTGGTGGTCACTAAGGCGAGGCTTGCTTAGATCGGAGACTGGAGCATCCGCGAGGTGGTCAGTCACTTACTTAGTAAGGCGCCAGGCAAAACGCAGAAAAAGTCAAACGTTCAGTTGCCGGCAAGGCGGTGCTTACCTAGTGAGGTAGTGATGGCAAGGATAGTTACTCTGCAAAGGAAGTCTGGTACCGGGTTCAGCTGTGGGTGGCTCGGGTTGTCATGGGCAAAATGAAGTAAGTTATGTGCCAGACGTACGTAGTACGTACTTCCTTACAAAACAACACTCGCACCAGTCTCACTCACTCACTCACTTTACTTACCTCGCCCGTGTCAAGTATGGAACGGGTCCGAATAGATTGGGAGGTATGAGAACAGACTGAGTGGTTGGGCAGTCTGGTTGCAACTAAACTCGAAGTGGATTAACCCCTCCGACCCAGACAGGTAAGAGTTGCTCCGACGTATCGGTATTACCGATATAGTGTTTCTCCGTCGAGAGCACACACACACACACACGCATCACACACGCCCATCATCACCACTAACTACCCGGTCCATTTTGGACAATTTTGGGAAAACTTTAGCATAGGACGATATGTTAGTCTGGCCGTTTATCCACTCGCTGTGTAATGAGGGGGCCAAGGCAAGATGTTGCGTATCCATCATGTAGGCATGTAAGGCATGTGTGAGTACGAGAATTGGATGGATAAGCTGCACACAACGATCCAGAGAGGCGTAATGAACTGAGAGACCAATCATCGGAGGAGAAGCAAATGGCCGGGCTCCATCGATCTGTAAACACACAGCCAATCGCTGTGGACCTGAGCCTTTTCCACTCTGAATGGTTTGAGCCTGGAGAACTGGAGAACAAGGTGCTCAAGAAGCCACCCACCCACACACTACCCCCGTACCTTAGGCAGAGAGCCGGGAGGGCAGCTGAGACTGAGAAGGGAGCCACTCGCTAGGTACCACTAAGTTGGGCTCGGCACCACCAGAAGCAAGACGACGCGCCCCCCTTGTGACTTGACTTGTTGACTGCCAGGCCTGTTCTCTTTTCCCAAAGATCCTTCCAGTTAGTACTAGCGGGCATATGCGATAGTTGTAATGGAATAATGAATAGGTAATGGTGGATGACCGCGGGGCCAACCCGAAGTCTCCTGCGACTCACTTGCTGCGGACAGTGCCACATAGTAACATACCATACCCTATCCACCGCCCCTCGGGCGATGGATGAGGTGAGTAGTCCGTCGTCGTAGTGGTGGTGGTAGTATTCTAGTGAGAGTCATGACCACTTTTACCAGAAGGTTGTAGTAAATATCCACATGCAGACACCACCCGTCCAATCCGCGAGAGGGCACCACCAACTCTCGCCTGCGCCTTTTCCAGGTTCCTCTAACCCCCTTCTCTGCCGTCATACTCCGCCCGGCCGTAATGTTCCGTGTATGGACCGAACCATGAAATTGGGCGCACCGTTTCTGTGTCCTTCTACGAGCCCAGAAAAGTACTCCCTTTTACCGTAGTAACTTAGTCTCCAGCAATGAAATCCGATCTGGCCCATTCGTTGTTTCCGCCACCGGTTTGCAGCCACTGCGATGACTCGGTTTCGAGATGATAGGGCGCCGCTTGCTGGTCATTCCCGGCAGGCCAAAAAATAAAATAAACTTAAATATAACCAAAATACAAAAGTGTAAAAAAAAAAAAAAAAGGAGAACCCACCCATTTGGCCAAGGACCCATGCAGGCGCAGGCGGCTGTTGATTTGGCTTTCTTTTCTTTTCTGTACATCCTGTCAGCTGCTCGTGTACGTCCTTTATTATTGTCATTGACTTTTGCCGAAAGGAGGAACCCTATCATCCATGGTTTGATATCACCCACATTTGCGCAGATATCCGCGGCAGTAGTCCTGAAACTAACAATGGAGGGGGGTGCGCCGCTTGATCCAAGACAACATTCACACCATCCATCTTACCACTCCAGGGTCCCCTAGCATTGGTGAAGGACGCTAAAGTCCCTCCTTTGGTGGTCTCCAGGCCAGGAGAGCAAAATGAAGTAATAAAAAAAATACACTACCACTGCCGAGTAGTGCCAAACTACTACTTACTATTATTCACTGATGAAGACTTGCCATACCGTGGCTCGATGCAAACAAGGGGAAGAATGAAAAGGAGAAAAGTCCCTTGTAACACCGGCCGGTCGCACTTCCGATCACACTCTTTAGTGTATTATTCTTGCAAGTTGCGTCAATCAATATTATGTTCCGCAAATGGTACGAAGTATGCAGAGACCAGAGTGGGATGGTCGGGGCGAGAAGACAGGATGGAGTCCGACATTGGAGAAGTGCTGTATTATGGTTGGGACCATCATGGGGTGATTATGGAACTACTAGTGGCGACCAGGACAAGAGCGCTCTCTTCCTTCGTCCGACTTGTTGGCTGGCCATGGGTCGCGAAAACGCGCCATTGCTTCGAATCATTCCTGCCCGGCACGCGCTTCGAGTATAATTAGTAGTATTATTGACATTGATTATGATTTCATATACCTCGTACCGCCCGATGATCAGTAATAGTTGGCGGCTGAGTATTAATCTGTGTCTCATCTTGGGCCACTTCCGGACGCGTCTCGTTTCTGCGTTCGGGGCGGCGAGCTGACTTCGGGGTCTGATTGTCGACCGATGGCCCTCGAACTTTAGCTAGCTAGTAGCCTTGTGCGCGACGATTATCAAAGAGTCAAATCACGGAGGCTTTCCTATTCTTTACCTCGAACCCGAACAGGTTGGGGAATGACCATCCATATCGTTTGTCGCTAGCGTAACGATCGTTTCCTCTCCCTGTGTGAAGTAAGTGACTCTAGTTAGTTCCTTAGCAGGTGCTGCACCGTCGGAGGACTTCCCTCCCTGTCCCTAGACTGCCGTAGTAGTGTCCTTTTTTTCTTTTCTTTTACCCTTTCTCCATATCCACACACCCTATGCACGTACTACTAAAGTTCAGGGGAGGGGGGAAGAGTAATCCAAATCCAAATCTGATAGTTCAAGCATGGCGTTGAGAGAGTGCAAGGCCACAGGAGCAGATCAACTGAGTTGATTGATGGGGATGCGCATCCAGTCCAGCAGGCTCCAAAGGCCTCTCTCATTCGCTCGGTCATCCAAGTGCGGCTAATGATCAACCCCCGCCGCCCCTTGGAAAGACTGGGACTGGAAAGGAAACGAGCAGAAACCAGACCTCTCCAATCTCCATCCGCCGAGATTCAGAGGGAAAAGAACCGAACGTGTCCCGAGTTGTATGACAATCTCATCCCAGGAAAGGTGACAAAAAAGGGAAATGGCAACAGGCGCATTTCCTTTTTGTTGGAATTAATGGGACGTGAATCCCTGTCTAGGATTGGAGAAACACTATGGTGGTGTCTTGGACGGACTTTGATCTGATCATCAGTCCCAGAGTACTACTGTGTACCAGACTTACTTGACAATACGGTGGCCATCGGTTACTATCCATAGGTACCCTGCAGATGGGCTTGATATATGCCTTGCAAAGGAAGGATTCGTGCGTAATTAATGTTTGGCACCACAATATGCTCAAAAGGCCCGGGCAATGATAGTGCTTCGTCGGGCGAAATCCGCCTGGGATTATGGATTGATTGGCATTGTTGCGGAGCTCGTCCATACTTGTCGCTATAATTTTACCGAATCATATCGACTGCGTTCCATACTTCAATAATATAATGATGAGCGAGTCTTTTGACAGCGCTCCATCTGCTACCGATCGGGAGCTGATGAATAGTTTGGTTGATTCGTATTTCCCATTGATACCTGCAAGCAGAGCGGTTAGTTGTCCCCAGTCACATCATTTCACCATCATCTCTAAAACCACCACGACAATGCCAACTGGGGATCGACCGCAGATGAATTTGCGGGCGGAATCAGATGATGCTCCATAGGTTGGATGGAATCTTGATGACGACTCAAACCAACGTAGGTGGAAATTGGCGAAGATTTGGAAAGAAAGGGAAAAAGCAACTGGAAACTGCACGCCACTCAATGCCGTTAATGAAAAAGTGAAAGACTGATAACGTCTGGTCGCGGTGTATGTGGAGTGGTATCTACAATAGGGTGCTGTTTGGGTTTCGTATGGAGAATCGGAATAATCCCAAATAGTAAGTAGTCACTTTAGTAGTAGCATATTGTGTAGAACCCCTGATCTTTTCCCTTTGGCGCTTCTTGCACTTTTCCTGCCTTTTCGGGGTGGGTTTTCTAGGTTCCTTCTTCAACCTTCTTTTCCGAAAATAGTCGGTCAAGTCCGCGTCGCCTTAAGAAAGCACCGTAGGTAGTGATAGCTCCATAGGAAACCTCAACAAATGCATGGACGCCTCTCTGCACTTGCATATGAAAGTATGCCGCTCTGCATTCCAATTGGTATCACAGCCACTAGTTAGAAGTCTGGATAATCGCGGGTTATTCATTTGAGATGGGGGGGAAGAAGGGGGGGGGGGGAAAGATGGGTGAACCATCGAATCAGAGCGCCCGAGTGTACATGCTCTTGGTCTGTGTTCCTTTATTTTTGCAGCCTGGCTTTCTGGGTCATCACGACTCAAGCGCGATACGGTGTAACAAATAAACAGAGTGGGTTTTTGGTGTTCCAGAACTTCCGGCAGAAAAGGTGATGATGGGCTGGATGACGGTGTTGGAATTGGTTGTGGCTATTTCTGAGCTGGGAAATAAGTGGCACGCACGCTCCACTTGGATTTGATCAGTGCAAAAAAAAAAAGAGTAACTAGACTACTTTTGTACGTAGATACTGACTGTCTCTCCTCTCTCTCTCCATCCCATACTCGATTAGTCCACCAACCCCGACCTTAACTTACTACTCACTAATGAAGATGACTCCGGCCCCCTTCGCTTTTTCAGTCTCAAACCTTCAAGGTCCATCCGGCATCCAGAATCCAGATGCGAAAACTGGGGCTGGTGGGAATCCTTGGGTCGTTTTGTCACCCGAGCACTCGGGCGCAGCGACGGGCACAGGCAACTAATTGTGCTAAACGAACAAACGGGGGTAGTTGACGCGGCGATCGAAACTTGAGAGTGATGCCATACTGGGTAAAAGAAAAGTCTCCAGCCTTCAATAATGAAGCCCCATAGTTAGTTATACGCTGCTCTTGGAGGATCTGACATAACTCGGGTAAACTGGTGGACTTGGACTTCCAGACTACCGTGTTCAGTATTCACAGTATCCACTGAACTTCTTGGTCATTGCTCGGAAATAGTCGATGACTATGGAGCTGCTGCTCAAATATAGTCCCTTCGTAAGCCAAACAGTAATATGCCAGAGTTAGGAAGTCGTTGAGTCTTCCGAACAACACTCCAGACACCGACCACCACCAGCTTAAGCTTTTTTCCTTTTCGGAACACTAATTCTTTTACATTCATATTTATTTTTCCTTTATTATTTTACTTTTTCGTTATGTTCTTTTTTCCTGCTGATTTTCTTTGCCTTGGCGCCTGTCGAATCTTACCTCGAACAAATTCATCTCCCTGACTGGCCATTTTGGGTTCAATGGATCTTCTGCCCCTTCTTGCAACTAATCTTGTCATTAGGCCGAACATTCATCTCAACCAGATATCTGGACCAATGATATCCACTTTCACAGGTGCTGTCATCTGCCGACTCCTCCATGGTGGTCCTTGAGACGCGAGAAGAGCGCAGAAAATGAAAAAAAGGAAGCTCTCAGGCCTATGGTCATTAGTGCTACGTATTAGCCATAACGCATCGTATAGTCGCAAGTCAAAGTGCCTTGATGATGAGCCAACGAATAAAGGCTCACTTGCCATGGCACATGTCCACCCACTCATACTACTACTACCTTGCTATATTCGAGTGTACATCCAATGTCCGGTTGCGGTAGAGAAATCGAGATGGTCACCGCCAGAATTAATCATCACAACACCAGAGTAGATAACTAACTAGTTGCTACGGATGTCGCTTCTGCAATCCGAACAGCACTAAAGCAGCAGAAGCAGCTACTGCTGCTGGTATTCACTAAGTGCCAAGGAACCTTCCTGGTCGCCTGTTGCCAGCAAGTACTTACAACTTTTACCCGGCGCTCTAGACGATGTGACTTTGTCACTACCTAACCAGGGTGTCTCAGCATCATCCAGTTCGAATGTGGAACTAACCGCTTCCACCACTTCCGCTGATCTAGATCATCCCTATTAATCACATTATCATTATTCAATATGATGATTGAAGTAATCCTCCTTTTTTTTTTTTTTTCTCCCCTCTCTCTCTCTCTCTCTCTCTCTCCCTCTTGAACTATTCTGGTCATTCCTGTGGTACCCTGGACGGTGGTTCCGTTTCCCGACAGACTATGCACGTTCATTCGTGCAGAGGCCGCAACCAAATTCCTTCGATCCTGAACCGCCTTGGAAACCCATCGGCCTTCCTGATCGAGAAGGTATCTGGTCATCAATGACGAGGATGATGACGGCTCCAAGTGGTCATACTTAAATTACACAGAGTGCAGCCTAGTACAACACCAGCAAAAATGCATCCGATGCACATTTACCCTGTTCATCCGAGGTTTATTGTTCGTGATCCTCATTAACCCACCGGTGGTGAGTCTTCGTTGTGTATGGGGGGGGGTTCTCTTAACTTTCCGGGATCCCCTCCTCTGCCACACAATCATTGGGCGAGATGGGCCTTGGTTAGCATCTCGCGGTGTGTTGTCGGAAAAGTCGAAAGATAGTACTAGGATGCCTACGAAAGAAACAGATCGACACTGTCGAACATTATTAATGGGGTCGACAGTAATACTAATGGTTACTCGTCCTTGTACCGCGCGGCCCCGACTTGCAAATTGATTGCAGGAAACATCCGGATTACCCAGCATCTCGCCCTCATTAATAAGGATGGTTAGATAACTAACTATGCCGCGACTGTGGTCGGGACTAATCCAGTCTTCCTTCATGACTCGAATCGACCTAGTATATTGCATGAACCGGCCTGGCCTATCACTAGGTGGACTGGTCGGATAACGAAACTCCTCGGAGATTTTCTTATCACGCAAGTTGCCTGGATGGTGCCGCTCTAGCCCGTGGGTTGTCATTCCCATCCCCAGTTTTCATCACCTTGCACCTTCAATGTGTCCACGAGTGATCGCATCACCGGACTGTGTCAGGATAAAAGGACGTACGCAAGGACAAGTCCATAATTCGGAGATTTGCTCGATGCTGAAGATGAGCATTTTTCGGGCCCGTCCCTTCCCACCTTGCTGCCCTTCCAGGCTCCTTGCATCTACTCATCCTTGCGGCTCGATACTTTCTAAACAGCTAACATTGTGGAGGGTAAACAAACAACTCCTCATGGGGAGGATAAGCATGATACATCGCAACCACCGTGCGAGCTGATACTGCAGCTTAAGCTTTCATCTAAGCCAGGCATGTGTGCAAGCTTACTGCTGGCGACCGACAGGCATGACTGCTACGTGCTCTTCAAAACCAAGGACCTCGTCGTAGTCGAGACTCGATATCCCTTCGTTCTCCCTTGAAGGCGCCGTTGGACAGGCAGCGGTTGCTCCGGTTCAGTATGAGACGAGACCAACAATCCTTGCTCATGTTGAGCCACCATCGACCACGGCCCAAAGTCAACATGAAGGTTCGAATGCCGCCATCGTCAGTCTGACTTTCGATGCGAGGCATAGACTACTTCGTAGATTGCAACTTTCAAGGAACCAGGGGAACTCATCCGGTGGTCTGATTTACAAGCCGCCTGCAAAACCACCCTTATTCCTTCAGAATCCCGGATTTCGTAATCGTGATGAAGGTGACGATGATGATGAGCATACTACCAAGTAGAGCTCCTGGAAGATCAGGGAGGCGGCATACTGGATTGGTCAAGCCGAGGCTGCTCAGGAAGCACGCGGCTTATCGTCTGCTGGTTGACTTGCCGCTACGCGACCGTAGTTGATGATTAGCAATAAGCTCAGCGATGACCATTCGACAGATGGCTAGCTCAGCAGAACTTGATATCACCGTTTGCCTCTCGCGGTGGAGGCCGTCTTTTTTTGAGATCCATCACGATCACGAAGTCAACATTATTTACGGAGGCTTTGGCGGCATGTGCACCAGATGCATCCGTCGTAGCCACTGGAGCCTGAACTCAGCTAGGGTTCATCGCCCCGTCAAGGTTCCTCATTCGGGTTTTGTTCGCACTCTTGCCTCGCTCCTATGCTTCGCTGAAGATTGTCTGGAACGGATACCATTATGGGGAAGTATCGGAAGTTGGGGACTACGTATGTACGGCCTGAAACCTTCCCCGCCGGACTAAATCGAGGTCGTAGAATTTTGTTCACCAATAAACGTGCTACTTCAAGTGGCAAGCCTCGTTTCTGTCGGGTTTTACTTTACGGCCTTGCCTTGGGAGGAGTATCTATACCGTATGCTACAGTACCACCTGAGAAACCCTCCATGGAGACACACACACACACACACACACACACACACACACACACACACACCCTTCTTTCCCCCCAACTTACACTACGCCAGCTGAACGAACATCTCCAAAAATTAAGGAAATGATGTATCGATCTCTTCTGTTGGAGTCAGTCCTCCCTTACGAAACTCGTCTCACCATCAGACCTTCATCCACCCTGGAACCACACATCCCTAGCACGGCATACCGTTCACCAACATCCGTCCTTCGTTACTTCTATCCAGGTAGAGTTATTGCTGCGAAATCATCCACCTTTTTTACTCTCCGTGGCAGCAGTCTCCGCTCCACGCAAGAAGAAGAAAACAAGCCGGGAGGGACACCGAGCCACCGACAACTTTTCACCAACCCCGTTGGTAGCGTAGTAAAAGTACCAAAATCTCTTGCCCCTGGTTCATGGAACAGGATAGGTAGTACGTATTCCGATCTCTCACCCCTGCCCACTAAGAGAAGGACTATATACCGGTCTCAGTATGATCTGGATTCTTCCCTCCCCCTCCCTCCTCCCCTCCTCTACCCACTCGATGTCGATGTCAATACCACCGCGACTGCTGCGGCTGCTCTACATACTCGAGGAAGGGGTGTGTTCTTAACCCAACCCGGAAATACCCATCGCATCCATCCATGACCCCCATGCGAACGTTTATCATCAGGAAAACATTAATTAATTAGTTACCAACCACCATCCATCAAGTAAATGACCTAAATTGATCACACCTTTCGCTGGTGCATTAGATGCTGCGATCGTCGTCGCTTTCTGAGATGCTGACCGCGTCTGTGGTGGGCACCTTTTTCCCATTCCTGCTCAGATGAATTGGACTCAGCCGGTGGTTGACTATCAGCTGGCTGCTTGCTGGCTTGGAGTCAAAAAGTAGTTAGTCCTGGACACGCTGGCTGTTGAACGCTTACCAGTCAGTGCCTTGGTCTCTTTCTTTCCACGCTTGTTCGATTCTAGACCATGTGCTCGGATTACTATGCGTATTGTTTACTTCCTTTGCTTTGCTCCTTCGTATGTATTATTATCTGTCGACCTAGTTAGTTAGTTAGTTCAAGCTTGTAGGACAGGGCAGGGCAGATAGTTAGTTGACTTGTTCCTCGGCTGACTTGGTCTCAATAATGATATCGATGGGTGTTAATTTACACTAAACCTTGGAAGTCTGGACTATACACACTCACTCACTCACTCACGTTTAGGTTTGCATATATTTACTCCGCAGGTCCGTGAGATCTCACGGCCCTCTTAGTCTTAGCCAAGTTCAACACGGCAGCATTTCCATACTAACATATGTACATAGGTACATGAACTTTCTCAGCTAAGAGCCACTTCGAGAGGTGAGTACCTCGTGATAGGGAAGCATCAGAAAGCAGAAAAAGCAAACAAGCAACCTGAAGAGAAAGAAACAGCTGCCTGACAGCCTCGCAGACCAACAGTAGACCACTGCACCCATGATAAGAGTAACATACATGTGCTTACTCATTACCTCACTTCTCCTTGTGGGTGGGTATGTTGATGTCTGTCTTGAGTAGTTACGGATAATGTATGTCCAACCCTTCATTAATTCCACCTTAGACGGGGCGGCATTATCGATCATGATTACTTCTTTATTCTCATTGCCTACTGCTCATTCTCATTTGATGATATTGGAATGGGTTGAGCGGTGATGCCTGAGTTACATATAACTATTAATTGATGGATATGATTCGATGGCAGTGTCAGCCGGTAATACTGTATACTAAGTAAAGGCTATGTATGGATGCCAGGTAGCTAGCTAGCTGGCTGGCTAGGTAAGCTAAGCTAGTAGAGTAAGTAAGTACGTAGCTTTGACTGGCTTTCGTAAGGCATATGTTCTGTTTTGTTCTTTGTTCGTTGTCGATGGATGATGATGATTTGCATCTGGTAATTGGCTGCAACATACCATGTAGTGAATGGATGGATAGGCAGTAAGTAGGTGTCTACTTATAAACTTGTTTTCTTATCATATCAATACTGCTGGATTTACTTTTATCATGACAGTCTGTGTTATTGGTGGTTGATGCGTAGCTTACTTGGCTTGTGCTGAGCTGGGCTGGGTTGGGCAGCTCTAAGGTCATGACTGCTTGTGGTATGCTTGCTGCGAACACCGCGGACATGAAATTGTATAGTCCGTTTTGGTCTAATTTGCTATAGGGGAAGGAATATTTGGTGAAGGTCGGAATTAGTATGCTGCGAGTTAGTTACTAGTGTATATTCTATTTGTTATACAAGTGTGTATCCTCCACTTTATATATTCATCTAATAGCATCACATTGCAACAGCAGCGGAATGATAACTACTAGTAGCACTTGAGAGTATTTAGTCTCAGCTACCATTTACAAGTGAATCACTGATGTGTCTATCTATACTACTCAGATCTAATCAAACTGATGTACTAGTGGGCCGATATTTCATAAATGGTATCCATTGTGCTCCTGTACACGAGTAGTAGATAGTTATTTACAAGTACTATATAACGGTCATAGTCTATGTACTTACTAGGTTGATATGACTTCAGTGCTTATATATATACTATCGTCACAGCAAAGAGTCCACTTGTAAACCTGTCCCTCGCCGATTACCAGGCTAACAGGATCATCGGCACTTCAATAAGTTACTAGTGCTATCACCAGTTTCCAGGACTCAGTGAAAATCCTAATCTTATATGATACAAGAGCACCGGGGTACCTTAGAGAAAAAACAGTCCTATTCAATCCAAATTAGCTACTACTCTCCTATGATAAGTATCAAAAGAAATAGTAGTGCTATATATACTAGCATCATGATATCACTATATATAAATAAATACTACCTTGATAGTACTACATATTATGAGAAAGTAGTACAATATTCATAACTATTCATATAATCAACCATCATGCTTGAAGCTCTGATACACCGAGCCCAACTGCTACAATATATTCATGCACTATCCAAGTTTCTATAACCTTTTATTCAAACCGTGAGACTTCATCAGGGTGGTATCCTGTCCTAGCAAATCAACGTATGTAAACATAATATACACGTTATCTGTGTCGAAAGGTAAGTTGGTCAATCTTCGGCGGCTGGTATGGTGGTTATTGTTACGTAGAAGAATATATATATATATATATATATGTATATGATAGTAGAGTACACAGCGTAACTTCGCCTTCGTAGTGAGGCCGTGTCTTCTTCAATGCCGCGTCCAATATATATAACTATATATTCCAGTAGTCCCTGATAAGTATGAATGAAGTCAACTGGAGATGCTAGATGCCTACCTCGAAGAAGCTACATTTTAGTTTCTCTTGCTGTCTGATTATATAAAGAGGCAATTGCTTAGCCATGATGGCGAAGGTAGCTTAACATATATATTACAAACTCCATGGTGGAGGATAGAAGCCTCAAAGCCTCAGATAAGAAAGAGACGGAGGTCTTATTCGATGTAGCGTGCTCAGAGAAATTGATTGATACCTTGAGAACCTGAAATGGTACTAGGTAGAATCGCGTTAACATATTCATATCTATTACAGTAATACATCGACAACTTCTATCTCTCTTCTTATTAACTATCTTAAACGAAGTCCATCAATATATAAAGGACTGTAAAGAAGATGATCATGGAAGTAATTCTCTTGTATTTTACTATATATAAAGTAGTGAGAACAAACCTAGTCGCTATTGAGCTAGACAATGGGCCATCAGAACGAAGTGATTCTCAATAACGGCGTATCATGGTATGGAAGGGTTGCTGTTGGTCACTCAGTGCATCACAGGATTCAAGGAGATTTCTATATATGCGTTCCACATATACCTCTGCAATATAATGTGAGTAACGACTATACAGGTCACTATTATGACTGGTATGCAGGTTAGTTGCTGCTGGAAGGTACTAGACCGGACCAAAATTTCCACGAAAGTCGAACCATATACGCAATTATACAGTCTGCATAGCGCTACATGCTTGCTCCTTGCATTATACAACCTCTCACATCAACTCCCCTCTATGACCTACCAACATATGCATATAAGCCACTGGAATCGGACAAACAGCAGGGATAGGGTTCGGCATTGTGTCCGGACAAGACCTAAAGATGGGTACCCAATAACCGCCGAGGTGGCTTGTGGTTGTACAAATACAACTGCAGATGCTCCTAGTTGGATCGCCGACTGACAAGTCAGATATGTTGTACGTGAGACAATTGTACTACATGCTCGGAGTTGCGGTATGGAGTGCCGAACATCAAGCACACCAGAGCATTTTTGAGCGATAGTATGCCCGGTATATGTTGTGTGCGATGACCATTCGCCTTGGATTCGTTTGTGCATAACCATACAATACCGTGCCTTGTTTATGCGTTCTTTGTATGCAAACCAGGACCGTAAGAGTCGTCGCCACTGGACGATCGTTGGTGTTACATTGCATTGAGGTAGTCGTTACTTCGAAGATCGCCAAGGGACTGGCCGCTTCTTCCATTGGTGTGTCCCTTACTGAACGGGAATACTTTATCTGTTTACCAAACTGTTAGCTTGAGACTGGGCCAGTTTTTAACCGCAAATCGAGCAGCAGCCTGTGGTTCAAATGGGAGCATCTCATGAGCGAGTGTCTCCGGCCAACAAGCATTGGGGTAATCTGTATTGTAGGGGAAGCTTTCAGAAAACATGACGGTCCGTCTCCCTTATGATCGAGGTGTTTATCTTTCTATAGGCGAACCCTCTTGACGCGTGTGGGCACCACATGTTTCCTGCTAGCTGGGCCTGAGTCCAACGCGGATTCCAGGAACCCCACATAAGTCCTTATTGGTCGGTTCGAATATCGTGCAAGCGGCCGATGGGAGCATACGGGATAGAAGCCGCGACATTCGATATTGCACGCAGAGTTGGAAAGATGGGCAGCATTGGCTTAGGAGGGCAGGCGATTGCAAATGCCGGCAATGAGAATCGACTTAATCGAGGCAACCGCTCTTGTGGGTATGTGGGTCAAAAACAGCACAACGAGGCCATAGCAATCTGGCCTGATAGCATCTTAGCAGCACCACAATCAGCCCAGGCGTGTATGATCGACCGCAACCACGGGAATTAACGGACTTGGGAATCGATTCGAATGGAGGGAAACGGGCGATTGAGGAAAAGTGGAGCATCAGAATCCCCGGATTCTCCTCGTTCTTTTGGTTTGGAGCTTAGAGGCCAGTGGTGGAGTGACAGAAGTGGATGTCAAACGACACTGGGGATTCTCTAGTCGTTCTAGATGCGGGAGAAGCCGGGGAGGATCTCGGGAAGGACCGTGTGTTCCAGCTAGACGGGTGGCGGATGAGTCAGCGCGACAGTGGTCCAGACCGAAAAAGGAAAGCACGATGGGCGACAGAATCAGGAAAGAGCGGGCGGGAATGCATGGAAGAGCTGCAGGAGAATAAATAATTATACGGGATAGACAGAGAATAGTTAGGGAATAAATCAGTGGATCATTCAATATTCCATCTTGCCTATCATTCCATCGGGAAGAAGGAGTGATCCATCTAATCCCGAGCAGAGAGACAATGACGGAAACATTTTTAACTCCAGTATACAATCGTCATTCATAATCGATGAGTGATGTCTAGACATTAGCAGCTGCTTAGGGTAAATGTTTAGAATAAAAGCCTCAAGAATGATTATGCCTCAGGAAGGGAAGTGCGTTTTCCCCTCACGCCTAATTTCTCCCCACTAAGTAATCTTTTCCCCTCACGCAACTATTATTCCTCCTCTCTCCAATTTTTTTTTTTTCCTCATCTCCAACCCGCCACATGTGAAATAAATGGCAAAATAGTCTCTATACCCAAGCAGGAATGAAAAATTCTTTGAACTAGGTTTTTTCTTGCTTTCCACTGGAACCCGGCTGACCGAGCACCCACTTGGCTTACGGTCGAGCCAGTCGCGTCTGGTGCCAGAAGGAGAAAATTAGCCGCCCTACGATCCCCAGCCAGAGCACACCGATTCGCCCAAAACAGCTAATTGACACAGTCATTTTTTCCTGTGCTTTGCTTAACGCCGGTGATTTTTCCAGTGGGCGAACCCTTTATCCATACTTGGGTGTTCAATTTCTCTGAATCACTTCTTTTCCTCTTACTCTTCTCTTTCCCAACCCACTCTCCACTCTCCCCTCCTCCCCCCTAACCCTTCGCCTTTTGGCTCAGGTGCGACTACCGCCCGACAATGGTTGGAAGTACGCTGGCGATCCGCTCCAAGATGGCCTCTCCCTCCGCCGCTATGCAGTTGTCGTCGCTGTCGCGCAGGTCGCTCTCGACGCGACCCCAGATCCTTCGTTCCGCACGTCCCTTGAGACAGCAGCAATTCCAGCGCTCTGCTCGTCGCTCCTACGCCGATGCTGCGCCCGCTGCCCCGACCCCCAAGCCCAAGAAGCGCTTCAGGTTCTTGCGCTGGACCTGGCGTTTGACCTGGCTCTCCACTATCGGTGCGGCCGGTGCTCTGGCTTACAGTGTCTATGAATTGCGCCATCCCGCCGAGCAGATTAAGCCTGACCCGACGAAGAAGACCCTTGTAATCCTGGGTAGGTTTCTTGCACCCTGTGTCGCTTATCGTGACACGATCGCGGCCGAACAGCAACTTACGAGTCATTCCCTAATCAGGTACCGGATGGGGTACTGTTTCCCTACTGAAGAAGCTCGACACTGAGAACTACAATGTTGTCGTCATCTCTCCCCGCAACTACTTCCTTTTCACTCCTCTCCTTCCCTCCTGCACGACTGGTCTGATTGAGCACCGCTCCATCATGGAGCCGATCCGTAACATCCTCCGTCAGAAGACCGCCCACGTGAACTTCTACGAAGCCGAAGCCACCAAGATCGATTACGAGAAGCGTGTCGTGTACATCAGCGATGACTCTGAGATCAAGGGAGACATCTCCCACACCGAGGTGCCCTTCGACATGCTCGTCGTTGGTGTCGGTGCTGAAAACGCAACCTTCGGTATGTAATTCATCGCTCACGCCCGCCACGGATCGCACTCTAACGATAACTAGGTATCCCCGGTGTCCGCGAGAACTCCTGCTTCCTGAAGGAGGTCGACGATGCCCAGAAGATCCGCAAGCGCATCATGGACTGCATTGAGACTGCTATGTTCAAGGACCAGACTGAAGACGAAGTCAAGCGTCTTCTCCACATGGTTGTGGTTGGTGGTGGCCCGACTGGTGTCGAGTTCGCCGGTGAGCTGCAGGACTTCTTCGAGGATGACTTGAAGAAGTGGGTTCCTGAAATCCAGGAGAACTTCAAGGTTACCCTCGTTGAAGCTCTCCCCAACGTCCTTCCCATGTTCTCCAAGCAGCTTATCGACTACACCGAATCGACCTTCAAGGAGGAGAAGATCTCTATCCGCGCTAAGACTATGGTCAAGAACGTCACCGACAAGTACATCGAGGCTATGGTCACCAACCCTGATGGATCCAAGTCCATCGAGCGTATTCCCTACGGTCTGCTGGTTTGGGCTACCGGTAACGCTGTTCGCCCCGTTGTCCGCGATCTGATGAACCAGCTCCCTGCCCAGAAGGACTCGCGTCGTGGTCTTGCTGTGAACGAGTACCTCGTCGTGAACGGCGCTGAGAACGTCTGGGCTGTTGGTGACTGTGCTATCACCAACTACGCCCCTACCGCCCAGGTTGCCAGTCAGGAGGGTGCTTTCCTTGCCCGTCTCTTCAACACCATGGCCAAGACCGAGGCTATCGAGCAGGAGCTGAAGCAGCTGTCTGATGCTCAGGCCCAGGCTAAGGGTGAGGAGCGTGACCAGGTCTTTGACGCGATCCGCGAACGCCAGAAGCAGCTGCGGAGAACCAAGCAGATTGGTCCCTTCCAGTACTCTCACCAGGGTAGCATGGCTTACATCGGAAAGGAGCGCGCTGTTGCGGACATCAGCTGGCTGAGCGGCAACATCGCCAGTGGTGGTACCATGACCTACCTCTTCTGGCGCAGTGCTTACCTGAGCATGTGCTTCAGCAGTAAGTAACCTTTATTCAACTTTATGTGCAATTATGTGGTTCTAACTGACAATCTTCACAGCTCGCAACCGTGTCCTGGTCGCCGTCGACTGGATCAAGGCCAAGCTGTTTGGCCGCGACGTCTCTCGGGAGTAAATCCTTCATTAAAACCTTTGGAAACTCTGTATCACCATCAGCAGACATGCTACGTCCATGATTTCGAAGCGATAACCCCTCTTTTATTATTGAATTCCATCTCTTTCTCATCATTCTTATCTCCACCCCCCTTCCTTGACGCCACTCCAATGACCATCCTCTTCCTTGACCTAAATGGGAACCTTTCCCCCCCCCATTGTCTGTCACACTTTGCTCCGCAGGAGCATATTAATGACGATCAAGAGAGCACACACTACACCAAGAAGCTCTGCTGTGATCTATTGCAGCGTCCATAATGGGTGACTCCATATAAAAGCGCACATAGATCACTTCGACTTGGTCATCATTCCATTCGTCTTTTGTTTCTTTTCCCCTGTACGAAATAGATAGACCGGGTTCGGGTTACTGTTTAGACATGCTAGAATTGGCCATAATTCTTTTCTTTGTGCTGTTTCGTTTCATTTGTTTTTCTCAATACATTTTTTTTTTCTTCTTAACTTTTCCTGTTCTGAGTCTTATTCATCCTCTAATAACTTGGTTCTTTTATTCTCTCTTATATATTTTTTTTTTTCGATTTCATTCCGATAATGGGGTTGCTCGGTTTGGTTGGTTGTATACTCTACTATCCTGTCCTGTATTGGTATTGATATTTGTATTTGTATTTGTATGCTCTTTGGCGGGTTACTGGTCAAAAATAATGAATGCCTTATCTGTATCATGCTGTATAAAGTCATTCTCTGCCCCTCCCATTACTATCTAAATATTGTTGTACTGGTGCGTGATAAGTCGTTTAAGATATCTGTTAGGCCGCCCTTCTTACATAGGCGCATTAAGTTACTCCGACTGTCTAACTGTCAGAGTCAACTGTCAGAATCGAAGTGGCTAGCAGCTAGCAGTAGTTAGTTAGATTCATCAGGAAATTCAGGATGGATAACGAATGTCCTTATGATTAGAGAGAACATCGTGCTAACGCCTATCCTACCCTTTGCTTGCTATCCTATCACAGGAATACTCAAATATGAACAAGGAATTGTTCTGTTATGTATGACATACAGGTGAAGGGGAGACAGAATGTGTCAGTGAGTGTGAGAGAATATAATGTATACGCTTGCTGTGTGATATAACATGTCAAGAGGTATAAATATAAAGCAGAGCCGAGAGATATCGCCGAGCTTTCAGAAGACACAATATGGGAGGTGGGTAGACAACAGAAAAGGAAGAGAAAGTCTAATCGATTAATAGGTAGGCCGCTAGGTCGATAAGTAGATTGTTGAATGATTGGTTATTTTTTCCCTTTAGAACAGGTTCCAGCCACGATTCCTCTGTTCCCGGTTACCTACAGGGCGATCTGAGTTCCTGTTCTTTCTTTCGCGTCCGTCGAGTTGACGGATGCTTTCGATCTTCTGGAGGGCTAATTCAAGAAGTTCCTTCTTTCTGATGACGTCTAAGTGGTTCCGGATGCGTGGGTCTTCGCGGGCGAATCGCTCGACTTCGGCGTCGGAGAGGTGACGGCCTAGACGCATGTCGAGCTCGCGGGGGAAGTTGTAGTAGAATTCGGAGAGGAGTTCAACGTTGAGGAAGAGGACGGCAGTGGAGGTGAGCTTGTCGGCGACAACGTCGAGGAAGACCTCCGGGCAGTAGTATTTGTTCTTCTTGGAGGAACATTGCTTGGAGCGAACGGCGAGGAGCCGCATTTTGATAAGGTCAGCTCGGTCACGGAGGAAAACGCTCTCACGGCCTGTGTCTTGTTAGATGTGATACCTGATTGACATATAGGATAAGATCGACATACCTCGGGCCAACAAGGCGGAGCTGAATCCACCAGCACCGCCGGCGCCGTCTCCTTCCAGGAAGACCTCGCCCTTTCGCACCTTGTCGACGAAGGACATGACGTCCTTGAGTTTGCGCCGTCCGATGGAGTCTTCAAGGCGCTTGAAGGCTGTCTCGCACGCTCTGAGTTCCTCCTTGAGGACTTTGCTGACATTTTCCCTTCCCTTGGCCCATTCCGGGTCCTCGACTTCAATCTCAAACTTGAAAGGCTTGATGCAGTTTTCAACTTGATCGCTAGTGCTGAAGAATCGATCGTTCAAGATACTATTGCACGCATCGACGATCTGCTTCTGAGCGTACGGATGCGTGGCAAAGGTAGAGTTGGCGATCAAGCGATCGACATGAGTTTGGATCGCGTTGGCAACCACTGTGGTGGCAAGTCGACCGATTCCCAACTTTGTCAGGGAAGATGTCGAAGCATCGAGCTTGCGGTGCCAGTACAGTGACTCCGGATCAGCTTTGGCAAGGTCACTGAGCGGATCCAGTTCTGGTAGCGGAGCAGACAGATCGTCTATCGGCTTGTTCCAATACCTTTGTGCCAGAATGTCCATTACCCGCTGATCAAGCTCGTTCTTGAGCATTTCGCGGACCTGAGGGCGGCCGAAGCTTTCAGCAAACGCCTTGAACGAGTGCTTGAAGCTATCCAAGCTCTCCGCCAGATAAGACTCTGCACTCAGAGGACGATCGTTGTATTGAACCTTGAACTCATAGGTTGCCTCCTCAAGCTCCTGACTGATTGCATCCCTAGTACCCGCTAGGCTTGATGCCATCGTCTGCTCGAGAACATGCATGAGCTTTGTGCGCAAAGTCGAAACACCGACAGAAACGTCCGATTGTGAACCAAACTCCGACGGGTGAGCAGAGAAATAGGCGTGTTCATTCTTCATGATAGCTCCGGTGATATTTCCGCTGCCTCTGGAGAAAAGTGCTGTAGTTTGAGGAATCCGGCTAACGACACCAACGTAGCCCAGGCGGAGAGGGTACTTCTTGTCGGAAAGAACGTTGTAGCCGCGTTCGGGATCAACAAGGTCCATCTTCGTTATAACACCGATGGTTCTCTCACCTCTGGGATCTACCCTGCGGCTGGCTCTAAGAGCAGTCGAGTTGGCCAAATCGACATCGGCCGCGGAAATGGCGAGAATAACATTCGGTGCTTGGATGTACTTGTCGCAGAGGTCGGAGATTTTCTGTTTCAACTCAGGGGGTTGATCATGTCCAGCAACTTGGATGTAGCCCGGAAGGTCGATGAGAGAGAGGTCAGGGACGTGAGGAGAGTAAATAGAGAGCTGAATAGGGTCATCGGAAACACAGTCCCTCTCCGGAACGGCCAAGTTCAAATCCGTCAAAGTCCGCTGAATCTGAGAAAAGTCGGTGATCTTCCCTAACCCAAGAGCCGGAAACTCTCCATATTCAGCCTGCGCATTCGGTGTGTTGACCAGGGTCAGCTCGATCGGCCGCCGGGTGACCATGTTGGTGCCTTTCGGAAGGAACTCATGTCCAACAATAGCCTCGAGAACCGAGCTCTTGCCAGAAGACTGAGACCCGATAACCACGATTGACGGGAGTGTCAGGGTATTCGACTGGCCGACGGTCTGCAGGATGTTCCTGATCTCGATCATCTTCCGTGTAAGAAGCATCATCTGGTCATCCTCCGCAATCTTTCTTTCCGACCGAGTGTCCTCCTCATTAGACTCATCGTAACCGAAAGCTCCGGCAGTAGTAGCGCCAGCCGCCGCCGCACCGAGACGACTCTCCTTCGGGCGTTTTCCTCCAGGGCCACCATTATCGGACTGAGGTTCTTCGTTCGGACTTATGATACTCTGCAACCATTCCGGAAGTTCCACGGCATCAGTCGTTCTTTGCCATCCGCGTTGTGTCTGTTCGGCAATGCCCTGAATCTCCGTGAACAAGCTCGAAGCTGCATCTCCCGCTGTTTCCCCCGCACGTTTGAACAAATCGATAGCATAATTTCCTGCCTCTAAACGACGCACATATTCATTAATCATCTATTAGAAAAGACAGACAGAGAATCGAGCACGTACGTGTAGCTTGGTACTGGAAATAAGCTAGCCCCGCTACCGTAGCACCCCCAAGCATAGCCGGCAGCCGTACCAGCTTGATAGCGAGCTTAGGGAGTATCCGGTGAAAGGAGATTGCCCGCACAGCAGGCACATTATTGTGAATCGCATTCGCACCTACCGGCCAGGCCCGGCCACGTAGAGCGGCGCTGCCATCGGAGCGAAGAAGACCGCCGGTCCTGGCGGCAGCATTATGAACATGGCGGGCCAGAAGACCGGTCCGCAATAGCGGAACAAGACGATGGGAGAGGATTCTCCCGCTCATGGTTCCTGAAATCACATACACATCAAGAAAGTCGGAAGAAGGCTAGTTAGGCATTTCCGAGGCGAAAAGCCACGGGGTGGTAGTAGTACCTTCGGGATGGTGAGGTAGTAAGTAGCTTGCGGGAGGGAAAGGAAAGCGAGAAGGAGGCGGCGGAGATGATCAACCAAAACCACAAAATAATAATAATGCAGTCAGTCATTCGATCCGCGGCGGGAAAGCAGCGGGTCTCGTGACCTGCGCCCGATGGCCGCTTCGCTGGCCGTATCGGGACCGGTGTGAGTCACGTGTGGAGAATGTCGCCATTTCGATAGATCCAGATAACAACTATTTTCCGTAGGTCTGAGTTCTTTCTGCTTCTTTCGAGAGAGTCTAGAGTTCTGCAGGCTATTTGGACGCAAAGCAGTTATATATATATTGGGCTGGGTCCTGTGTTGCCCAATCCATACTGAACATTCAGCTGCGCCGTTGTCGGATCGAATTGTGACTGGAGACTGGAGCTGCGCCCTGAAGCAACTACTACTAGTTTTAGCGCCTCCAGCTGAATCGGGCTTTGCTGTCTACAGACACTCTTAAAGAAAAAGGTGTCCCCAGGGAGAGAAATCTGCATTGTATCTCCATCTCAAACAATAATCTTTGTATAATCGCCGAATATGTGTCGTCTCCTGGTATGTAAGCTCCGTTCTGACCCCATCCACGTCATACAGTCAGCCAGCCTGAACTGACCGCTTGTCGCCAGGTATACAAAGGCAGGCATGAGATTCGTCTCAGCAAGCTAGTCACGGAGCCAAGCCATTCCATCCTCACTCAGTCCTACGACTCCCGTTTAAGACTAGTAAGTGTATCCAATGCAGTGCCCAAGTAACGGAATCCACAGCTACTACCCCCTATCCCAGACCATGGCCCAATATTAACCCCCATATACAGGACAACCGCCGCCCCGTCAACGGCGACGGCTTCGGCGTGGGCTTCTACACAGATCCAAAACTAGGTCCAGAGCCATGCATTTTCACATCAACTCTCCCAGCCTGGAACTGCGAGAACCTCGAGCGGCTCGCCTCCAAGACATGCTCTAATCTAATCTTCGCGCACGTGCGCGCAACCACAGAGGGCACTCTCTCCGACACGAACTGCCACCCATTCCAGCACAGCACGCTGATGTGGATGCACAACGGCAACGTCGGCGGCTGGCAGTACATCAAGCGGCCGTTAGCCGACTCACTCGCGGACAAATGGTTCCTAGGCGTCAAGGGCGGGACAGATAGCGAGTGGGCATTCGCGCTGTTCCTTGACCTTCTCGAGAAAGAAGGTGTGGATCCTAGCTCTGATCCCGGCCCAGGAGGGTTCGGACAGGCGCTGCTGCGTCGAGTGATGGTGAAGACGATTGCGAAGATCAATGAGTTCATTCGTGATATTCCCAAGAGACATAATGTGTCGAATGTGGAGACACGCAGTTTGTTGAACTTTGCTGTTACGGATGGTCAGACTGTTATCTGTACGAGGTATATCAGTAGTAAAACGGATGAACCAGCTAGTTTGTACTTTTCGTCCGGGACGAAGTGGGTGGAGGGGAAGGATAAGGGACATTTTAAGATGGAGAGGCATGATAAGGGGGCTGATATTGTGCTGGTGGCCAGTGAGCCGATTACTTTTGAGAGACGTGAGTGCTTGCTTCAACTGAATCATTCCGACGAAGAAGGGGATATTTGCTAACTGAGTTGCTCTAGATAACTGGGTCTCCGTCCCTGCCAACTCCATCGTCACCATCCACAAGCAAACCGTCCTGCTACATCCCATCATGGATGAGTTTTACGTCGAGGATACGAATCAGGACCGTTCATCCTGCTACGCCGTGTCTAAGGGTCTCGTTAGCACAGCCCCCGGGACAACCGTGCAGCCCCGTGAAGCAGGGGCTGTCGATACCAACCCCGGAGCTATCCATGGCAATGGATCTGCGCTGGATTCGCAGCAAATTGGCCTCGCCAACAAGTGCGCTTTATCACATTGATAGATTGGGTCCACTCTTGTCAATTGAGCGTGTGCGACAGTGTTAGACTTGGGGAGTTACGGGCTTGGAGTTTGGCATTTGGGTGTTTTTCTCTATTTCGGGCCACCTTGTTGAATATCTTTTGTAATTGATTTACTATACTACTCTTTCAGCTTATTCTTTCATCTGTATGCAATACTATGATTAGTACGATTAGGCTGCTTACAACCTAACCGGTGAACTAGTATGAAACATTGTCGATATCGAGACTCAAACTCCATCCCGACCCGCTAAACCATATATACACAGGAATGAAACTCAAATGGGAAAGGGGGTAAAACAAGAAATAAAGAAAGGAAGAGATGCGACCTGCATCTCCACCACCACCGAGGCCATGCGAAGCAAGAAGATTCGTGGAAAACACAAAAAGAAAGAAAAGTTCATATATCCTCCCCGGATATATTAGCATGCTTGAAATACTTCATCCCCACCCAGGCAACAACAACCCAAACCCAGGACATAACGGCCGTCAACACAATCAACGCAGGATAATATCCCACAATAGGTAACGTGGGGTCATCTTCCAGCTCTGGAGGAGCATATGGCGTCTCTCCGACGTCCCACGCCCAGCTCCAAACACCGAAGCAACTTCCCATTCCAACCACAAACACCAGCCACGTCACAATCAGTATTATCCACCCCCACCATTCTGTCTCCGAATAATCCCATACCATCTCCGAAGTGCTGACGATATCGGCGGAGTGAGTTGCTAGGGGCGATTTGGCGCGGTGAAGTGGTCGATAGGCCGTCGAGTCGGCTTGTAAGGCATAGTATGAGTCGGAGCTGGACGAAGCAGTTGGGAGGTGGAGGCCGGTGGTGGTGGTTGCAGCGGCCGCGGCCGCGGCAGCAGCAGCGGCGATGGCGCTATTTGAAGTATTGGGGTGAGGGAAGGGTATGATGTCTTCGTCGTCGGTGGTCATCTCGTCGCCGAGAATGCTTTCTTTGGATTGGTTTTGCTGGCGATGCGAGGGAGCGGCTGCATTTCGGGTTCGCTGGGGTGCGTCCATAAGGGTCCATGTAGAAGTATTTTTTCCATGGCCTGGATGACCTGAACTGCTTCGCTGGAAAACGGTATCGTTATCGGAAGAGGTTGGATCGGCGAAAGCGCGTAATTGAGAATCGGAAGGAGGGAGAGGGGACGATGATGATCCTCCTGGTAGGGATGGTTGTCCGTTGGGGTTGATATCGTCTCCACGCAGCACGTCCACCGATGGCCTAGGAAGTTTCTTATCTCGATATTCGAATCGGGTGCCCAGCAAGGCGGTCTTTCGTAGGGAGCCCCTTCTCCTGCGTGTTCTTCGGTGTTGTTGTATCGCAGTCGACATTGCCCTTCCACCTCGCAAACCCGAGCTGAAATCGCTGCTGTCGTCTCGCTCGATGCCCGAATGACTCCGATCCGGGGCGTTCTGAGTCGCTTGGATCATTCGCAGAAAGGAGAGGCGCGAAAGTAATGAGCCGGACGAGCTGCGCTTGTGGCCGCTGCTTGCGCTCCCGGAGCGCACCCGCCTCGAGAGCTGATCATTGTTGTCCAGCGAGAGTGCCGCACCTTTGCCGTCGCTTGCATCTTCCATTGGCGCAAGCTGGGCGCGACTAGCTGGCGGTTAGCACGCCCACATCCAAAACCGGGGTTAAGAAAAGTCGTCGGGGCTTCTCATGAGCAGCGGCCAGGTCGGAGACGAGGGTGAAGGGGGAAGGGCATCCGCGGCCAAGAAAGGGTCCAGGCGGTCACTCGAGAAATTCCCGGTCCCATTCTCCACCTCCCAACTCTATAAGGAGAGAATTTATCCGCAGCCACGGAGCGGCTGTGTTGGTATTAATAGAAAATGGATGGGTCTCGACTTTGGCACGGCAGATAGCGAAACAGAAAAAGTGTTATCATAGTGATCCCGTCTAGCATTAGATACTTCTACTGAAATGATGGAGGATTACTGGTTTACTTCAATAGTGGCCATGCACGAATATCCTGGTATAGGGCATCCAAGAGTGAGCCTCTTGGGTTTCACGAAACAAAATAGGTATAATATCCGAAACGCCAATAGCAGGGTGTGATCAAGGAGATTGAAAGATCACGCTCAGAATATCTGGTATCATAAAGACGAAGCTCAGGTACGGGGGGAAAAGCGTGAAAAACCGCCAAACATCACACACTAATCGATAAGAGATCAATATTCATTTGTCAAGAATTGGCCAAAGAAACGGAAGGAACATGGCTTCTCGATCATTGGAATGAAAGAAAGAGCGCGCACAGCCTTTGAGCATCAGGGCTCCTGTGCGCAGGCAGAAACAGATATAGAGCTCTCTGGCAAGCCACTCATACATACTAAACGAAATACGATACAAACTGGGAGAGGCGATAATTTGGACAATAGACCAAAGACAGGGCTCGAGAATGGCATGATAACAGAAAATACTTTTGGTTTATTCCGCAGAACGCTTGAACGGGAAGCCCAAGAAGCTTAGCCTTTGATCAAAGTCACGCACATTCGTTCAAAGAAAAGATCATGTGAAAAGTTTGACTCAACAAAGCGGATTTGGGGTATTGGGTGTACGATAACACACAAATTTCATTTCAAAAGGAAGAGTTTGAGAATGGGAGATGCGCTTAGAAATCCACTTAGTCGGGGCTGTCATAAAGAGAAGGAAGTGAAAATAAGGAAAGGAAGAGAGAACAGCGGGTGAGAAGATTAAAAAAGGGGTGGAAGGTAGAAAAAAGAACACTTCCGCTTGTCGCTGTTGCGGCTGCCAGCAGCGATACCACAATGTCCGTGCTGGCTGGCGTGCAGTCTCGAGGATCGTAGATCAACGGCTACGCTTGGTAGCCGCCGAAACCATTTCCAAAGTTGGCGTTGTTGGGCTGGTTCCAGCCGGAAGTAGGCGTGGCTTGACCACGGCCATAGCCAGCATTACCAGGGACCTGGCCATAACCTTGGCCTGCCATTCCGGACTGGTCCCATCCTCTTTGGGTCGGAGTAGGGCCTGTCATTAACCGCATTAGTACAAAGGCGAAGGGGTTTGAGAGGAGACGTGAGTTTACCTTGAGGGGTCATGGGAGCGCCCGGACCGCCGTACTGGGGGAAGTACGGGGTTGGGGTGGAACTAAACCCCGAGTTGCTTTGCTGACCAGAGAAGTTGTCGAACTGGCCGGTGGGAGGACGGTCCTTGCCCCACTGTGACGGTTAGGAGGGAACTCTATTAGAAGAAACATGGGGGATGCTCAAAACATACACTGCACTTGAGGGGACGGCCGTTGACGTTGTAGCCGTTCAACTGGCAGATGGCCATGGCGGCATTCTCATGCGTGTCCATCTTGATAAAGGCGAATCCACGGTCGGCCTGCAGACGAGTCTCAATCACATAGCCGAAGTTCTGGAAGAGTGGGACGAGATCGGTCTGCGTGGTGTAAGGGGTCAAGTTACCCACATAGCACGTGGTCTGCCACTGTGGGGTTTGCTGAACGACCATGTCGTAGCTCTGGATGCCGTGGGTAGGGAAATGGTGATGACCGAAAGCCGTGGTCGGCGTCATGCCCATGGCGGCCATGGCCTGCTGCTGGGAAATGGAAGGCTGACCCTTCTGGTTGGCCCAGTTGCAACGAATAGCGCGGGAACCGAGCCACTCCCCATCCATAGAACTCAGAGCCTTGTCGGCATCAGAGCGCTCGCGGAAAGCAACAAAACCGTAGCCACGGGACCGGCCAGTCTTCATATCCCACATAACACGAGCCTCGGATACCGAGCCAAAGGCAGAGAAAGCCTGGAGAAGCACTTCATCGTTGACTTCGTTGCTCAGATCTCCGACGAAAATGTGGAAGTGGTTGGAGGTATCCTCCTTGTTTGTGCTATTAGACTGGTAGGCCCAGTTCACACGGATTTCCTGCAGAGATCGTCAGAAGCAGTCCGATATTATGCATATGTACGTGGGCTTGCATACCGACTGGTGGATGCGACGTCCGTTGAGCGTCTGCATGGCCCTCTCCGCGGCGCCCGGGTCGTCGAATTCGACGAAGCCGTAGTTGTATCCCTTACTGTTGAACTTCTGTAACAATTAGCATGAGGAGGGGAGTCATGCAAGATATAGGGTGCTCGGCAGCAGCTCCAGCAGTAAGAGGAAAGCTTACGTTCTTATCCGGAATGATCTTGACACTGACGACATGGCCAGTCGTCTCAAAGATCTGCTTCAGAATATCCTCGGTCACCCGAGGGTCAAGGCCACCGACATACAAAGCCCTCTTGTTTGGTTCAGGGGCAGCACGGCGTACGAAACCACCGGCGCTGGTCGGGGACATCATGTTTCCGGACATGGGAGAGGTAATGGCGGTCGGGATGGGGTTGGTGTTCTGAGGAATCACCACAGGCGGGCGGGGAGGCGGCGGCATGTGGGAAGGATTAGCTTGACCATTGCCCTGAGACGCATCGTACTGCTGGTTGGGAGCAGCAGCAGAGGTTTGGGGGGGAGGAGGGAGGGTCGAAGAGGTGGAAGCGGTAACGTTGTCGGCCATTGTTGAGAGAGGTCACGAGGTGCAAATTTACAGAAGAACCGACCGGGTCAAACGAGCACTAAATGCAAGATGGAAAGGACGACGAAAGTGTTTGACGAGACAGCGGTAGGATGAGATGCAATCTTTGATGACGGGACGATGCAGGCGTTACGCAGTCAAAATTAGAGTAGGCGAAGGCGGAAAACGACGCGGGGATCGAAACACCCAGGTCAAGATGGAAACTGGCAAAAGCGCTAAACTAGATCATACAATGGGGACCACGATACGGGCGGTAGCTAGAGCGGACGATCGCCGTCAAGAAAATGACGCTGGAATGCTTCGAGAGGATGGAGAAGAATTGCACGAAGAGGTGCTGAAGTAGCGGACGACTCAAAACACAACGGGTGGTGTTGATTCTCAACCAGCCCCAACAAGTGAGCGAGGTGGCAGCAGTAGCAGCAGAGCTTCAGATTCGGGCAACCGAAGCCGGGACGGAGGTGTGTTTGAGGCAAACGCAACGGTGGAACAAGAAGACGGAGGGAAAAGAAAAAGAGCAAAGATGAAAGGAAAGGGAAAGAAAAAAAACAAAGGGAAGAGAAAACAGATGCACACGGGCTCACGAGCTCGACAAACACCTGAAGATGAGGGATGGAGATGGAGAGAGGAATGGAGGGAAGAGGAAGAAGGAAATGGGGAAAGGATGGAAACAGGGGAAAGAAAAGCTGCGATGATCTGACTTGACGGGAAGTTTGACTGGAGAGCAGAACGAGGAGTTTGGATGGTCAAGAGCCGCTCCGGGTGGGGGGCACGCTAGCCCCTCTTGCGTTAGTCCTCCCTTGACGGGCCTCGTCTTTGTCCAAGCAAAGGCGCTTATTCTCCATCATTTGCTTCTTCCTCCTCCTCCTCCTCCTCTTCCTCTTTCCCTCTACTCCTCCCCCCCCCCCCTCCCCCCTCCCGCCTGATCTGTTCACCTGCCCTCACGTTGGACAAGCTCCTGTCGCGTCCTTGCTATTTTTGTGTCCCTTGGCTTGGGCACTGTTTGCGCGACTTCCCTGCGCTTCTTGCAATTTCCCTCCTCATAACGACTCTTCTGCTCCAATTGGTTTTCAGGTACTGCCGTCAAAGAACCCGGCACCCGTCCTCACGGACCTTCTGAAACCGTCCATTCACATCTAAGTACACATTACTGGCTCTTATCGCTCTTTGATACTGCTGGTTAAGGGCCCTTCCTTTTAAACTTTTGCGTCAAACACGACCGACTGGAAAGCCGACAGGCCATACCAAACACCTGTCTGTCACTACACTACCATAGCCATGGCGACAACAAATTTCTGCAATCCGGACTCTCTTGACGTTCTGACGTCAATGGTCAACCAAACGGTACTCCTTTATCCTAATAACCCCCTTGCAGTGCTAAAGGCCATATTCTAAATCCCAGTAGCTCATAGAGACCGGCCGCTTTTTTAAAACTGGCGGGTCCATGCAGTCCAGGGCCCAACTCAAGCGTTCAATCCCCACTGCTCACGAGAAGTTCCAAAGTGCTTTAGATAATTTATCTGAGCAGATAGTAAGCTAGCAGCAGCTTCGAAATTTGCAATCTGTACTCACCGTCGACAGTTTATTGCCAAAGCTTTCCTTGAACGAGACTACGAGGCAGTGCAAGCAAAGAAAGCTGCCCTTCAGCCCGCTGAGGATGTTGTTATGAATGAATCGAACGTGAAAGTTGAACCAGAGGCGGCACCACAGCCTTCTGAACAACCAGTGACCGACGCAGACACCGTTCAGCCCAAGGCCGAGCCAGTTGACGACGCTCTCGCTCCGAAGCCCCAGGTCGACGCAAATGCTAGTCAGCCAAGCGATCAGCCCGTCAAAGCTGAAAAGCCCGAGGAAGATGCCGCTGATGTGCCTGCAGCACAACCCGTTTCTGCGCCAGGCGATTTCAACTTCGATTCCATGCTAGCCGATAATTCTGGGACCAACGCCTTCGACCTGAACCTGGACTTTGGCGATGATGGTGTGGGAAATGACAGTTTCCTGTCAGGCTCTAATCTAGCCAATGCCGCCAGTAATGCCAACAATGGCACTGGGGGAGAAACCAACCAGCCAAACAATGCTCCAACAGCCTTGCCTGGTACCGAGAACACCCCCGCTCCCGCACAGATGGGAGGGGATGCATTCGATCTTGAGCTACAAAAAGCGGAAGCATTCACTAACCCGGGGGATACCTCGGGCGAGCAGACGTTTGATGGACAAGGTGGCAGTAACATGGAAGATGTCATGGCACCAGGAGAATCTAGCTTCGACGATCTGTTTATGGAGAACGACACTTTTGGGGGAGAAGGAGCTGGAGACGCTAGCTTACTAGATGGGGACGGGTTGGTCAACATCAATGACCTGGATGACAGCTGGTTCACTTGATGGTCCACGCATGAATGTTGCTCGAGATATGGACCAGCTACCTTCGCACGGATAGACAAAAGGCAAACAGCTATATGCTAGTCGGGCGATAACATCCCAAGTAATATGACGAATATCTGGAACAAACATCATCAATCAAGGCGATTGCTTCCTTCTACAATGCAACTTCGGTGTCATCTTCAACCACCGGCCAGACACACTTCTAGAATGATCAGCGCAATCAATCTGATACCTCGCCAGAGGGAACATTCTCAGTTCTGCGATTACCGAGCCGCCAATCGGCAAATCAGACGATCCACCCTGTAAGGGGGTTGGGGATCGGTACCTACCAGGCAACGGAATGACGCAAGGCACTCCGAAAGTGGAGGAATGTACGGACCGGGGCACGGCGGAGCTTATCTCAGTCGGTAAACTGACGTGAAGGCACTCAACTTTAAGCCCGATTAGCTCTTCTGTGTGAAGTGTTGGTCCGGCTTGGCTTCAGTTGCAGCTAAGCTGTTTCCTGCTAGTTCGGCCTCGGGATAACTACTGACTGGGTCCTACAAGGAAGTTCAGTTCCAATAGTTTGGTATGGCGATGTTTCTCGTTACACAGATAGTATGGAGTTAGTGTGTGGTCCGACGTCAGCCTCCAAATGCCATGAAGTAACTGGCCACTTTCCTGAGGTGTTCAGAACAGAAGATAACGATCTACATTATGATGCTGCCTATGGGTAAACAGTAGTCCCTGCGTACAAGTAAACAAACGGAGGAGTGTGCTGAAGTCAATGTAAAGTCAAGGTTACCCTGTGATGATGTCATCCATGTGATAATGGACTTTGTGTGGAGAACATCATGGGAAGCCGGTGTTGATGATCGAGATCGTCTCCAGACTGTCAGCGAGTGGTAAGCTGAAGGCCCGGAAGGTTTCTCGCTGACTAAGAGCAGGTAAAATTGTCCGGATTTACTATCCAATGACTCATAGTAAACTCGATGTATCTACACTGTGGGCTGACAGGTCGGTTAAAACCATCAGAGCCATCTAAAAACTGTACGGTATATCTACGCCTTGAAAGTCTAGACAATTGACTACTCTACCTGGAACAATAAGATATTTGCAAGGCATTGAACCGGACAATACTCGGACCTACAGGTGGCGGCGGCGACCACAAACGAGTGTGACGGCAAAGGCGACTGTGGAACCGTTCCCGAAATCAGGCCATGGATCTAGAATTAAACTTCTGCATCCATTCTTCAAGTCGGAATGAGAGGTCGGGAATGGTTTTTGGCGACCCGACGGAAGCCTGAAGGGAAAGGTGTTTTTGATTGTGTATTGACCTGAGAGGCGAAAAGCAGAGAGAGGGGAGAAAATGAATTCATCCATGATTCCCCAGGCAAGCAAGGCAAGGCAAGAACAGACCAGACCAGGTCAGCCGGGAAAGGCACACCAAGCCTCAAAACTACTCAGAGATTAGTCAAAATCCTTCCCGTCGCGCCCCGATGATATCACCAGCACGGCCAAGAATCCCCGCATTGACAACGAAACGCGGCAGCCTCGCAGGAAGCTTTGGGATGTCACGAACTGTGTCCCGGTGGATCTGACCGCCTCATATCCCGGTCTTTGTTGTTTTACTGGGGTTGGATTCCGACTCGACTCTGGAGAAGGAGGGGGGGGTGTGTGTGTGTGTATGTATGTATGAAGTCAAGGGGACAACTGGCTATCATCCTGATGATCCTGAGCGAAAAGGATAGACATCATCTTATGACCGAGCGAACTTGCTTTGGTCTCTCTCTCCCTCTCTCTCTCTCTTCAGGCTGTGCCGGAATACCCGCCTCTAAAGCCTCAGAGTGCGTGAAATTCGGCCCCCGGGCCCAGCAGATCAGACGTCACTCCCCTCAAGTCATGGCCGAGGCCTGGGCCCCCTCTTTTGACGCTAACGATTCAGCTAGTAAAGGGACAAAGTACCGTTCGAAGATATCTTTAGTCTAGGGTGTTCTTTCCCTTCGTACCTGAGGACACGAACCGCACCACTGCCCCGTCATCTTTCACATGGAAAAGATGGGGGCGAAAGGGCTAGAGAAAGAGTAGAGAGACATAACCACACCATCAGTTGAGGCTATGCTGAATATTGATTGAGCTTGAGAAATCTCTAGTAGCAAACAATTTGCTAGGATTCGGTCCACAACATCGTAAAATCAACATCGGGTCCGACGGACTGACAGAACGGGTTGAGGCCAGACCTTCCATTGTAGATAATCAGAGTTGGAATAGCTCGAGTAGTTTACCAACGTTGGTGGTCTCCTTCCATGGCGCCCATGTTCGTGCGGAAAGTCTGACCGCGGGTGGAAAAAGATTCAAGGACAGTTTGGTCCCAACTCCCAAGTGGTTCAGCGAGGAGAATGGCCTTCATTGGAGACTTGTCGAAGGCAACTTGCGGATCACCGGATATGACTGAACTGAACCTACCGACTTTCCCCCTCCATCCGCGTCATCGTCTCGCTCTCTCTCTCTCTCGCTCTCTCTCTCTTGTTCTTCCTCCAAGCCCTGGTTCAAGTAGTAGTCGGTTTCCCTTCCTTTCCCCCCGCCTTGTCTTTGCATTTAAGTATCTTGTGCCCAAGGAACTATATCCGCACCGCCTCATTCTTGTCCGTGTCTGTGTTGTCATTGATGTCAATGCTGCCCTTTCGCATGACCTTTCCCCCCAGTCGATGATTGACTCTTCGATACTTACTTACTCCTAACTCGCCCTACCTGGTCCTCCCCCCAGACACAATCCATCCCCATTTGGGTCGCCGGTGTTTTGGCTTTCCCCCCGCATCATCGACCAATCTGGCCTGCTTGACGCTACTGAAAACGGTGATCCCTTCCTTCGCGTTGAACGCTTGAATTACTAGGGACTTTACCTTTTGCTGCGCCGCGGTGGACGTGCTGCTCCTTGCGCCGTCGATCATCTCCCAAACTCAGAAAACATCCCAATCCGAAAAGAGGCAAAGCAAAGAAAAAAAAAAAAAAATTACAACAAAAATTGATTAAAATAAAAAATAATCGATCTAAGGGAAAAGGAAAAAAATACACTACGAAATTAAGGACAGGGAACTGTGACTCCGTCCCAAGGAAAATTCCACTGGTCGCACGACTCGCTGCAGCTGGGACTGTGCGTAAGATTCAACCTGAATCTGAATATACTTCTCCACGCCCAGTCTTCTGCTCTCTTGACTCCATTTCGGTAAGTCGTCGATTCATCCCCAAAACGTGCTTGCTTCTTTGCTGCTTTATTTTTTTTGTATTTTTCCTTTTCTTTTCCTTTTACCCTTTGACCCTGCTGCATTCCTTTCTTCCCTTTCTCTTTTTTTTCTTCTCTCTCTCTTCTCCTTTCTCCTATCTTCCTTTGTTACTCTACTTCTTCTACCTTGCGTCTCCCTTGGTGACATCCCTCGCAATATTGGTGTAATCTCTCCCCTCTATACTTCAGCAACCAGCATACTACATCCATCTTGGGTGCCTCACCTGCGCCTCTCTATATCCGTCTTACCCGTGGTTGAAAATCAGCCTATCCGGACATCCCGCAGTCATCTTTTTTGTCTTTCTTCCTTTTTCTCTGTTTTACCTTAGGGTCTTCATTGCGTCTGGCAAATAATGCTCTTCGATTGGTGCTTTACACGATGACGACTCACATCTCCCATCTAGAACAGGATTTATCCGGTTCCGTGACCACTACAACTAGTACGGTCTCCCACCTTTCTTGTGGCACCCCCGATTCTGTGCCCATCTTCCACAGTCTCTTGAGATTTCGCTCCGATAATCGTCGGTCTCTAGAAACTTCCAGTGTAGTTGGCGACACTGTTGCGGTCGAACAAGTTCCACGGCCAGGCCATCGGCGGCGCGCGTCCATACTTAGCAAACTGGCGGGCCCGCGGGAAAACGCAAAGCGATTCCTCCGCCTGGGGACCCCTATCCACCCGACTACTACGCTGACGCCACCCACTCCCACTCCCTCAATGCCCGAAACACATCGCCCTCGCCCCGTGTCTGAGATTCTTTTGTCCCCCGATGATGCACAAATGCTTGCCAACACAGGTTTGAGGACGGGCAGGCTGCGCTCCCACTCTTCGTCGACCGTGTCGGCGTCCCAGCCTTCCCCGATTTCGGCTCAACCGGCAATCCCGGCGGCGGATCCATCGGTGCCGTTTCCCACTCTGCGCAATGAGAAGATCGTGGCGACCGGCAGCGGCATAACGGTTGGTGTTGCGCTCACCGAACCCGTTCTGTTTCTTCAGGGTTATGATCAGAACGATCCCAGCACCAAAAAGTCCGCCATCTTGCGCGGGCAGCTGCATCTCAAAATTACCAAGAGTGTCAAAGTCAAGAAGATCTCCATTTGTTTCCGCGGACATGCCCAGACCGATTGGCCAGATGGTATGTTACATCCCATTGTTCTTACCCCAGGTGGCGTCACCACTAACTCTTTGTCTCATGTAGGGATTCCGCCCAAGAAAGTCCACTTTCACGACAAGAAAGACCTCGTCACACATGGCGTCATGTACTTTAACCATGGAGATACTGCGCTGATGCAGAATGACTACGGCGCGCACTTCTACCAGCACGCCAAACCGGTGACGTCGGTGACGGGCAAGGATGGGCCGACCACCAGCACCCGGGAGTTGCTCTCCAAGACCGGCTCGGCGACCTCGTTGGGCCAGAACGGCCAACTTACAACCAAGGATTTGAAGCGACTGTCCTTGCAATCCAACCATTCGCGCAGTCTGAGCAAGAATGACGCCCCGCCGCCTCCGGTTCACACTCAGCGCAACTACCGGTTGTTTCCCGTCGGTGATTATCTGTATAGCTTCGAGTTTCCCATCGATGGATCTCTCCCCGAGACGATCAAGACCGATCTGGGGTCTGTTCGCTACGATCTTGAAGCGATTGTGGAACGGGCGGGTGCGTTTCGCCCCAATTTGCTCGGTACGTTGGAAGTGCCGGTCATCCGCACGCCAGCAGAGGGCTCGTTGGAGCAGGTCGAGCCGATCGCCATTTCGCGAAACTGGGAAGACCAGCTGCATTATGACATTGTCATCTCAGGAAAGTCATTCCCTCTTGGATCGCAGGTTCCCATCGCGTTCAAGTTGACGCCGTTGGCGAAGGTTGAGTGCCACCGGATCAAGGTGTATGTGACCGAAAACATTCAGCACTGGACTGCAGACAAGAGCGTCCATCGGTTCCAACCAGCGAAGAAGGTGCTGCTTTTCGAGAAGCGGGCGGACTCGGCCAGTACCAGTACCTACCCAGGAAGCTCAATGCGAGTGACGGCCGGTGGCGGCATCGACTGGGACCGTCGCGCGGCTGCTGCGAGGGGCGAGGAGATTGTCGATCGGAACCGGACCAACCTCCTTGGTAATCTGTCCAGCGACGCGGGGGTTGGCCCGACTGAGATGGAGTTCAACGTTCAGCTTCCCAGTTGCCAGGAGATGCGCAACCGGGATGAGTCTCAGCGACTGCACTTTGACACTACGTATGAAAACATACAAATCAACCATTGGATCAAGGTATGTCCTACACCACACCGGGATGATTCGCTCGATACTAACTTTGATTAGATTGTATTGCGGCTGTCCAAGGTTGACGAACGAGATTCGGGCAAGCGAAGACACTTTGAGATCTCGATTGACTCACCTTTCCACCTGCTTTCCTGCAAGGCTACACAGGCGAATATCTACCTACCTGCCTACACTTCGCCCGACTCGGAGCCGCCGCCGCAGGCTCAGGAGTATGAGTGTGGCTGTCCGGGGGCACCGCCGGTCAACAGGAATGGTTCTCGGAACGGTTCCAGCCGGCAGTCACTGTCTTCTGATCGGGACGAGGTGCCCCTCGGCGGCGCAGTTGCGAGAAGCTTCACTAATGGTTCCGGCGGGCTGGCTCGACCTCCCCAAGCCCATTTGGCGGATGAGCCAACCGATCGACACCCTGCGCCCCGACCAATGCATCTTCTGCGGGCGCCATCATTTGCACCGCCCGCCTTTGAAGATGTCCCGCCACCACCACCACTCGTGACGCCTCCCCCGGAGTATAACTCCATCGTTGGGGACAACGACCGAGAATCGGTGCTGCAGGACTACTTCTCACGGCTCTCCTTTTACGAGGAACATGCCGATGATGATCGGGGCCGCGGCCGAGTTGATGTGCCTCTCACGCCAGGGGGGCGCGTGAACCGCAGCATGGATGTCCCACGGGAGTGGGTACGTCTGGAGGAGTCGGCCGTTTAACCGACGAGCCGCATTTACGACGCTATGAGGATTGTACTTTTGTTTTAGAGGACGGAGGGAGTTTGTGATACAACCGGCGTTTGATCCTTTCGGAGCAACGTAGGCTGGCTCCCTGTCTGATTTATTTGGACTTGATTGGAAATGGCGCCTGAGGAACTGGGATGTATTTGTGGCATTGTTTGAGCGATCCCCTCGTTCCTCATACTATATACATATTGTTTATATTATGTTTAGATACCAGCTGTAGCAGATACAGCAGATGCATGGATTGAGTTATACGTACTGAATAGTGGTATCCCTTGCCTTCAGTATAGTTCAATAAACCGTAAACATATAGTAGTACGGAAGGCATGAACCTAATGAAGCAGCGGTGAAAGCTCAAAGCAGTGAACAGTAAATAGATAAGTAGTTATAGATAGGAAGTGAGAATCCGCCCGTGGTGGCGCACCGCCCGCATAGAGCTGCCTCTTTCGGCGCTTATCCACTTTAGTCCAAAGTATTTAAATCTGATTGACGCCATCATCACCTGCATTTATTGATTGTACCACCACCTCGTGCTATTCCTTTTTTCTCCTTGCACGAAGACTAGAACAGGTCATATCTTCTCATAGTATCATATCGCTCACGTTCAAGTCTACACCGCTTTCAACTGGAACTTCAACCTTGAGCCGAAAACTTCACTTGGTTGTTACTACAGAGGTTCGAGCTGCAGGTAAGTACTACTACCACCAACAACTACTAGTATATAAGTATCTAAGATGTGAACAGGGAACCTAAGGATTAGAGGAAAAACAAAAAGCAAAATGCCCATCGAAGTAACAGACCTCACCGAGGCGGATATCCCCGCCGCCATTGAGATTATTCAGACGGCATTTGCAGAAGATCCGTATTTCAAGTGGGTGTTTGATGCTGAGAATGTAAGTCCGTCAGTCACAGATAAACATACCCGAACGAGGTAGACATCTGAGTGTGTAGATGATGATCACGATGGTCAAGATAAAGGCACCAAGCTAACCAACTCTCCAACTTTCCCATCACCGCGGTCGGATTGGGTATTCTCCCCAACCGACCAGTATGGGAATCTTCATCTTCATTCTAAATGAAATAGTTCAACAAGCAGCGCAATTACGATTCCCTAGCGGTGCGATGTCGCTGGGGGATCAACAATGCCATCTTCCAAGTTGCGACAGACACAGACACATCAAAATCATCCCCAGGAGGAAAGAAGATAGTCGGCGTCTCCTGCTGGCTCCCACCTACCCCCGCTCACACACCAGAGACATGGTACAGCTGGACACAAAACTGGCTTCTCAGCTTCCGTCAGACGCTCAACAACGTATGGCATTTCGGACGGGGCGGACTCCGCACCAACCGCTACTGGATCTGGAAGGAGCGGCAGCATGAAGCGCAGAGCCAGATCTGGGATGATCCCAAGGGATACTATTTCTGCAATATTGTGGCGGTGCATCCGGAATGTCAGGGTCTGGGGGTGGGGAGGAAGCTCTTTGAGGCGGTGACGGATCGTGCGGATCAGGAGGGAGTGAAGTGTTATTTGGAGAGTTCGAGGAATGTGCCGAATGTGCAGATTTATGAGAAGATGGGGTTTGAGATGAGGAGGGAGATGGAGTGTAGGGATGGGGGGGATATTTGTATGGTGAGTTTGCTTTCTTCTATCTGTTTGGTGGTGAAACGGATTGTTGTATCAGATGGTTGGCTAACTTGGGATAGCTCTATTGTATGGTTCGTGAACCAAAGACCAAGTCGGAACTGTGAGGGGCGTGGCGTTGATTCTAGAACTGGATGGATGTGTTCACTGCTCCTCAAGAGGTAAGCGCTTCACTGCCGTTTAGCATCGTGGTGCATGCATGGTCTATCGAATATCACTCGACACATCTGCGCCTTGCCCGTTCCTGGGGCTTTAGGGTCACCGATCACCAGTCCTTCGTTGCTAGAAAATCGTCTAATAAACACGATATATGTAGCGCCGGTCTCGAAGGCGGGCTCTATTTGATCTCAGGGTAATACTTAGGCGATAGCCTAGGTTAGATATGTCTTGATAAGAAATATAAGTTAAAGATGTGATATGAACTACTAATCTAGATAATAGTAGTCATTCCATAGTTCACCAATCTCTTACCGGTAGAACCCGTTCGACACTTCACGTACTTACTAGTGTTCATTCCAAATAGCGTTTGCCATCACTTATTGGCCAGATGCACCATCAGTTGGTTGGTTGGTTGGTGAGAATCACGGACAAATCATTAATCCTTCTGCCGAAGGGTACCAAGCATCATCCCCTTTATTAAGATGCAAGGCCAGCAATGTTCACTCTCACATTATTACATCCCCTAAACTAACACAACACCTCCTCACCATGGATGACTCAACCAAACAGCTTCGCGAACGCATTCTTCGCCAAATCCGAGTGGTTCTTTCTCAACTTCCGCCCGATGTCGGCTCAGGCACGATACGAATACTTGGTGATACACCAAATAGTATTCTTGATCCTGAGGATTTTCTAGGATCCATACGTCCATTTGTTACAGAGACTGAAGAGTCCCTCCGAAAATTTCACCCGGGCAATGAGACTCGTTTTGTTGCCGCCAAAATTTGCCGTGGGAAGCACTCTTACTTTATCCTCGACCTCAACAATAGCAATTATAACTATGAAACTGCACATGAATGCAAAACTTTGATTCCCGTCTATGTTCTTCGCCTATCGAAAAGGCAACCCACGATTTTTCGCAAACGGGAGCTGGATGAATCGATCGCTAAGATACTTAGGAATATGCACAATCTCCATGGTCAGGCCCCTCTACCTCTATTTGACAACCATTATGACCCGTATCTTCAATACCCCAACCCGCGCAGCCCGCATTATGAGGTTTGACTTGATTTTTCTGCGTCTTTCTTTTGGAAATAAAATTGTTTCATGTGGACAGAAAACGTCACTTGTCATTACCGAGACTTTCTCTTGATGTAGGTGGAGATCTTGAGCATATCTGTACTGGATGTTTGTAACGCCACTTCTGTTCAATTCTTCTTTCATGTCTCTCATGTCGGATTACGTGGCTATGATCATGTCTAGACAAAAAACTGCAAAGGGCAAAGAAAGCGATCTGTGGAGAAGCGATGAAGTGAGAGCTCATATTCAACAAAACATAACGATTCTGGCGGACGTGTATAGATTCTGCCGCCAGATATTGACAGTGAGGAAGTCTTCGCAAATAACATGTCTGTCTCTTCCTATGCCAAAACCCTAGAAAAAAGACCGTGTACACGATCCTACAGCTCCGAGGGACAAAGACATGCTTTCCCCACCTTCTCGTAGGTAATACAACATGATGATAACAAAAATACCTCATTACAATGACCCTTCACTGCTCGACGGTGTCGGTTGATGAACGTGGAGCTGGCATCGTCCTGGGTTGCTTTCGATGGTAGTAACCTGCCGGGGGTTCTGCGTCTGGATAGTGCAGTTCCCTGCGCAGTTGTTCGCCGCCCTAATTTTAAACGGGCCATCCAAGCATCCACAGCCCCGAAAGAGGATCTCCTTCCAAAGACACATCTGCCGCAGTCGTTAGTATGTGCTCGATATCTTGGGGTGTCTACTGACCTCGCTAAATTCTCGCTTTTGGGTTTGATCGAGTCAAATAATTCTTTAGTGGAGTTCTATCGAGGTGGAGATGAAGGTATGGTTATGATAAGATATTGATTGTTCTTGACTGGATGTACAAACAGACTGGGAATGGAGCGCAATCGAGATCGATGGATAAGCGGGAGAGAGACAGAGGGGTACACAAGGGACTCGACTCCTATTTATGCCCCAAATCAACGCCTGGAATTTTGAAAAGGCTACATAGCGTTTACTGGGGAACAATTGTGTATGAAGGCGTAACATCCAGGACTGTGGCACATGCATAGCGGCAAACAGTGGGCTTAGCTCTCCAGACAGCGCTAAAGCCCACAAGATGTGCGGCTTCAAAATATCTCATTCGTGCTACCTAACCGCCAGCCTTGTCTGGACCCTCTCTGATGGGGCAAGAATAGATTGAATGAAAGTCGGGACTGAGACTCGGATTGGCCAGCCTCTTCCGGATCGAGTCATTTCTATCGCGGCTGAGTATGTGTGTATCACAGCCTATCTCACAGATTTCTTCCAGATGCTCTGGGCCAACCAAAGATACTTTCTGATAACCTCAGCCCCTGAGATAGTTAACCTGGCGCGCTTATGGTAGCAAAACTCATGCCTGAATGAATGTTCTAGTCTCAACGAGAAACAATGGTTAGGAACCACAAGATCTGATCCTCGAGCCTTGGAAATGAGCTAGTAGCCAACTATTGTAACAGGGACCTCGCCTTGTGAGTCATGGGGTGTCTTAGCACAAGGCAGAGTCACAGTGGCTGCGTAACAACCAACACTCTCAGAGCGGTACTACTTACTGGGAGTAAACGATTCAACGCAGCTTCCTGGCGGGCAAGGTGGTATACCATTTACCACCGAGAGTGGAGCTCTAAACCTAAGTTCAGATACCAGGTAGGATGATTCCTACCCTGGTCATTACTAGCCATGGAACCATCGGCTGCAGTAGCGCTTTTCAGGATGCACAAAGTGAATCCACATGCTTTACTGGAGCATTGCAAGAAGCTCAAGGCGCATTTACCCCCCTCAGGGATGTGCCAGTGTCCAGGATGTTCAAGACTGAGAGGCTTTGTAGACAAGGCTATCGATATCGACAGGCGGCTGTTCCTTTGCTACCCTGTCAAGGTCGTAACCATCGAGTAATAAGTTACACAGACAAGCTAATCTGGTCAGCTATTGTCATTCCGTATAACTCTTCGGTTACCCTTGACGTGATATTCGTTTTCATCCAGGACATGTATAAGTCTGGTGGGGCAAGTCTCTCAGAGGAGTTGTTAGCCCACATGGTGTAGTATGCGTAGTCTAAGAATCAATTATAAAATAACAAAACTAGACTGAAATTCCTTCGTGCGGGGGGCATATATGTCTTCTTTGTTCTTTTTTGCACTTTTCATTCGACTTGGCTTCTATCAAATTGGTGAATAATGGAACATGAATGGACCTCGCTACCATACGGAGTCTTTGCATTAATTTGAGGCATTTAGAAAAGGCTAAGTGGAAATGGTGCCAAAAACAGGTATTTTGTGGATGAGGTATGGGAACTGAATTTGGCAGTCCATTAAACTATAATTGACACCGTATGGCATATATCCATATGCTGCGTGGGAGCCACGCACAACCATGACACAGCTAGCTATCTCCTACATTGTAGCAGGTTCGTTTGAGCATATGGGTGGTGCGGCAGTATGAGACGAACATGAACAACACCCAACACACGAACACATGTAAGATCTAATCTACTAAGCCTAAACCTCGGATCAAACAAACATTTCTAGCTTAGCTAACTTTGTGTTCAGTAACTACGTAGTATGTGTCTAGATTTTCAGCAGACTATACATAAGTAAAAATGTATCCCCGTTATTGAGTGGACCCCATCAACAGACCATTAAGATCAGAGCATGGATAGTACTAACATAGTATTGATTGATCACGAGTCTACCTAGTACCTACAGTTCAGTCCGTATTCGGGTTTCTGCAGAAAAAGTTAAAGCCCCTTATTTCAGTGTTCTTTCTTTCCCCTTCTCGGCCAAGACCCGGGGAAGGAAAAGAATTGGATCCACGGGGATCCACTTTGCATGGGACGGATGAAGAATGAGAATGAATCCGTTGCCAAGGAGGGTCCTTTGTTTGATGTAGATATTATATACATAGGATTTATAGGGTGTATGTCTATTTATATTCTGTTAATCGTAATATCCTTATTTACTTAGTTACTACTTGTTAATTGTTATACTGAAGCACAGACAGACACATAGATAATAACTGGATACTGGATACTGAATAGTGGGTTATCCGAGTCATTCCAATGATCCGCCGTTTCACAAACTACCGACTAGCCCGAGTCGATCATCCAGAAGGGAACAAAGTAAACTACCTTAACTTACTCCTAGTCAACTGTAGTAAAGTTTCTATGGAACCGCCTAGACCAATTTTCCCTCTCCCCTCTATTAGGGGGTTGGTTCAACGTTCAACGTAGACAAGTTCGTTTCCAAGCCGGTGTCTCGTCTTGATTGCCCGTTAGTTAGACTAGTTAACTAGTTAGGGTTGAATAATAATAAGCCGGGATGAAAATGCCGAACATACTACCAACGCCTTTTTTCATCCTGGTTTCAGGAGAAAAAGTATCTTTTTTTCCCTGCTTCTTTTTTTTTCATCCAAGATTTTAGACTAGAGGTGCAAGCTACCCTTTTGTTGGTATTTTAGGGTGGGGAGGGGGGATGATATATCAACTACCTTTTTTTCTTTCTTCCTTTCTTCAATTCTTTTACCTTCCTTCGTTTTGTTACATTGGTTTGATTCTGTGCGCAGCTGGTCTGTGATGCCATTACATCTATCATTATACCTCAATAATTCCCATCAAAGAACATAATTAATACTATCTAATCAACCAAACAAATGTCCCAATCTACGAGTCATGTCCTCCACCACATCCACAAATACATCTCACGCAGCGACTCAACAACAACATCATCATCAGACCTCACCGTCCAGGCGAAAGTAGGTCTAGCGTTCGGCATACTAGGTGCGTCCACTTACCATCAATCACCACCAACACACCTTAACAACAACCCCAACAAGTACTAATAATACCAACAGGAGCAATCCTCCTCACCATAATACTCACCACCCTCATCGTCCTCCGAATCCAGCACGGACCCATCATCACTCTCCGAACGCTCTTCTCCCGCAACCCGATCCCAAACATACAGAGACAATCATTATCAATAGATATTTCCCCATCGGACGAGGAATCTCAACCCCCGCCGGCATACACACACCCACACACATCACTAGAGACAGGATCAAAAGGAAATGCAGATATCCCACCGCCACAACAAGCACATATACCCCCCTCGCTGCGCAAGGAACTTAATCTGCATGTTGATACATCGCATTCACACACTACCACTGCTGCTATCGCGACAACAAAGCCAAAACCTACACCGCTGAGAACAATGTCCGATACGGAGATACTGAAATCATCAACATCAACATCCTCGATGATGAAAGATAGAGAGGCGCGCTCGACGTTAAAGGTCCAGATCCACCACCACCACCATCACCTTCACCATAATCATAATCACCCGTATTATAGTCGGCTGAGGGTGGGGAGTCCGAGATCGCCTAAAGGCAATGGTAGTGGTGCTGGTGGTGGGAATAAATCAGATAGGTTATGTCCGCCGGACGAGTATGCTGTGCCGCCGGATAGTCCTGATGTGATTGTGTTGCCGTCGCCGAGGGAGTTGCAGAAGTTTAGGATTAATGTTTATCGATGAGATTATACTACGTGTACGGTAGTATGGGATTGGGATTGGGATTGGCGTGTGATTTGGGTATGTATATATGTCACTCTGTTTATGTATGGGTATGTTTGGTAATGATAATGATGATGAGTGTTCATTCTTTCTATTTATATGATTTTTTGGGGGGGAGGGGGAGGAATTGGGCGGTGGTAGTGATCAGTGGGTATATATTGAATATGTTCTATGGATACTACAAGTCATAGTAGATATGAGTATTACTGGTGTAATAGGTCACTAGTGAACATTATGATAGGGGATACAGAGTGACTAGACAGGACCAGTCTATTCATCGTCATTCAATAGTCCTGTGGAGCGGAATATCGGAGCGCTAATATATACTAAGTATATGGTAATGCACTCATTCTTTAATATAATGGTCAGCACCCCCGAAATTAATTCACAAGCAAGGTCTGTGACTGAATATGTATTAAGAGACCTGCTATTTATGAGACATACGAACAGTGAATATGTCTAGACTGGAAACATCATTCACTAATAAATAACAGTCACAATCAAAGCAAACACGATATTCACCAATAATCCCTGATATTTCAACAAGAACCAGGAGAGTAGAGCAAGTGATTAGTACTGCATTAATTAGAAACAAGCATGGTCGATAACGGCTCACCATGCTATGTGTTGTGCTGGTTCGAAACAGTGTAACATTATTAGCAGCAGCGGCTATGCAGATCAACGACAATATGATAGATTAAACTTCCAGGCTCGTGGTGCAAATTCCCTAACGGCTGAATAGGACGGAAGAATAAATTGATGCTGTGCCAATGGGGATTTGGGATGGGGTGGTTATTTGTTGGGAAGTTACACAGGGAGATGTTAGTTAGTTGGTGTGTTAGATTATCCATGTATGTTATGTTCCATATAGTATTGCCAATTATTCTTATAAACTTTATGTTAGTTTGTGAGATGATTGTCTATAAGGGGTAGTCTTGAATAGTAGTATCGAATAACAGTAGTATTTAAACACCCTGCCAAGCTGCATTTCATCTTGTCTACTCCGTCTTGACAAAGAAAACGGGTGAAAACTCGACCTACCAAGCCCTGACTACCCCTACAGCATACGTAGCTCTCACAGGCGGCATGTAGCTTCAAGTACTCCCCTAGACCCGGCAATATCCGACATGATTGACTGGTATGCCCTTGGACGGGAGATTCAGGACCATAATGGCTGTGACAGTGATAGTCTAATCCATGTTCGTGAAGCTTCTGTTCTTTCACCATGACAGCATGCACGTGGCGCCATGTGGGGATGCATTCTATAGCATCGAGCCGTCTGGTGCGTGAATACGATCATGTCCAGCTTTATAAATGGGTGCCAGTGCTTCGAATTTCCCTTCTCTTTCTTCCTCTTCTTCCTCATGCACAGTTGTGACTTTCCTGTCTCTATCGTTGAATCTGATCACTGATACGCCTTTTCCTTAAGAGCTCGCTTCCGAAGTCAGCATGCTCATATTCATTCTCTTCCTCGCCCTAGTGGCCCAAGGTCTTACCATCACCCGCTCAACCACGGGCAACATTTGGCAGCCCAGAGTCGGTGCTTCATGGGACATTGTGCTCTCTACCAGCGTACTTCGTCCTGCTCCTGCCACTGAAATCTATGACATCGACATGTGGAGCAGCGAGCCTAGCACCATTAATTCCCTCCATAAGCAGAACCACAAAGTGATCTGCTACTTTTCCGCTGGCAGCTACGAGCCACACAAGAAAGACAGTGCCTCGTTTCCAAAAGAAGCGCTGGGCAATCCCCTTCGCGACTGGCCTTCGGAAAGATGGTTGGATGTCCGCCATCCTCAAGTGCGCCGCATTATGGCAGCCCGGTTGGACCGAGCACAGCAGATAGGCTGTGATGGTGTTGATCCGGATAATGTTGATGGATATGGCAACGACAACGGTTTCGGTCTGACGAAACAGGATTCCATCAACTATATCAATTGGTTGGCTGGAGAGGCGCATAGCCGGGGTCTGGCTATGGGGTTGAAGAACGCGGGAGATGTCATTCCTCAGGTTCTTGCAAACGTGCAGTGGAGCGTCAATGAAGAGTGTGCAGATAAACACGAGTGTGATCTGTATGCCTCTTTTGCAAGGGCTGGAAAGCCTATCTTCCATATTGAATACCCCAAAGGTAGTGACAGGAATGACGATGAAGATGTCGATGGGGAGGAGAAGAGACGATACTGTGAATTCTCCAATTCGGGACTATTTTCAACGGTTTTGAAGAACATGATCCTGGATCGTTGGGTTCAACGGTGTGACTGATACTGTTTGCATCTTCGGATGTATTGGATTGCTTTCTACACTAGCTGAGCTGGTTTGTATTTATGCTGTGTCTTTGTCTCCTAGACCTGAGTTGTTTAGTAGATTGCCACAAAGAATCCGATTGTTTTGAGCCGAGACTTGCATAATTGACGTTCTGCTGTTCGTCATTTTGCAACATGTCATTCTGTTCTCTTGTAAAAGTAGGCCGCTTATTGCGCTCACTTGGAGAGCCACCGTAGTAACTTTCGGTACCGGCAATAGGACAACTCGTATCTGCTGTCAACTAATCAGCAGCATAGTGCCCTGTAGACTGACTAGCCTGTAGCCTGGCATCCTGTGGTGCAATTGGCTCAGCAATTCACGCTATAGGCGATGTCCGAACACTGTATATTGCTTAGCGAGAATCACATGGTTCTCATATATTAGCTTACAATGACTAATGCTTTCATGTGTCTGAAATTGGCAGCCGTTTTATCCAACGCCACCGTTAGCAATGGTATGAGCTCTTATCTCGCGCACGGCCCTACAGCTTAGTATGCCGGCGCAAACTAGATAGGTCCAGAACATCTGCTGAGTAGTAAGCGGGACTCAGAAAATGGCAGCCTACGGAGAGCGTTATTTCAGTGAAAGCAATCACCGCCACCAAAGCATTGATAGTAGTGCGTCGAATCAACAGCTTTCCGATGTAATGGCTAGTCACTCGCCCTACTTCTTGCCCTGCACTCGAGGCCTGCAGAGCACGATGTGGCTAGGGTCATAGCACCCCCGCACTAACGAGCAGTAAGAGACCGTGCATGCGCGCATGTAGGTGTCAGGTTGGAGCTAGCTGTCCCAAAAGACCTGGCTACCGCGGCTAGTCTAGTCTATGCTAAACTGGCCCTCGTAGTGCATATTGCTGCAGATGCGAACAGACTTGCTAGACTTAGGGTGACAGTAGCCCTGCTTCAATAATATCGCTGCGTAGCGTACTACTAGCGACTAGAAAGGGGCTCGGGCCTAACTTGCCAAGTCTGATGCTCAGACGTGCATTGTTCCATGCTGGCAGATGCAGCTCCCCCGCTCTTCGACTGATATGGGAGATAGCATGAGACCGGTTGCATGAGCAGCAGAGAAAGTACTTCTCGAACACGATCCGGGTCTAAGCGCATTAGACGCATGACAGAATTATGGACGAATTGTATTGAAAGACGTCGCCGATCTGCGGGTGTCTCGTCGTGTAGAATAGACCTGTGAACAGGATCTGCATCAGCTGTGTTCCAGTAGGGTATCATTATGCGAGGTAAGCTGATCGCCAACGAGATGCATTGTATTGATCATCCTCAAAAACGTCCTTGCACACTCACAATGGTGGGTTTCGTAAATCGCAGTGGCCTGGCTAGTGAGAATCTTAGCTTCATTCTCTTTCCTATCGCTACCAATACCTCGTAGACTTGATAAGGAGAGCTGAGGTAATAGACAGCAATCTCCGAGGAGCGCTCCCAGGCTATCTGCTGGCACTGAATCACCAACCTTTCAGAATAGCCATAGATCATGAAAGACGCAAAGCACGATAGCTTGGAGCAATCGACAGTACACAGCTGAGATGCTTTTTGACTGTGATATTGATGATAGAAGAGATGAAACTGTTGTTGGAAGGCCGGTTGTTGGACCGAACAGGTTGCATGTGAAAGAAGAGAAGAAGAGGAGTAGCTGTGAAGTAGTTATTCATCCTCGATCAGGTGACGCCAGGTCTTCAGGCACGATGTCGTGCTCTTCGACAACGAATAGGTCAAGCCATCTCTTAGCGACCCAGTCAGTATATACTCTGCATCTGTGGTATTTAGAATGAAAGAAGGGCCGGCAACATGTCTTTAGGCTGGACCATGTAACACTTAACGCTGGATTAATCAAGCTTCATATTTTAGACTGACATACACATCGCTAAATTCACTATAACGAACAACATACAAGTACAAGCCTGAGAAAGTCAAGGTATTCTTGTCATCCTATCGTGTTCCAGCTACTATAGATCCACAGTAGAAACCACCGTTGGTCCGGATGAGTGTATACCCACCACGGCCAGCCTAACCATTCTACCCTTGCCTTGACTGCTACTATAGCCGGCTGATTGACACCAACGGTCGCAGATCCCCCTGAAAGATCTATTTGCCGTTGAGCCACTGTTCACCATTTGCCACGCCAGGAAGCTTGACTTCGGTAACGCACTCGGCAGTCAGCCGTAGACAGGCACGGCCCAATAATGTCAACATGATACCTGGCATGGCCGTTGTGGCGCATCGACAGGCTCTAAGCAATCGTCTCATTACGAGGGATCACAACCAGGCAAGCATGGAAGCTTCCACGCACGTCATAGACGCAGTCTTGACCACAAACAAACAGTGTATGTGCCCATCATGTGTTTGCTGTAGTCAACATCTGTATGCATGCCAAGTGTCTCCGAAGCCACTTACTGGTTAGTACCTTCGGTGTCCCGGGTAGATGGAAGGTCTTCCCTCTCGGTCATGAGATAAAGCAACGGAGTCCCGAATCCCAGTAGGAGTATACTCCACGACGGCATAAAGCCGACATTAATTGCATTATCGACTGCGCATTAGTGTCAGAGGTATCACCGAGTAAGACCAATGTGACAGGCACGAGGCTAGGAGCTGGAGATAGTTACTGGCGAATCAAGCCCAGCAAAAAGCACCCTAATTTACCTCCTCAATCCCAATATGTGCTAAATAGCAGCCATGACGAAATCATGGCCAGTCAACCAGCACCCAACTCCGAGACAGCTCGGTGATTCGTCGATAGATCAGGGGTCCAAATGGGGGCAACAGATGGAGAAGAATCCAGCAGGAGCAGCCGGTCCGACCCCTGGCCTGATAATTAGTTAGTTAGTGCAGAGATAAGCAGACAGACAGGGAATTGGACAGTGCAGTGCTAGACTAACGGAACTACTAGAACGTTAGCAGAAGAACAGCTTCCCGCCTAGTTCAGGTAGTCTAATACATGTCGAGTACCGGCCGAAAATGGGCCAGTAATGGTCAACGACACACCCTGCTGGCTCCACAGGTGATAGCTGAGAAGAAGCCAAAGCCCACCTGCAGAGGACCGAGTGTAGTGACCGAGACATTTAGCAGAGAGCCCCGGAGGAGTCCGTAGGCTTGATAGCCGTTGCCAAGCGTGCTTGATTAAAGAGCCAAGACTGGAATCGGTCGGATAGATCGAGGCGATGCATGAGATGACATGATTTTTGGCTCGGATTCGGCCCGGACTGCCCGTGCCTCGGAGCCTTGGTACAGAATGGAATGTGATCCGTGGCTGCGAATTGCAGAAGGCCCGGAGTGGCTGGATGTTGAATGAAGCCTAGGACGGGAGGATAGGCATTCGATCTGCTTTGTTGCATCCTTTGATAGCAGTCGTCGCTCAAGGGGATTGGACGGGAGGTCAAGTGCTTCCGCTTACCAAGGCGAGATGAGATGCCAGGAGGCAGTCAGTTCCAGGACTCACCTATGAAGTGGGGTGGATTGCTATGGCTGGTGGATTCACGCCCCTTCCATCAGCTCGGACAGTACTGTTTTTGGTTAGTGGCCTTGACCAACAAGAGCTGTTCCTTTTGGTTGAGGACTGGAGTGACGACTACTACCTGATGGGAGTTGAAAGTGAAGCTCGGGTATTGAGGAAAAGGGTCTCGCCTCGGTGTGTGCCATGAAAATGATGTAACTGGAAGAAAGGCTGACGAGACAGGCGACAGCTGAACTAAACGGGATGCAGCTTATAATGTTATCATAATTACCAGTATTATTTCGATGCATTTTTAGTGTTCTTATGCGCCTTACGTGGCTTAAGATCTAGGGCCACGGTCTATCAGCCGGGCCCGGCAAGGTCTTCTGGCCAGCCATCGTTGCGCACATTCTACTGACATGACGAAGGGGAAATGACAGCGAGAAGAAGACGGCAAAATTATCCAGCAATCACCGCAGCACTATCAATTGGGTAAATGTGTGACCGTATAAAATGTAATTACCCAAGCGAACCACCAGGCTTGTTGGGCAGTTGAAGGTACTTTGATCGGTACTTTCCCCAGGAGCCGTTTAATTCCCCTCGAATGTCTTGGCTATTTATTTGGTAATAATGGACGTAATATTATTGCCATGCTACAACACTTAGATTGTTTCTTTGCTTTCTACCACCTTCTTCTCTCATTCCCTCCCCACTATATTCCCTCGCGGTGCGTTTCAGCCAGACACGATGGGAGCGCCCTGCCGACTGGGCCAAGCCTGTCCGGCAACCTAATCGACCAAGGGCAAAGATGACGGACAGACTCAAGAACGCATGTACACTCCCCGCACCCTCAATTGCCGTCGGATAATTTCTTGCCGATGTATCAAGGATGATTGGAGAACTGCACCAGCGACGCGTCCTTCAAAGGGAGATTCTTTTGCCGAGAGGTAGTAGCATCCACATCGGGTAGATACTTTCTGATAGACGGCTGGATGGGCAGGGCAAGTCCCGTTAACATTATTAAAGTACCGTGGCACGGCTCAGAAGTTAAAATAATATTACCGGCTCCCAACTATAATAACAGACTTCCAGCCCGCCTTACTCCCAGGATCTTCCGTCCATCTTGAAGCAAACAATCAAATAACTAGGACCCAGTGCTGTATGAGGTCATACTTGCATGGGTGAACTACCGGCGCTACTTGCTTGCCTCTATCCCCGATGCTTGCCCTACTCTGAATCTTCTCCGGTCTGGGAAAGTCAGGCCATGGTGGCCCTGATAGGCCTCCTACTCGTTCCGGTAATCAAGCCGCGGTCCAGCCCATAATTTCTTCGGAAGATAATCGATAGGTTCGGAACAGGCGTGGAGAGAAAATCGGAAGCTCGAGGGTCATCCTGACACCGAAAGCCTGTTGGGAATTAGGCAATACAGCTGACTGGGTATCCTCCGCAGTCGTCTCGAGACTCCTCCATCTTGGTGATGTGAGTGGTGGACGGACTACGGAGTTATGCCGGATACCCTGTTTTGCGTCCTATGATAGAGAGAATAAAGCATTCTACGGACGGGGGTGGAACAAAGAAGGGAAACGGAAAATGGGGGGAGGGAGACACAGAACAAAGGGGAAGGGAGGGGTTGGGAGGGGAATAGGAAAAAAAAATAAGATATTCGGAAATCATGATAGAATTAAAAATTAAAATGAGAAATAAAAGTGCGGAAAGGAAGTGAAAGTGGAGAGCGAGGAAAAAAAAATTAAACAGAGAAATAAAAAGTTACAATGAAATTGCGAGATTCTGAGAACTAAAAGAGTCCAAAAAATGGAAAAGAAAAAAGAAAAGAAAACAAATCCTACGTTCAGAAAATTGTTAGAAGGATGATCCCAGTCAAGCTGAAATAATAGTGGTTTAGGTCATAAAGCAGCAGGGATGGAAGCGATGTGATCGACAACCCTTCACAAACTGTTTGTTCGATCTTGTCACAACGTCTGAAAGTACTATGCTGCCACTTGGCTAGTCGTCGAGGCGTCCACGCTGAATCGTGATTAGTAGTAGCACGAAATTGTGCATCCGTTTTGATCCGTCCTGACCCTCCCACCTTGTTGTTCCTCGCTGGGGTACATGCAAGGTACTAATCAAGTCCCCTCCGTAGAGACAAGGAGGAACTCACACTGACTCTGGTCCCTGGTTTGGTTGAGGCCCTATGGGTGTTTGGTTGTTGCTCCGCAGTCTCCGTCCGAGCCGCTGGTTCCTCTCCTGTCTCGTCGTTGTAGCATGACTGTCTGGAAACATCAAACCGACCGTACTACTCCGTATACGGAGCAAGGCAGGAATAGTGGCCTGCGACCGCCTGCATGCCCTGCAGCAAATGCATCATCGGCCCGAGAGTAAGTTCTGTGTTGGTAAGGAATCCATGGGCACTAGCCCTTATAGGTGGGCTGAGGCAGAGAAAAGGGTTCCTTTAGCACTGCTCGGCGACCAGTGATTCGTCGAGACACAAATTATTATCACCAGCTCATGACAAATTGCGGTAGCCGACCACAATAGTTGTTGGGACTGCGGGAATATCAATGGCTGCGGCCCAAAAATTCCCACCATCTCCACCCGAGACAATGTTGGTTTTTCTTTAGCAATCTGGCATCTCCACCATCTCATGCAATAATCTGATTAGCGCCAGTCGTGCGTGCCGGCAGATGTGTAACCACGGTCTGTCACGGATGCAGGCCGCTCGAGGACCACATTGGTCTGGAGATGGGATGTAACGACTAGCGTGGAGTTTGTCGTCATTGTTTCTCTGTCCACCCTCCCCTCATGTTGCCAGCGAGGTTCATGTTTTCTAAAACGATCGACTGCTGCTTGTTTGATAGGATGTTGAAGCAGCCAGTCGAGAAATACATTCCAACCGGTTTCGCATAGCTCGGATTGGCGAGCGTGAGCTGCAAACGCCACAGAATCCGGGTGAGAACCTTGAAACCGGTGCAACCCCCCTCGCAAGCCTGCGGAGGTGGAGGAAAGGCAATAGCCTGGGGTGCTAAAAACCACCCGCCCGGCTAGAGGGCCACTGGAGCTCACCTTTCGGCCGGTCGCTGTCGAGGCGGAGGAGCACAGACGCCATCTGTCCCCCAGTAGGTGCAGGACGATACCTTCTTGGCAGGCAACGGGCTGCGTTGCAGGCCTCTGCGTCAGAGTCCATGGTGACTTGATAACTAGCTAGCTGTCTCTAGCGCCCCCGGTGCGGACACCTTGCGAGCAGGATAGTCTGAACCCGCACAGGTCATGGCGGGTCTTGTGTAGCGTCTCGACGACTCTTCCGCTACTCTTACTCGTCCGTGGTTTCTGTATCCGGAGCAAATGGTTTCATCCGTTCTTTCAAAAGTTCCGAGCGAGAAGCACATGTGCAGAACATGTGATGCTCTCTGTGGTTTCTGTGCGAGTTCTAGGTCGGCGCCGTATCCCCTTCTGCGAAATCCCGACGGCCACGACAGATGGGTACGCTGCCTTGCTCTTTCGTTTGTAGCAAAAAGAAATAAACAAGCTTCATTGTTGGAATCAAAAAACACGGTAAGTAATCAAAGGGTGGGCTGGAAAGAAGAAAACATAAAGTAAAGTATCGAGAAGAAAAAGCAATCTATCAAACCGGCCAGTCTTTTGGACTCCTCCAAGCGCCATGCATATAACGGTACCCAAATCCGCAGATCATAACCCGGGCTTGGCCTTTTGGGGCCCTTGATATCAGTAATGAGTAAGACAAGCAAGAAGTGAAAGTACAGTATCAACAATATGTGCACAGGAGAAGTGAATACAACATCAACACCACAAGACGGTATCGTTAAGAAGTCATGATAAGCCAGAGTTAATATGAGAGACATGAAATGCGTCGTAATGAAGGGTGTAGCGTCAGGTAGGCTCCGATATAATCCCCGGAGGTAATGAAGCCAAGATGCGCCTGCTTCGATTGGGAAGAGGACCGTCGCTCCAGGCCAAAACGGGAAGGTCGCAATGTCGTTGCCGCTCGCGATTGATCCAAGATTGATGCCATTCAATGTCGACTACAGAGCAAGCATTTTCCAACCACCACGATGAACCTGTCATGCGGACTATCTGAGCATTTGGCGTCTTTGGCTCCATCGACAGATGTCCGGATGAAATGTTGCGACGGTTCACGACAGGAACTGTAGATGTAGTAGTTTTTGAAGTAATTGCACATGTTCCTCGAGTTTCGATTTCAACGGGTCAGGAAACGCAGTGCAATGATGCTGGATGCCGTCGATTGAGCTTCGATCAGATAGAGGCGTTTTGCTGTATGCGGGGAGGCCAGAGGAGAGTTTCGGACTGGACGGGGATATGAAGCAGTAGAAGGATTTAGAATTTATCTGGAGCATTGACAAGGCTCGTGCTTGACAGTTTCTCAGGAATTTGTTGTCGACCTTTGTGAACTGACCTGGACTTGGAATAATATATCCCACTTCATGGTGGGCAGTAGTGTCTGTCTGTCATGCAAGCACCAGGGATAGGAATAAAAGGCCCATCACAAGCCCCGTTGCAGCAAGGTTAAACAGGGGAAGGGAAAAAAAAAATAATAATAAAAAGAGCCAAATACATTTTCTTCTCAGAATAAATTATTTTTTCTCGTCTCCCCAATAAGAAAATAGGAAAAGATAAAAAAAAATAAAATAAAATAAAAATTGTCAAAGGTGTGCCCAACAAAGTCAATTTAGGTTCTCATCTATTTTCCTTTTTTGTTTTTTGTTTTCTCTAATCAATTTCAATCTTTAATTATAGACCCGCTCCACGAACCTCAGGGCCGTTGAAGCCGTCCGGAGCAAACCTTGAGTACCGCAAGTCCCTGTCCCGATGCGGGTCCAAATACAGTGGAAGCGCATCAATCTCCTTTAAGGACAACAATGATGTCGCAACTACAAACTTTGAAGGAGCACCGGCGGATACCGTTCCACTGCGATGCAAAGCCCCATCTGCCGCGGATTGATCGGGTCAATGGGAGATCGACACGGTCCCTCGCAGCCGTTGATGCTTCACTTGCACGTGGCGCTAACTAGGATCTTCATGCATAGGCACTGGTGAGACTTTAGAAAAAAAAACATAATTCTTTGCTTGGGCCTCAGTCAGTAATAGGGCCCGGCAAACACGAAGGGGCTGTGAAACTGTTCGGTCTGCAAAATTTTAAGCCCGTGGTTCAAGAAGTCCCGTTCCATGGAGTTGCTCCAATTGGCTAACAGAGATAGACTCTAGTCATCTCGGGATAGCCAGATAGATGCATTAGCCAATATCGGGTATGGGGAAAATCGTAAGTTAGTTCGTCAGAATGATGGATCACCATTGGACAATGCAAATATCATGGTGCCTGGCCCGTCCGGCTGCTTTGTATTGACTGACGTCTTTTAATCCCTTTCACTTTTACATCGATCAACCTGCAACTGTTTGTCCCCTTGTCAGCTCCATGCAATTAATAACTTTATCCACAAGGTAATTTGACAGCATGGTGCCACCACCATCACTGTAACTCAGACCAGCTGTCCGACTAGACTCGGCTACATGTGGCGGCAGTGCAGACCTAGCAATATAGCAGGAAGCCTGACAAGGGATGCACTCAGGACGAAATACCACGCGCCAGCTTACAGGAAGTCCAACATCAACCAGCCAAAGCTGATTGCAATTGGAGAGGAGGCCAGGTTATCATCCATACAAAGGAATCGCAACCACCATAGTGCTGCTTTCAGGCCCAGCCATAGTAAGCTTTCACTTGAAATTTTTTTTTTCTTTACCCTTGCTCGATGGGTAATCAGAATGGCCATTGCACCGAACACACGTCGGGTTGCCGTTAATTGTTGGTATCGTATGCGTAAGCTTCCGGGAGATCGGGGAGCAACGGTGCCAAGAACATAGTGGGATCCTTTTCACCTCAGTTATTGGCGTGGGTGCTTCGCTACCCTTTGCTAGCAGGTAAGAATCAACAAGACTATTGAGGAAGGATCGGGTGTTCTCCGTAGGCACACAAGTAGGTACCAAGTGCCCACTCAAATGGTCCCATATGCAGAGAGTCTCGGCCCATTGCCAACGGGGTATGAACCTAGTAGGGCGGTTAGCGGGAGACTGTTATCGGCAAAAGGGTGTGAGGTATTTTCCCCCTACTTTTTTTCCCTTTTTTTTTTTTTTTCCTTTTCTTTTTTCTCCCCTCATCTCATTATTTCTTTCTATTCAGATCTACTATCTTTCCAGGGAAGCGTTAGCAAGTGTTTTGGGGCAAGCAATCAGATTTCACTCACTAGACCAGGGTACAAGTGGCGAAAGAATTGACCTTCCTGTCGGCAATGTGATTCGATGTGAGTGCCTCACTTGAACCGGGACATGGCAAGATGGTTTGCTTGCTTGCTTGCCGGGGGGGGAGGGGAGGGGGGAAGAGAAGACGGGATGGAGCATGGATAGATTAACTCATAGTAACAAACAAGACCCATATGAAGGTAGTGTGTGTAGAGCAGCGTCTGAGAAAGAACTATAGTATTAGTGAGACATCGCGAAGGCCGAAGGGGCCACAGTAGTTGAGCACCTAAGGAAGTTGGTGAGCTTGATCCAAGCCCGAGATAGGATGGTGTGCGGGGCTAAAAGGGAGTTCCCTGGTGGTTTGCGAGTCAGAACCACGGCGCATCGTTGACAGCCATTCCGGCTAGAGGTCCAAGCTCGGCATTTCCCGAGTTGGACTCGGAGGTTAGGCGGGGTACTATGCCACAAGTCGGTCCTTTTTCTTTTTCTTTTTCTTTTTCTTTTTCTTTTTCTTTTTCTTTTTCTTTTTCTTTTTCTTTTATTCCCTAATTTATTCACTCTTTTTTACAACAATTATTACTACGGGTACCTAAAGTAGTATCTAATTCTCATCCAATTTCTACTCGCTAAATCATCCACCTATAATCCCTGCTCTTCCTCATTTCCTCTCACACCCTTGTTAATCAATACCGCGGAAGATGCCGGGATTGTTGCCTGGCACGCTTTTAACCCATAATTCGGCTTTTTGGAAAATAAGGGAGAATCTGAAGTCCCTGCGATGCGATCTTCCCGAGATTTTCACAGAAGGACCTAAATAAGATCATCAACGGGTCAAATCATTGAGAGTGAGCCACATGTTACTACATGACTACCATGTACCTACAGGCAAACTACTGCTACTGACTTATGCATCTAACAGGGAGCTACGTCCTACTTGAGTACTACTACTATCCAATACAACCCACTCACCGCATCATCGATCGTTTGACTTGCTGTACTCTATACCAGTTACAGAAGTACGAACGGAGGCCATAAAGGAAACGGGCAAACGCCGAAATCCCAGAGTACTTTAGTGCAGGCACTAAGGACTCTCCGTACCTAAATTTGTAGTGAACCTCCTAGCTATGTACGACTGGCCAACGCAGCCTAACTAGTAACTAAGTACTAACTATGGAATCGTTAGTCCGCATAGGCATAGATACTCCAATCCCGGACTAAAGAGATAGTACTATCAACAACCTTCCCATTGCAGTTAGCGCGGCGTTCTACATCAAGTAAAACCGCATCTCCCCAGATGCGCTAGTCCCAATACGGTAACGGCTTTCTGTCCCCCCAGTCGGATTCCCGATCAGGCATTAGTGCAACCCCGTGATCCTGCCTCATCCTGGCAGTTCAGCACCCAGCGATCTTTTCCCACCATCTGCCCCCCTCCTCGTCGACCCAATCGCATCGTGGTCCTATCGCTTTCGATAGGCTCCTCGGCGATATACTACCGGTGCTGCTCATCCTCAGATCTTGTTCTGCCGTCGCTGCAACAGCCACGTCATTCCTAGTGATCGCCCTCCGGTCAAAGGAGGGGTCGTGCTCTTTGGCTCATCTGGAAACCCGCCCGTCGTTGTGGAGACCGGTTGGATCCGCCCATCTCGCGCAGGTTATCTGTCGACCCAAACAATCGGACATCACACAACTGTCTTTTTCATCTGTTGAGCTAGCTCTGCTATTCAAGATGGGCTTTGGCGATTTCGATTCGATATGCGAGAAGGCCCCTTTGCCGCTATGCTCCCTAGTGGGTCCACCATCTTCAATATCGGGCTCCACGGGCATCATACCAAATTGTTATGCGCGGAACATTGAGCTGGCCAATACAATCATCTTCGAAGGGGCTTCCTGCTTCCTCCACATCATCGCGCTGGGGATGACCGTGATTATGATCCTGCACATTCGATCCAAGTTCACTGCTGTCGGTATGCTTCTTCACTTTGTCTTTGTGTCGGGCTACTAGGCTTTCTCGTTTTGACTGGAGTCGAGTGGTCCCTGAAAGCTGAACATCATTGACCAACATCATGCTATCACAGGTCGCAAGGAAATCATTACGTTTTTTTACATTTACATGGCTCTAACCCTATGTTCCCTGATCCTTGACGCAGGGGTCGTTCCACCTGGGAGTGGCCCATTTCCTTACTTTACGGCGGTGCAGAATGGACTGGCATCGGCACTATGCACATCCCTGCTCATCAACGGATTTGTTGGTTTCCAGCTCTACGAAGACGGAACCATTCTCTCTGTCTGGCTTCTTCGGCTTTCTTCCGCGGCGATGTTTGTCATCTCCTTCCTAGTCTCTCTCGCGACCTTCAAGTCGTGGGGAGGCCTGGGTCCCACCAACACCGTCGGCATGTTTGTCGTTCTGTATGTCCTGAACGCTATTTGCATCGCCGTGTATCTGGTAATGTCGTTGTTACTGGTAATGAACACCCTCGAGGACCGCTGGCCTCTCGGCCACATCGCGTTCGGTCTCGTGGTCTTCATCTGTGGTCAGGTGCTCCTCTACGCATTTAGTGACACCATCTGCGATAGCGTGCAACATTACATGGACGGTCTTTTCTTCGCCACGTTCTGCAACCTCTTGGCTGTCATGATGGTGTACAAGGTATGTATTTCGAATTTTCTTCCAGAACACTGAACCCTGCAAGATCTCTGACACGTACCCCTGTCTAGTTCTGGGACTACATTACGAAAGAAGATCTCGAGTTTTCCGTCGGAATTAAGCCCAACACCTGGGAGGTCAAGGAACTCCTTCCGGATGAAGATCGCCGCCAGACAGGATACTACGCTGATGCAAACTCGGAGTATGCCGGGAGCATGTATCATCAGCGCATGTCGACCTATCACGGCCATTAACACCTAGCCTAAGACTTCACTTATTCCTTCCTTCAGCGGCCCACCCTCACGCCAAAACTGCATCTTCCGTCCGCCCGTCGCCGAACGACTGCCTGTCGTTGTTTCCTAGTGTAACTCTAATCGCTGCAGTCTCACGCAATCATTATCAAATCTAAGCATAAATCGGCAATGTGGGTATCTTTAGAGCGAAAGTTAGGTTTATCTTGGTGTTCTCTCTTTTCTCATCATTATTACTACAATCAGTCTGGTTTGTGACATTCTAGCGATATTTCCGATCTCTGTCTTGTGGCCCAATGGAGGGCCCTTCATGAGCGTGTAATTGAAAGTTACGCGTGATCTTTTACCAATATTTGCTTTTTTACTTTTTTCTTTGGTCCCGCTATCGGCTCTCCGCTATCGTCAAATAAGAGACCGATAACGTGCCCCGCGCCGGATAAACCTTTTGATCTAGTATTTTGACAACATTTGTCTGATATCTTGCGCATCGATCCATTTCTCTTGTTATTATTTTATTTTCATCTTTTTTTTATATCTTATTACGAAGTATCTCGCAGCGTATGTAAATAACATAGTATTCAGATTGCCTCAAAGAAGGACCCCTTTTCCCCATCTGGAGTAAAATAAGAAGGATTCGATGGACTAGGAGCACGGTGAACTTTAAGTTAGTGGTCTGATTTGATAGTTGAGTTCTAGGATGGTGGAAAATCATTACATTGGCCCTAATAAATTGAACCGTGCTGCGCTACTGGACCGCTGGCCAGTGGAAATCAAATCCGACAGCTCCTGGTAAGCCCACTAGACTAGAGCGTGGTTTGTCAATTGCCGGTCACTCGGAACGGGAAAGCTCCACGACTGTCGGGGAAATCCTTAGGGCCTAGGGTAGATTGGCCTAGAAAATGCCCCTCAGGGGGGAAGAAGGGGGAGGGGAGGGGGGAAAAAAGTGCTGGCTGCATTGTCATAGGCGATTTGTTTTGTTTAGCTGCCTGGCTGGCTGGCCCCGCCCCCATCTCCTCCGTCTCCGTCTCCGTCGCTAGTAAGTCTAGTACTAAGTAGTAGTCTGACTTGAGGTGATCGGGCCCTCGTCCTTCAGCCACACGTCTGTTCAAGCCTAATCCTTGCAGTGGGTGAAACAGATTACGTGGAATAATCCGCTTTTTGTCGACTGCAAGGATTGCTCTGGAAGGGATTCTGATTCTTTTTCTTCCTTCTGGCTTCGGTGATTGGAGGATTAAGCCGATGCGGGTGTCGAGGGACCGCGATCAGTATCGTTCTGGCATGAGACAATCCGCTTGGCTATATTGTTTTGGTTCTGGGATGGTCATAGTGCGTTCATGTCTCAGGCTTATTTTGCTTTTTTTCCCTTTTCTTCCTTTTCACTCCACGACTACAACGTCGTCCCCGTCCATGAACCCGCTATCAGTCTGGTCTTTGCTACGGTCATCGTCGGACCGCGGCATGTTCCCGTCCACCTCTTCAATTGGCCCTGTGGCCGTGGCGTACCAGCCCTTGTCAACCGACTCCACCAGCACTTTGCATGCATCAGACACGAGTAAATTAAAGGCTGGATTCTCGTTCGGCAAAAACATGCTAATGTGTGCTTTGATTTCATCTGCAGCTTTATCGTTCACGGCCCTGGCCCATCGGATGTCTTGTTGGGAAGACCCCGAACTTTCTACTTCCGCGGGAAGCGAGCAGAAAGTGCGATTCTTCGAGCGTATTATCTTCTGGCTGAACGACGATGTCCCGACGTTCTTGTTCTCCACTAGATCACTTGCATTTTGGCCCAAGCACGTATAGAAATTAGTGCAGCCGATACCTCGGTCCCTTTGGACTTCGGCAAGTAGTGCAAGGCGCCTCCGTAATTCAGACGGCCGTGCTAAAGAACCGACAAATGACAGGTGGGATGATACCCAGCCCCAACCATCCGTCAGTCGGTCTCGCTGTGAATACATCGCGGCCGCCCCGCCCGCAGCCAATGCTCCAGCAGCTCCTGCAAACATGGCATATTTGCCCCACCGTTGCCATGATGGTGTCGCGGCAGCATCTGCATTTGAAGATGAGTTAGGAGCCGAAGGAGGTAGACTTTTGTTGGAAGCTTTTCCCTGGTCGGTAGATGCCTTATTCGAAGAGTTACCGCCTAGGCCGAACAAGCCGGCAACTTCTGATATCGCGGTGTACGCCGTAGTGGCATTTCGATAATGACCTTCGGCACCATATGATATGACACCCGGGGCAATGCCTAGAAAAGGAGTGTCGAATGCGATAACACCCTGAATGTGAGGAAACATGAAAGATTGCGCCCCCACGGCAGATTCAGAATCCACTAGAGTGTCGGTTGCAGAATCTGCAGAAGATGGTGCAGGAATCGGCTGTTCCGATGCAAGCAGAAGAAGGGTCTCGGCAGCCACTATCCCACCCATAGAATGCCCGAGCAGGATAACATGCACAGAAGGGTCAACTGTCGGTGAAGCCGTTCGGTTCGAGACCTCCAAGTCGATGACTTTGTTCTGGAGCCTATGACGGTCAATGGCACGCTCCATCCACTCGGAAAGAATCGCATGGGCTACTAGACGTACCATTCCCGGAAGTTACTTACGCATCCTTTTAGTTCGCCTCGAGTCTCATACTTTGGGTAAACAGTGGCGACGACCTGGACAGCGGGGAGGGCACGACTAATCAGACCACAAAAGCGCCCTGGAAACTCTCCAAACGTATCATCATCTCCCTGTGGATGTTAGTAGTGAGGTTCAGAGTATACATCCCGTAGGGTCCATGCACGTGCAGCCTCAAAGGAGAGAGACGGGCTGGCTGGGAATGGGTGGAGCATGCACACGGTACCTTGAAGCCATGGATAAACACTAGGAGCAGCGTCTTCTTCATCGTATCACACCGGATAACCCGGAAGGTACATTCCCCCCTTTTCAATATCGAGTACTTGTACGACTAACTGAGAGTACGCCCGCAGAATGGGTGGACTGAGCGAAAAGGTGGAGAGGCGCGAGAAGAGAAGAAGATCTCGGTCGGCCTGAAATAGGCAGCTACGTCATCGGGTATCCCGGCCACGTGACAGGTACATTTACCTTGAATCACCATTGCACATTCACCACATTACTACCTATAAGCCTACAAATTGCTGAACAAATTGCAGTGCATGCAAACTATTTTAATGAACTGTTTTCAGTCCAGCGATTGAAGCCGAATGTTGCAGCAGAACAGTTCCTTCCAGTAGCCGATCGCCCAATATATATACCTATACTTGGCTAGTAATGATAACTAAGTAGTATGGTAACTGACATCCCAATGGAGATCTTCATGAACTCCAATGAAGAAAGCAACATGTGATGAGGATACTATCATCAACAGTAGCAATAAAATGTTACCCGAGTCTTCTCATAGCTCCAGTTTGGACACAGCTGCAACGGATTCATGATGCTAGATCAAGATTATCAGGTGTTTCACAGGCACGAGAATGTAGATGGCCTGTAGGCTCATGAATCGTTACAAGAGCGCAATCGTTTCGCAAAACAGTCACCTTTGGTTAGACAAAAGCCCAGGTTTCATAGGTATCTTGACCATCTTATCACTGGGCTTCCGAACAAACCACTTCGAGCGTCTATGTGTGTGCCAGGGTGCTGAACCCTGTATGCGGCAAGACGCTATGATCAAAGGGCATAATGGCTAGATTTGGATACTACTAGTATTTGATTGATATTCGCTGCTGTCTTTGTTGCAGGTGTGATCGATGCTATGAAGAATATTTCACACACTCATATTTGTGATGTAGAACTGGTGCACAAATACCAGAAACCTGTTTGTGGCTTAACAATCTGAAAATCATTGACTACAGTGTTTCGACCATTATGGTCCTGTAGACCAGTGCTCTATCTTACAGACCATGCCATTTATCAAGGACAACCTGGAGTGCCATGGTAATGAGATGAATCTCCTCGCAGACACAACCAAACAACAATTATTACTTTGTCTAGAACTGTAGATAACTGCAAACGACTATATACCTATATACTTCATTGTATACATGTAGCACCTGTACAATGCCCCCTACATCTATAAAGCCAGTATACGCCCCAACTTTATCAAAGCTTCCCCCGCGAACTCGTCAACCGCAACAAACTATCCTGATAACTCGTAGCTAACAGCTTCCTATCCGGCGTCCACAACCAACTCTCATGAACCGCCCGATTCTCCGCAGACCTAGGAGTCCACCCCTCCTGTATAAACCACTTCTTCCCCGGGGCCCCATCCCACTTAGAACCCCAATCAAGCATCCGCAACGCCTCTCCCAACTCATGAAACACAACCGTAAGCGTCAAACTCGCCATAGACGACCATCTCGTCTCTCCCAAAGCCCTTGGAATCAACAACAACGAATTCCTATCACAAGAGTACATATGCGCGCATGCATACAAGTTATCGAACTCCCCCGCTTCCTCCCTCTCCCTCACCCTCCTTTCCTCCTCCCCAACTATCGGAAGTCCCTTGATCGAATACATCGCCAACTGGCGATACTTCTCCGGATGGCTCTTCACATCCTCCGTTTGATTGAACGTCCCCATATCAACCTTTCGCACGTCCACCCCAGGAAACTCCCTTTCCGTCAAATCGCCAGCCTTCACCCCCTCAATCCACCAATCTGCATCCACGCTCGGACTAACGGGGTACTCCTCCGCTCTCCGTCCAGCGATGATAGATGCATAACGCTCCTGCACAGGCGCAGACTGATGCGCAAACCCACTCTGACTTTCCCCTCGCTTGAAGGAACATAAGCACGAGAAACAGATCTGGTTCGCTTGTCGTACGTCCACGGACCGCGTGCAGTACATCTTTCCATCGCGCAGGTGGCGCACTGTGTACTCGTATGGAACGTCTAGGAGGCCTCCTAGGATGAATGTTCCGCTTACGCTCTGTGTCTTTGGTGTGAGTGTGTGCTTTTAAGGGATGAGCAGGTAGGTACTTACATGGATCACAAACCCCTTCTCTACGGTTTGGGATGCTGCGTAGGCAGCCTGGGCGTAGACATGTCCACCGAAGGCACGGGTTCCTTCGCCTGGTGGGTAAGGTGGTGCTATGGATTCGAATCGTTCGGTGGGCTCCGTGGTACTGCTGCTGGGTGGGTTGGGGAGGCGACGGAGTGCCATTAGCTCTGCCCAGGAGGATGGGCTTTCGTTGGATGTTGGGTCATGCATTGTGTGTATGTATAATGTGGGATGGTGTATGGTTGAGCTTATTAGCTGCTGCTGCTGCTGATGTTGTTGATGGTGGTGGTGTATGCGTGAGGGGTATGCTCCGGCTGGGATGTATGTACAAATGACTGGTGATGCCTGCCTGCTTCAATCTGTAGTATATCCACTGTACAGTGCAACGGCAGGAATGTTATGTTCGAAATTGCGCCCCTTTACTCTTCTATGGGAGCAAGATAAGGGTGAAAGTGGGATTGTATGTTGGCGCTGAGTCTATCGACTGACTACTCATTTAGCCGACATGGTTCACCAGAGCCTCGGCTGACCGGGCGGAGTTGGTTGGCTACCCGTGAAGCATATTCGATGATCAACATGGTGCCGTTCCTGGTATGCTCCCCATATGGCAAGGCTGCGCCGATTATCCCTTTATGTGTTTTGCAGTGCTCATGCTTGGGGTAAGCCTGGATTATCTTTGTTCCATTCCTTGCGTATATCGCATCGCTGCTTCAAGGATCCGTGCTGCAGTGTAATCCGGTAAAAATGAAGTGATTCCGGTAGATTGGGAGCTGATGTAGCATATATCACAGATTTCTCTTTTTCTATAATTATAGACATACGCTCCTCGAAGCGTCATGGTCTCACCTCCGTCATCTGGAGCAATTCCCTAATTCTGAGACGGGATAATCCAACGCTCAACCGTCATAAACGCATATTGACGCAATTGCACAGAAGAAACAGATCACCATCTTTATTGACCAAATCTGCCAAGTAAGGTATATGCGCCGATAATGCTGATATGATATACAAAGAAACCCATCCCGTAAATAATACATTGACAATTAAATCATTTTCCGTGTCCCGAACGACGCACAATCGCATAACTGCAACCAATCCACATCACATTCGAATCACACTTAGAACGTCTCAGAGATAGTGCGGTTGTTGTTCCACTCGACCTTGCCATCGACGTGCTTGATTTCCTCCAGCTTGTCGCCCAGCTTGACAACGGAGAACCGAACCATCCGGGGATCGAGACCGAGAGTTCTGCGGACAGCTGATTGCACGGGACCGGAGGCATCAAAGCGCATGATAAAGTGGTGGCCTTCCCTGTAGCGGGCCTGATGCTTCGTCGTGGGCCTGGGCAGACGGAAGGTGCCCCAGTTGGTGAATCCGCGGACTACGCCGCCGGAGCGGAGGACCTGGATTCCGGCATTGCGGGCGATGCTGTCGTCTGTCAGTGGTATTTCGTGGATAATGATGGTTTGGCGATAGAAGGATGTTGCGTAAGGACATGAGGTGGTCAAATAGGGTCGATAGGCACGTACTCTCTAACCTCCTGGAGGCTACCGGGACGGACCTGCAGTCATCAATTAGCATCAAATCAATGTATACAATAAAGTTCATTAAACAGAATCGTCTGGAAACATACAACAGCAATCAGTTCGTACAACATGGCGCCGACAATGTGGAGTGGGGTCTGGACTGTGAAAATAGCGTCGGGGAACGTAAAGGACGACGGAGAACCAAACACGGAACTGGAAGGGGATGAGATTTTTCCGAAGGTCATTTGCGGAGGCTCGAACTCGACTTCCTTATCAGCACCCGGCTTGGCGCCCGCTATCAGCACCGGGAATCGCTCTCTCCTCCGTCATTCATATTTAATTTACTTCCCTCTTTCCTTCTTCCTTTCTCTCTCCAATTCAACTCACACTTCCTCACTTTTCCAGATTCTCTCCTCTCCCTCTCCTCTCCCCTCAACTCCAGCTGCCTACCATGTCTTTCGCCGCTAGATCTCTTCGCCCCTTCGCTTCTCGGGTCCTGTCGCAGAAGCTCCCCCTCTCTTCCGTCTGCAGGGCCGCACCCGCAAGTTTCCCGCGGGGAAGTATCCGGAGCTTCTCCCAGAGCCCACTTTGTGAGCAACCCCCTAGATTTCAGTCATGAGGGCATTCAGACCCCCTAGATTGGATTCAAAGCTAATAGTTGATTCCCAACAGCTCAATTGAAGAAGTACACTGAGTCGCACGAGTGGATCGAGCTCGCCGAGGACGGCAAGACTGGTTCGTCTACCACAGCCTTCCCGGACAAACTACTCTTATTTAGCCACTAACACCTTCTTCTACCATTTACAGCGAAGATTGGAATTACCAAATACGCTGCCAACTCCCTTGGCGACGTTGTGTTCGTGGAGCTCCCCGAGGTCGACCTGGAGGTCAGCGCCGGTGAGCCCGTCGGTGCTGTCGAGTCCGTCAAGTCCGCTTCGGACGTCCTTTCGCCTGTCTCGGGTGTTGTTACCCAGGGCAATGCTGTGTTGGACGACAATGCCAAGTTCATCAACCAGAGTCCCGAGGGTGATGCCTGGATTGCGGAGATCAAGGTGAAGGATGCCGCAGAGTTGGACGGACTGCTGGACGAGGCTGCCTACAAGGCTACTATTGATGAGGAGTAAGCGTGATATGTGTGTGAGTGCGTGTGTGGGTCACGAAGTATTTGAATGGATGGATTGCTCAAAGTCTGGGTACGGATTATATGCGCGCCGCCGCTTCTGTGCATGGCGTCGAATTTATTATGATTGTTAGGTCATTTGAACTGTTTTCTTTTGTCTTGGGGTTTCATTGGGTATGATTGTTGTGTGTGGATGGTTATGTTTTCACCACATAATGACTGTCTAGAGAGCTGGCTACGTCATGCCGCTATCGGCGGACCCTTTTATTCAACAAAAGGCTGTCTGCGGTTATAAAAATATACGATATCACTGTTATTGGTCTGCCATGGTCATAGTTGGCTTTATAGAACGAATGAGCTGTATTTCTTTACCCTAAGACTTGAGTTCAATGAGGATGGAGTCTACCACTAGAAGTACTGTAGTAGAAGTCGCAATTACTTGAAGCATATAATGTGAGCTATAGGAGCCTATAATATAGATCAATGCATACACAGAATAACCACGATGCTATCAACTACATAGATACTACCTACACTATCAATTACTAGGAAAGCAGCGGTCTCCATCATCTCGGTACACCCAACCATACAAGTTGTACCGCGATGCACAGTAGTACCACTATGCGAATGCGCCGGCCGGGCGGTGAGTCCCCCTCCACCTCGGATGGGGCCGAAAGCCAACCGACGAGGCCTGGAGTGATAAGGCTATCCCGCAACATTCCCGACCTCAGGCCCTTGCTTGTCTCCATACTTCACCTCTATACACTTTTGCGCGTGTTTCGCACGTGTAACGCGACTTTCTTCGAGCTAGCACCGAGGCCATTGGCGCGGGTGCCAGCTCTTTGGCGTCATTCGAACATGGCATCCAATCTCCCTATCCCTATTCCTCCGCGCACCCCGACGCCTCCCCCGGATGACCCTCCGAGCACTTCAAGCCAGTCACCCCGTCTGCAAGACAAAGACTCCTTATCACCATTGAGGGACACGTTTTCAAATCTGCGGGGCTCGTTAGATCCCAGTGATGCCAATCGCTTGAGTCCTACACGGGCGGGCTTCAACCTCAGCCCAGCAGACGCATTACAGCCCAGTGATCAGAGCGACAATGCTTCGGCGGGACCGTTCAATTTCAAGACTACGACAATGGCGAAGAGCCCAGTCGTGAAGTCTGTGAGTTGTCGCTTACTGCCACCTTGAAGATGGATATACTAATGAAGCCGTCAATGCGACGTAGAACATTGGCCAGCGACGTGGACACAAGTATAAGCACAGTAGCATTTCACATCAGATCTTCCTGGAACCGCCCCCACGAGCTCCTCTAGCTTTGCCTAACTCGCTGCCTATCCCGACGTTCAAAGAATATCGCTCCAGTATGTCTAAGGACCAGACTACCCGGTTCTGGTGGAGCGTTTGCCACATGTCTGTTGCCGCATATACGTTATGGAGTGCTCATGGATCATTGGCTATGACGGCCCTTTCGCACTTGATCCTGTTCGATTCAATCGGCGCATTGCTCTGCGTTGCTGTCGACATCTTGGGCAACTTTGAAGTATGGAAGCGATCCAGTGTTCGACACCCATTCGGATTGGAGCGCGCAGAGGTGCTTGCGGGGTTCGCCATGTGCGTACTCTTGCTGTTCATGGGAATGGATCTCATTTCCCATAGCCTGCAACACTTTCTTGAATCTTCCGGTCATGAGCCTCACCATACGCATATCCACGAGCGTGTTTCCCTCGGTCGTGTGGATTTCACTGCTCTGCTGGCCATCTCATCGACCTTGATCTCCGCCATCGGTCTCAAGAACCACGGACGGATAGGGAAGGCGATGCGCTTCGGGTACATTGAGTCGCTTCCCTCGGTTCTTAGTAACCCGTCCCATTTCCTGACGCTCTCATGCTCCACGCTGCTCCTGTTGCTGCCCCTGGTCTCCATCAAGCTCTACAACTGGCTGGATGTTTTGCTTTCCAGCACGATTTCTATCTCAATGTGTGTTATTGGAGTACGTTTAGTGAAAACACTGGGATCCATGCTTCTCATGTCCTACTCCGGACCGGGGGTGTCTGAGGTAATCCGGGATATCGAGGCCGATCCCTGCGTCTACGGTGTCGACGACGCCCGGTTCTGGCAGGTTCATTACGGGCTCTGCATGGCCAACTTGAAGCTCCGAGTGTCCGGAACGGAAGAGAACCTAGTCCGATTGCGTGAACGGATAGCCAGCCTCATCAAGAATCGCTTGGGTGGAGGGTACGGATCTGGAGGGCAGAAATGGGAAGTTTCGCTGCAGTTCACGGCCGAGAAGGCATGAGCTGGCAGTTGTCATGCTGTACATATACGATCATATTTGGATTCAATGAAGATATACCGGAATAATAATACGTTTTACTGGGAATGGCATCATGCTGTCTGTGTCCTCTCTTTAGGAGTAAATACCTGGTACCGGCAGTAGACGGTGTCTTTCCTGCAGAACTTCCCACCTCTCCGTAGGCAGCAATCACTACTACTACTATCATGTCTAGTAGTGCGTTTATAGCGATTTTGGAAAGGTTGTCTGGGGTAACACGGTGTTACTTAGTTTGAATGGTGCTATCTATATCGGCAACAACACGGCAGTGGAAGAGTTATTCTATCTATGAGCAGTACACTCGCGATTACTCATAGGTCTAAATAACGATAGGATCATTCTGCAACTATCACAAGACCTCCCTACCCTCAATATCTCTTTGACGATACAACCGACATAGTAAGACACCTGAGATAGATCTATAACCATCTCCTTTCGTCAATCAATTACCATCAAGTCCAGATCCAGACCTTCGGATCATTTTCCACAGGCTCCCTCCCTCCAATCCCTCAGAAACCGTCAAAAACACCATCACCGCGACTCAGGAAATGAATGATATAATGTAATATAATAGAATTCACAACAAACGCAATGTACAAAAGCCTCAGTTTTCCGGCCAGCTCTAGCACCCAACTCAACCACAATTCTTCCTATCCTTTATCATCGCAACAACATCACAATTCATTTATGCCGCCGCAGCCAAAACACCCGCCTCTTCAGGCTTGCTCAACCCCACCGACTCGCGCTCGTCTCTCCTCCGGCGCTTCTCCAGGATAGCTTCCCGGCGCTGTGCAAGAATTCTCAATTGACGGTTCTCAACGCCCTGCAGCCAGTAACCGAAGCTGCCTCCGACTCCGGCGAAGAGGGGGTACACCCAGAGGGACTCCTTGGCGAGGATGGGACGCATTTCGATACCGAGTTGCCAGAGACGGACGGCGATGCCTGTTAAAGGAGTTATTAGTATTTGATATATAGCATGGCGAGTCTTTGGACATAAGGGGAGCGGATGGGAGACAGCTAGCTAGCTAGCTAGCAGTTGCGTGCTGGTATAGCAAGGGTGGGTGGTGTGGATGTGGTGAACATACCGAAGCCGCCCCAGAAGAGGACTTTGTGAACCATGATTGATGTGGAGGAAAAGAAGGGGATTCGCGGCGGAAGGTAATTCAAAGAATGTAAATTGATCGGAAGTCGCAACAAGGTTCCAAAGTTCAACTTCACGACAACAATTGCGGACCAACACGGGCTTGAATCGACGGAGATGAGGTTCGACCTTCACACACCCGGCGAATCACGGGGCCGTGGTTCCCAATCTGCGTTTCCTGTTGTCCGGATTATCGTTCCACCGTGGGAGGGCTGTTTCTGCCGGGCGGTGGTGTGCCTTTTGGTCGGGTCCTGCGCGCCGCATTTGCGGGTTTATCCCCGGAAGTTCAGTTCCTTTTTTCTCAAAGCCTCTATTCTAATATTTCCCCAAGCTTGAAAGTTTTATTGCAAGCTTGTTACATCTCTCAGTCTCTCGTCATGGCTGGTCCAGAGGAGATGATGGATGTGACAGCAGGTGTGAAGCGACCTACTACGTCTTCTATGGATTTGGACAGTCTGCAGCGGAAGAAGTTCAAGACGGATGAGCTGCCTTTGTCCGCGGCGCAGCATTCGGCCATTGAGCATTTGCTGCACGCATTTAAGAAGAGGGGTGGATTCGATACTATTCGGAAGAAGATATGGTCTGAATTCCATGACGGGGTATTTATTTTATCTTTGATTGCTATTTTATTGCTGTTGTTTCGTTTTCTGGGTGAGGGTCTGTTGTTTGCTAATTGATGCGCCTTGCTTATATAGGACGGGAAGGTTGAGTTTACGAAACTACTGGTCGAACTTGCTGAATCTGAAATCGATCGCGAACCCGGTCTACTTTCTCGCGAACGTGGAAAAGCGGCAACTTTGATCGAAGGTGCCGTGGATCGAAGCGATGTCTATAAAACTGTCGAACATACCCTTGATGCGCTGGCCGAGAAACACCTCCCCGCTATTCTAGATTCCGTGCGCGATATCCGTCGCGACGAGGTTGGCGAGGAGCTTGCCGCACAGGAGGAAACCGCAGGGAACAAAACTGATGAGGACTACGCCGCTCATGTGAAGGCGAAACGCGACGAGCGCGAAAAGGTCTGGCAGGAGGAGCTGCGCAAGCAAAAGGAAATAGAAGAAGAGGAAGCGCGCAAGAAGGCGGAGGAGGATCGCAAGCGACGTGAGTTGGAACGCCAGAAGGAAGAAGAAGAAAGGGCCAGAAGGAGGGAGCGCGAGGAACAGCGCCGCGAAGAGCAGCGAAAGCTGGATGAGCAGAGAGAAAAGGAACGACAGGAACGCTACGAACGCCGCCGCCGCGAAGAGCGCGACAGATATCGCGATTGGCGCGATCGAAGCCGAACTCGAGACCGTGATTCAGATCGTGATAGAGATAGGGATAGGGATCGTTACCGTTACCGAGATCGCTCGCCAGGCTATCGCTCTGACCGCGCCCACTCCCCACGGTATCGCGACTCGCGCAAAGAAAAGTCACCGACTCCGAAAGAACCTACGCCTGCAGCTGCGCCAGCGGCGCCGCCAGTGGACGAGAAGTCGTTGGAGGAGGCGGCGCTACAACTGTTGCTGAAGGAGGGAGAAGAGCTGGCAGCCAAGGCACGACAGAAGCCCGAGTTCGACTTTGAGGAAGCGGAGGCTATCGAAAATGGTCTCAAGCCGCCGCCGAAAGGACCCAAGGCTGACTCGAGATTCTCCAACACTCCGACCAAGGCAGGTAGTCCGGCTGTCGAGGCCGAGCCCAATCGACGACGCGGATCAACAGCAGACGATCGCCCCCGGACAAAGAGGCGCGACGAGAGCCGCAGTCGCTCACGACGGAGGTTCTCCTCCCGGTTTGACGATGACCGTCCAGAGCGTTCGCGCGATGTATCCAGCCAGCCCCGCAATCGTGACTCGGATGACCGACTGGTTCTTCGCGATTTCCGCGATAACAGATACGGTGACCGGAGCTATCGCCCCAGCCGCCGGAGCAGAAGCAGATCTACTACTCGAAATCATGACAGAGACCGTGACCGCGACCATGACTACCGCCGCGACCGCAGCCGTGATCGAGACCGAGATCGCCGGGACCGGGACCGAGACCGGGATAGAGATAGAGACAGAGACAGAGACAGAGACCGCGACAGACCTCGAGACCGTGACCGTGACCGTGACCGCGATCGAGACGACTACCGCCGCCGCCGCAGCTACTACTCCCGATCCCGATCACGACCCCGATACCGCTCCCATACACGCTCTCGCTCCGTCCACCGTGACCGTGACCGCGACCGCGACAGAGACAGAGACGTCCGAGATCGTGACAGAGACAGAGACCGAGACCGAGACCGAGACGCCCGCCCCCGCGACACAACCGACCGCGAACGAGATCGAGGCCGAGACCGCGACCGCGCCGACCCTCCCCCCAAAGACGAGAAATCCCCTCCCCGCCGCGTATCAGTATCCTCACGACGACGATCCCGCTCGCGCCGACGATCACGCAGTCGACGCCGCTCGCCGAGTCTCCTCGATATCGATCGCTACGTGCCGCCTACTAGTCGTCGGAGCCGGTCTCCTCGTCGGAGGGTGCGATCACCGGAACGAGCGGAGAAAGATGAGCGTGATAGACCGCGCTTTGTTGAGATTGATCGGTATATTCCTGGTGCTACTGCTGCTGCTGCTGCTGCTACTGCTACTGGTGGTGGTGGTGAGCGTGAGCGTGAACGTGATAGTGAGACTAACGGTAGGGATAGGGATAGGGAGAGAGATAGAGATAGAGAGAGGGATAGGGAGAGGGAGGGGGATGATAGGAGGGCGAGAAGGAGGAGTGTGAGCCGGAGGAGTGATGGGAGGTGAGATGCCTAGGATGGGATGATGGAAGGAGGGAGGGACGATGGAAACGATATAATCGATTGTAATATACCAAGGTAATGAATCTCATGGATAGACATTTATTACTGCTGATACTATTTGGTGGTCTAAGTTTTCCATCTATTACTACTATTACTTCCTAGTACATAATCGTATCTGAACGCAGTGCTTCGCTCATAAGATAATCATCAGTTGTTTGTTCAGCGAACTATTACCCGGCTGGTGGAACATACTATTAGTGTATAGTCTTCATATCTATGTGCTTCATAGTATGCACTAGCTAGTAAAGTAAGCGCTGCAAGGTAGATATGAAATCTATTAGCAGTATCTCTTTCTATGGTAGTTGTATACCAACCAAATATAATGATATAGACCACACAATATAATACCACACTCGAAAACATCCCTATTCCCATGAATGAAATCTGATATGCACATACATACATGCTCCATCACCCTCCTCATACTCGGGACCCCAACTGCTCTTACCCAGGGTGCTCACTAATCAAAGTATTCCTCTAAGAATTGATCATGTCTTACTCCTCTCCACAGCCTCCTGAAACCCCTCATTCTCATCATGCCTTTTGTAAAAGTACGCAGTGGAACCCGTCCCTGTGGGCCTTAATTCAGGAGATAATCGATCGATGATAGTCTGTTCGAGAGCCTTGATAGACCTTTCATTCGAGCCGAGCTTGTTCCATACGGAGATGAGATGCGAGTTGAATCGGACGGAGGTGGAGACGCCGAGGACGTGGTCGTGTTCTATATATTCCTCATTTCTCCGGTTAGTACTATATTTCCCATCTCTCATACTCACAAGTTTACTTCTATTAGTTGATGATCCATATCATAGAAAACAACAACAACAACAACACAACAGAAAGAAAGAAAAATGGGGACAGGGGAAAAAGCTAACCCTTCTCCAAAACCGCCTGAAACTCATTCGCCATACACAATATGGCAATCTCATGAAAGAACGCCTGGGCTTTACTCTTCGGCACGCGGAAGCGCCAGCACCCCCCGTTCTGATTCTCGGGATCTTCCCAGACGGGTCTCACGCCTTTGCGGAAGATGTGGACGGTGTCGCGCAGACGGATCTTGTCCCAGGGGTAGTTGTTGTAGACGCGGTAGAAGGTGGCGATGTCGGCGACATCCTCGTGTAGGACGTAGAGACGCGAGTCGTAGTCTGCTGTTGCGGTTGCGCCTGATGCTGACGCTGCTGCTGCTGGGGCGTCGGTATGGCGGTCGTACCAGACTGTCCAGTGGTATTGGAAAGGGAGGGGACGTAGTTTGCCGAAGATGTTCTGGTGCAGGGATTTGCGGGTGGTTGGGGAGGTGGAGGAGGTGTCGCGGTCCTCTATGGGGCTTTTGTCGTTGATGTGGACGCTGGGGATGGTGCTCATTTTTGTGATGTGTGGTAGATGGTTGGAGAGAGTGTGTGTATGTACTAGGAGTGTGTGGATGTGTCGGTTTATCTGTCCTGCGTGAGGATGTGGGTGGACATGAGGAGCAATCCGGTTTGTGTATGGGATATATAGTAGTTCCCAGTGAAGAGAATCCTATTGTTTATGAGCAGGTAGGCATTGCATTGGTGCCATAAATGGCCATAAGGGAGAAGAAGGAGGACAGAAAGAAAGAGGAAGTAAGACAAGGGGTTTGTTCGTACAGTTGGAGGGGCAGCGAGACAATGGGGGAACAAAGGGTTCTGACTTACCCTAATGGATGGCGAATGAAGCTATACCGGGAGTTCCCAGATACAACTTGCGTCCAAAGCAGAGATGAACAGGGGACGATACAATAGGAATATGTTTCAGGAGAAGGAGGGGAGGAGAGAGGGGATATGAGCGACTTTATCAATCACTCATTGACTCCACCAGAGCATCAGCATCAGCAGTAGCAGCAATAAGGAGGGAGCGAGAGTGTGAGAGAGAGAAGAGAATTCGTTCATTCACTAAAGTACACTCCAGACAATAAGTAACCAACAACAACCCCCAACACAGCCACTTAATGTGCCTGCCGCTCACATATGCAGGCAGAAGACACGCCGGACGGATAACTGGCCAGATCGATTGGTGTCATGGCGTCAGCTACTAACTATTCCATAGTTAGCAGCATTAAGGCTGCTTACACTAGTCAGAGTACTACGTAGGGAAAGTAGGGCCACGGCCACTAGTTAAGGAGTAAAATGGCTCTGACCCCGCCAATCCCGCGGGTTGGGTTTCCCCACTGCGGCGCCAATTTGCCCGCAGATTTCGGTCGATCCTGTTTCAATCACCACCACTGCTGTTACTTTTCTTTCCAACCATCTCTTTGTATCGTTATTTAAAGCAAATAATATGCCCTCCACTACGAAGCGCCAGGGAGCCGATCCCTCCTCCACTACCACTACCACCACCACTTCTACCGCTCGCGATCTTGATCGGCGCGAACATTCCCCCGCTGACGACGACCATCTCCAACACACCGCTACCTCCACCACTGGCCGTGAGGAAGATGAAGATGACGATGACGACGATGACTATACCTCCTCGTCTGGCTCTAGCGACAGTGACAGCGACAGCGACGACGATGAGGAAGATGAAGAAGTAAACCAGAAGAAGACCACTACTACCTCCGACGACATGCCGCGCATTCCTGCTATACCTAAACCACGTATCGGCCGCATCAACAAAAACCCTGACCTACTGTCCCGACTATCTGCTTTCCTTCCCCAGATGAAAACTGCGAATGAGAAGCTCGAACAGGAGATTGCGGCGGGAAGGGCGAAGGATGTGCGACTGGAAATTGATGGGGATGATGATGACGAGGACGAGGACGAGGATATGGAGGGAAAGCGGTATATTGAGATGGTATGATTGTGATATAATTCCTATGTTTGGTGGTTGGGATGCTAATTGGGTGCAGAATCTGGGACTAGGTGTGCTGGAAGAGAAGCGGCCCGGTGATGATGATGAGGAAGATCATCTCGAGTCGCAGGGTGGTCAGGACAATCAACATGTTCTGCCTGAGAGGCCGAAATCTGGCAAGGACTCGAATGTGCTGGATACTTTGATGGGCAATGCGGAGTCTTCGGCGGAGAAGGAGAAGCCGACGATTGAGGAGATATAAGAAAAGTCTGCTGATTGCATGGGTTGGCGCTTTGGGTTCCTAATTGGTTTATAAAAGTTGGTCGCTACTATAGAGTTCGTCTGGGTTTTTCGCATCTTGGCATTTTAGAAGGAGTGGGTTTACAAAAGTGTTTCCGGTCTACATGTCATACAGTCTCTAGATTCATAGATCAAGCATAACATAATAATCATACCCAAACAAACACCAGCCAAGTCTAAGAATACACATGGAACGGAAAAATAAATCAATGATCTAGTGTATTTGCATGATATTAGACATGTATACGTCCAAGCGCACATGCGCAAGGTGGATTAAACTGTCGTCGCTGCATCACCTAACGTCTGTTCGTCTAGGAGACCTCCTTCACCCGGCAGGTCCAGCCGGATTCCTGGCTCAGCAGGGGCAAACTGTCACTCGTTAGTATCGTGCATTGATCCAAAGTAGTATAAGAAAGGGTATCTTACCTAGCACCCAAACACCAGCCAAGTTCGTTGTTCTTGATCTTCTTCGCAATCTTCACCTCACGCGACAAGGGCATCTCGTATCCCGTGTGCAACAGACCTAGCATAAAGTTCAAGTCAAGGCACCACTCGGGGCGATCGCGCAGCTGGGGCAGCGCATCCTCAACACCCTCGAAGATGCCCCATGCGGGCTCACCCGCGCAGACCGTCGACGTGAGCTGGTGCAGCTCGTCCAAAGTGAAGGAGTCAGGCATGCCCAGGGGCTTGGTGCGGTCATAGAAGTAGGAGAAGATGTACACATCCTCGCGGGCGAAAGTCTTCTCCAGAGACGGCTGGTGAACGCCGTTGAAGGAGCAGGGCGCCAGCTTACAGTCAGCATCCTTGTTCAGGATCTTCTCAGTCAAGCCACGGCACTGAGCTGCCGCAGAAGCGCCTTGCTTCGGACCAACCATCTTCACCGTCACCTTACCGGCGAGCGGGTGGTCGTTGTCAAAGGCCAACTCGACATCGCGCTCCATACCAGGTCCAATGCAGGGGTTGGAGATCGGCTGCTTCAACCAGGACATATCAACGGGGCTGGCGGCCAACTTGGCATCGACGATCGCCTTGTGCACAGCATCCCGAGCAGCCATCAATCCGTAACCCAGGTGAGAGTGCTGGTAGAGGTCAAAGTGACGACCGCCGAATTGCAGCGAGTACTTGTGGTCACCGTCCGCCAGGTGCTCGGGCATACCGCCCGAGGGGCTCTGGGGGAACGTGGGCTGGAAAACGATCTGAGTGGAACCACCGCCCAGATCAAAGATGGCAGCAGTAGGGGTCTCGTCCGGACCGCCGATCTTACCGAGAAGGTAGTTGGTTGTGATCCAGGCATAGACACCCTCGTCACTGCCATCCATGATTTGCACACCACCCATCTCACGGGAGACCACGGGGAAGGGGTAGACGGTTTCCAGGCGAGTACGCACGGCCTCCAGAATCCTCTGGCTCATCTCGGGGCCAAGCATACGCAGTCCAGCGGTGGCCTTCACGGCAATGGGGGAGCAGGACTGGTAGTCGGCGGGCACGGACTTGAGAGCCACCTGCATCAGAGGGTCCAGACTCTTGGCCGCTCCCTCAGCATCTTCCTTGTAGGCGCTCAGTCCGGAGCCACCCTGTCTTTTCTCGGTTTGCTCAAAGACCTCGTTCTCCAGTTCGGGGGTGGGGCCGCAGTTGTTGAAGCGGTAGACGTGGATGCGAGAGCCCTGACTGCCCGCGTCGATCATAAGCGCATACTGGATCAGAGGCTTGGAGGGGTCATGAGGTTTCGTGCACTTGTCCGTTAGGGGAGCGACACCATTCAACGGTGGCTCTGAAAATTGACCGTCAGTCCAGATCGACTTTCCCCGTTATAGGGGGTGGTCACTTACGGGATCCAATGTTGCTCACTGTGGGCTTGGACGGCGACAGCCATAGCAACAGAAGAAGCACTGCACTGACAATAGCACCTGTCTTCAGGTAGCGAGAGCGCTGGCTTTGAGACATCATCATGTGGGACAAACTGCGACGAGATTTGCCGATCGATTTGTCCAAGGCGACTAAGGGGATCGCGGGTTCGGAAGGGTGCGACACCGAACGCCTGCTAGGTCTAGAACCTGACGCTGAAAAGGACGATGTACGTGGAGTATGTCGACTGTCAACACCAGTCGACATGCGGACAAAGCCAAGTATTCGGTAAAGGCTGTAGCGTTACGTCCGGCAGACAACGCTCTCGGTATTCCGACCGAGTTGGTATAAAGGGAAAGAAAGACGATTAACGGTAGGAACGAAGAGAAAGCATAGGATCGTCCGGGCGCCTCCGGTGCAGGCCACAAAGATAGTGGGAAGCAAAAGACCAACCAACGAATGGAAGGGAGGATGTGGGGAGGAGGGAAGAGAGAGTGGAAGAGAGGGAGGGAGGAAGAAAGAAAGAATGAGGGTGATGTGGAGGAGGAGGAGACACGGAGAGAGGCAAATGAAGGCCAGTTAGTAGTACTTGTTCTTAATTATTCTTGGCCTCTCAGGGTCTTTTTTTGAAACGAATGGGGGGCTCCGCTTCCGCCTGCTGGCTGGCTCGATTTGTGGCGTTGGTGTCCCCCCCCCCCCGTGGCTGGTGGGCGGTCGCCGCATGCAGCCAGACTCAGCCCGGCCTCATTATTATTCCCGGATATTGACCTCACCACATGGTTCTCTGCAGCCTATGATAGCAACCCTTGGATTTTAATCCCCAGTTCTTCTGTCCCGATCTTGATCTCTGCTCTTGTCCAATTCTTTTGTTGTCTGTCGGTGTCAGCGCCGCTGTCACTTTTTGGAAATGAAGCACATGCGCCGTCTCGTCCCTCCCACTCGGGCTCTTCGCCAAATCCTCCTCACTCCTCAACCTGCCTTTCGTCCTCAATTCTTCCAACTCACTCCCCGCATCAATGAAATCCCCACTCGATCCTACAGCCCGACTACTCCTCTCCTCAAATTCCGCACAAGAGCTACCCCTCGTGCCCTGCCGCAATACATCCTCGACGAAGAGATCGGAGCGCTATATGTCCAAATCGTGAACGAAAACAACAGCCTTGACCCCCCTGTCAGTCTTCGAGATGCGCTGCGACAAATCGACCGTTCAAGTCAAACATTGCAGCAGGTGTCACCGGGTAGTGGGGATGGAGTGCCGATTTGCAAGGTTGTAAACAAGTTTGAGCTTCGGGAATTCGCAAAAGCAAAGGCGAAACCTGTCAAGGATGGTCTTAAACAGCTAGAACTGAATTGGGCCATTGATGCTCATGATCTGGCACATCGCTTGAAGCAACTCACAACTTTTCTGGAGAAGGGTCGGAAGGTGGAGCTAATTTTGACGAGAAAGAAGCACAAGCGATCTCCTACTGTGGAGGAGGTCAAGAATCTCATGGACCGGGTCATGGAGACGGTTCGGGAGGCCAAAGCCTTGCCGGTCAGACCCATGGAAGGAGAGCCGGGCAAGCATGTGGTGCTGGTGGTGAAGAAGGATGTTTGAGAGGATAAGGAAACATGATGAGTTGATGGAGTTTATTTAGTATGTATACTATTAACGGCCTTGAGTGGTATTGGTTCTGTACATATAACGGACCACTCTCTATCATCGGTGCTTGGAAATGCCTTATCAAGCTTCTTTTCCATCACTATTGACATGATGTGTCTTATACCCGACAAAACGAAGGTGGCATTATGAGCATGTCGGGTGTCGTGTGATATACTGTACCTTGTATTGCAGCTCTAGCTGTCAGGTCGGGATATGGGGCACATGAAGCGAAGCTATACTACCGGTATCGCGGAAGCTCGGGGGCACGAAGCGTGCATAACCTCGTTATATAAAACAGAGAGATATATATCAGTACAATCAAAAAAGGGAAAAAAAAGAAAAAGAAATCAAAACTACATGTAATCAAATAGCCCGCCTTTTGAGTTGTTCTATGCCTGTACCTGGTATACTACGCCATCTCCAACCTTCCAGGTTATTCGTCCCTGGCGACTCCGCAATACTGCAATTGTGATTGGCTGAAGGCTGAGTCAGCGCCTCCCTAAATTTTTCCGGGCTCAACAAGAAGCGCTGCTCGAACTTCCCGGCCGTTCAGCTCGTCTTCTTCCTGTTCCCATTCCTGTCCGGTTGTGTTTCCATCGCAGGGTAGCCATCATGTCCAGCCTCGCCAGATCTGCCAACCTCCTTTTCCGCTCTAGCAGGGCCTCCCTGCTGCGCCCCCGCGCTGTCAACCCCATCCAGCATGTCTTCCTCGGCGACAAGCTGGCTGCCCGTGGTATGGCAACCGCTTTCGAGCGTACCAAGCCTCACGTCAACATCGGTAGGTTGCCATCTTCATCTCTTAATGATCCATCAATGCAATTACTCATCGCTATTCTATAGGTACCATTGGTCACGTTGATCACGGCAAGGTTAGACCACAATTCCCTCCTCCCCCCTCGCTGCGTTGATGTTTTCCCCGATATGGTCCGAAAACTTCTCACACGTTTCCTCTAGACCACCTTGACCGCTGCCATCACCAAGCACCAGGCCTCCAAGGGTCTCGCTCAGTTCCTCGAGTATGGTGCCATTGACAAGGCTCCTGAGGAGCGTAAGCGTGGTATCACCATCTCCTCTGCCCACATCGAGTACGCCACCGATGCTCGTCACTACTCCCACGTCGACTGCCCCGGTCACGCCGATTACATTAAGAACATGATCACTGGTGCCGCCAACATGGACGGTGCTATCATTGTCGTCGCCGCCTCCGACGGTCAGATGTACGCAGAAACCTCAAGAATAACCCCATTCAGTATATATGCTTACACTGGCGATCAACAGGCCCCAGACTCGTGAGCACTTGCTGCTTGCTCGTCAGGTCGGTGTCCAGAAGATCGTTGTCTTCGTCAACAAGGTCGATGCCATCGATGACCCCGAGATGCTGGAGCTCGTTGAGCTGGAAATGCGCGAGCTTCTTAGCACCTACGGATTCGAGGGTGAGGAGACCCCCATCGTCTTCGGCTCTGCTCTCTGCGCCATTGAGGACCGCCGCCCCGACATCGGTACCGAGCGTATCGACGCTCTCCTCGAGGCCGTTGACACCTGGATCCCCACTCCCCAGCGTGACCTTGACAAGCCTTTCTTGATGTCCATTGAGGAAGTTTTCTCCATCCCCGGTCGTGGTACCGTCGCCTCCGGCCGTGTCGAGCGTGGTCTCCTGAAGCGTGATAGCGAGGTTGAGATCATCGGTACCACCAACGAGGTCATCAAGACCAAGGTTACCGACATTGAGACCTTCAAGAAGTCCTGCTCCGAGTCCCGCGCTGGTGACAACTCCGGTCTCCTGCTCCGTGGTGTCCGCCGTGAGGATCTCCGCCGTGGTATGGTCATTGCCGCTCCTGGCAGCGCCAAGGCCAACAGCAAGTTCATGGTCTCCATGTACGTCCTGACCGAGGCTGAGGGTGGTCGCCGTACCGGTTTCGGTGTCCAGTACCGTCCCCAGCTGTTCATCCGCACTGCCGGTAAGTGAAATCGTATTCTATTCCACTACTAAAGAACATCCTCTAATTTTGGCTGCTACAGATGAGGCTGCTGAGTTCAGCTTCCCCGACGGAGACCAGTCCCGCCGTATCATGCCCGGTGACAACGTCGAGATGATCGTCAAGACCCACCGCCCCGTCGCCGCCGAGGCCGGTCAGCGCTTCAACATCCGTGAGGGTGGTCGCACTGTCGCCACTGGTCTGGTCACTCGTGTCCTGGAAGAGTAAATAGCGAACCCACCGAGGTTCGTGTAGCAGGCCCGGACAACTGGCTGCTGTGTACTATGGGAAAAAACGAAGCGAAAACAAAACTTGGACAGGGAATCGTTCATAATGTTTAAACACCATCTTGCAGCGCGGGCATCAGCGGGAGCATCCGGGACTGATACGCCAGGGTGGTGGATTGCACCGGAGTTCTTTGAGTCATATCCATGTATCTGTATTTGTATTGAAATGTCTGTAGACTTTTTTTGTATCTCTTCTCCTCTCTTCTCACTTCTCGGTATGTCGTTGAATATGATCGAATGATTTACTCGAATGTCATCACTGCAAGGTCTTTTGTATACTTATTGTATTCCATAACTGGGGTAGATCAAGACAGATGATCCGATCTATCTACACTACAAACTATTTTCCCCGATCCGGTTGCCCAGATCACGGACTCTCACTAACCCAAAGCGGTTTAAGGCGGGATCAGACGATCGCGGCCTGGAGGCTCAGGCGACCAGCAGACTGGCTGGCAACTGCAACGGGGGATCAACTCCTGAGGCTGGCCAGAGTGACCACCGCCCGGACTAGAAGCCCTCCTGCCCTCCTTCCTGCCCGGCTTCTTCCAGCTCTCCTACTCTCACACTCGCTTTCCACCAGACCTCGGTGTGGATCCCATTGTCGTCTTGTGATTGCCCGTCTCCCATGGTGATCCTCTCTTGACCTCATCCGTCTCGACTCTTCTCCTTCTCCCCTTACCTTTACATCCCGCACCTACTTGCCCCTACCCTTTTACTTTCGCCACGCTCTCCGCATCTGACGTTGTTCCAGCGGCGCTCCCCGTCGTTGTCTCATCCCACCCCCGGAAAACAGAACAACTATCCCATATCCCATACTCATTCACCAGCACGAAACCTGCGCTTTAAGACTACTCTGCGGCAGCAGTGCAACTGACGTCTTCCGTCATGGCAACCAATGGCCACTTTGCCGCCATTGGCAACGGCAGCAGCGACAAGACAGCATATGAACACGGGGTGCAGGTCATCGACGAAAACAAGGAGTTCAAGTAGGTCCTTTCCTCATGTCTATGAGTTCCAATACGACGGTCGTTGTCTGTGACGTCTGGGTTAAGTCTCAGGGTGTTAATTCAGAATGCGACTCTCCGTCATCCGCATCACCTGTTCAGGGGGTCCTTGAGCGGCGCATCAGCTAACAACAACTACTCCAGTGCGAATCTGTCCAAGTATCTCACTCTAGAAGATGTCACACCAGCCGGCTTCAATTATCACCTCATATCCGTCTTCGGCTCCCAGTCGACGGGAAAGTCGACCCTGCTCAATCATCTTTTCGGCACCCAGTTCTCCGTGATGTCCGAGTTGGAACGCCGTCAAACTACCAAGGGTATCTGGATGTCCAAAAATAAGAATGGTGGCGACGGATCAATGTCCGACAACATCTTGGTCATGGATGTTGAGGGTACCGATGGTCGCGAGCGTGGAGAGGACCAGGACTTTGAGCGCAAGAGCGCACTGTTTGCGCTTGCGACGAGTGAAGTCCTCATTGTCAATATCTGGGAGCATCAGGTTGGATTGTATCAGGGTGCCAACATGGGCTTGTTGAAGACCGTTTTTGAAGTCAACATGCAGCTGTTCCTGAAAGATAGGGCGTACGTTTCGCGGATTGTTCTACGTATTGCTCGTGCTTCATGCTGACCCTTAACCTATAGTACCAGTCACCGTTCTCTACTCTTCTTCGTCATTCGTGACTTTGTCGGCAACACGCCTCTCCAGAATCTGCAGCGGACACTGATGGAGGATATGTCGCGCCTATGGGACTCTATCTCTAAGCCTGCCGGTTTGGAACATTCTTCTGTCCATGATTACTTCGACTTCCAATTCTACGGCCTTCCCCACAAAAGCTACCAGCCAGAGCAGTTTGTTGCGGAGACAAAGAAGCTGAGTCTCCGTTTCCGTGAAGGACAGAAGGACCCCAGTTTGGATGCGCGCAAGGGCGAGTTTTCCGATGGAGGCGTCTTCCTCCCCGAGTACCACCGTCGCATTCCCGCGGATGGCTTTTCTCACTATGCGGAGGGAATCTGGGACCAAATCGTGAACAACAAGGATCTTGACCTCCCTACTCAGCAGGAACTGCTTGCACAGTTCCGCTGTGACGAAATTTTGCGGGAGGTTATGGTTGCATTTGACGATGCGATCGTTCCCTTTGAGGATAAGCAGTCGCAGGCGGCTCGCCTTGGGGAACCGGAGATCCTTGGTGGCTTGGGAGCAGCGATGCGGGCCTCGCGGTCCAAGGCCTTCAAGAGCTTCGAAACGGAAGCTAGTCGCTATCACAAGGGAGTCTACCAGCGCAAACGTACCGAGCTCGAGAGCAAAATCGATACCCGTTTGAAGGCTCTTTTCCAGGGCCAGCTGGATGCAACCCACAAGTCTGGTATCACCGAGTTCAGCGACGCTGTGTCGGGTGCTGTCAAGGCCGGCCAAAAGAAGGGTACCGGTTATGACTTCGCCGAAATTGTGAACGAGGAAGTGACCAAGGCCGTACAGAAGTTCAAGGAGGTTGCGCACGAAACTGCCGTCGAGGGTGCCGCCTGGAGTGACTCTCAGCAGCAACTGGCGTTGTATGAGAAGGAGCTGGCGGAAGTGAGCGCACGCCTGCGTCGTGAGGAGATGCGACGACTGGCCAGCCGGGTCGAGCGTTGGGTGCAGTCCCGCCTGGGCGAGTCCGTTGGTCTCGAGTTCAATGCCCTTGGGTCCGGACGGGCCGGGGGTGGCGCTCCGGAGGAGGGGGAAAAGCCTACGGAGAAGAAATTCTGGGACCGGGTATGGAATGTGTTCGTGGAGACCGTGCTGGATGCGGAGCGCAGATTCACCGATCGCGCCAGTAGCTTCGATGCCAGCCTAGAGGAGGTGGATGTTGGCCTGTGGCGGTTGCGCCGTAAGTCTTGGGGTGTTTTGCGTGCGAAGATTGACGAAGAAATGGTCGAGGGCAATCTGCTACTGAAGTTGCGCGAGAACTTTGAAGACAAGTTCCGTTACGATGACGCCGGTGTGCCCCGAATCTGGCGGCCAACCGATGACATTGAGGGCATCTACACGCGGGCGCGCGAGTCAACATTAACCCTGATTCCCCTTCTATCACGTTTCCGACTGGCGGAGACGTCTGCACCGCCGCCACTGGATCGCTGGGTTGGGCACACGCCCAGCTCTGCGACTGCGGCCGATGAGGAGGACCTGCCGCCGATTGGCGGAGTTGACGAAGAGGAGGGCAAGAGCTTGGAAGAGGAGATGACAATTCTTAGCGAGTCTAAGCGACAGGAGCTGACGGTGCGGTTCAAGAAGGCTGCGGATGGAGTGTATGTGGAGGCCAAGCGCAGCGCCATTGGCGGCATGACGCAGGTGCCCCTGTACTTTTATGGTATTCTTCTGGCGCTTGGTTGGAACGAGATCGTTGCTGGTAAGCTTGGCTCTATGAATTTCGAATTGTGGATTGATCATGACTAACTGTGCGTAGTTCTCCGTAACCCCGCCTACTTCTTCCTCTTGTTTGTGTGCCTTGTTGCCGGGTACGTGACGTACCAGCTCAATCTGTGGGGACCGATCATGAAGATGACGGAGGCTGCGTCGAACCAGGCGCTCGTGGAGGGCAAGAAGCGACTGCGCGAGTTTCTCGAGTCTTCGGATACGGGACGACAGGCGATTGCGATGTCGACGGCCGGCGGTGCTGGCCGGGGGGAGCAGGTGGAGATGTCGCGCCTCAACAAGCAGGGAAAGACGACGCCCGAGGATGAGGATGGTGACTTGTAAGAAAGATAGATGGGGTTATTTATCACTTGTATTCAAATGTATTCTTCTTTTATAGATACTGCATCCAAATGCACCGTTTAGCATAGCATCCCGCATTCCATCTGATTCCCATACTATCATGCCATTGCCGTTGCGGATATTAATTAACATCTCCGCGTTATCTCGCCATCCTGCTATCTCTCAATCTTCGTTATCACGCGTTCCTGCAGGCGCACCTCCGATGGCACTGCAGCCGGACTCCCCGCGGCGCCGGCACTACGAAAGGCTAAAGTGTCTTAGTCTAGCCTGCAATGTGCTCGCCTCCATCAGCATCTCATCCATTTACCTTCTGACGATGTCATCTGCAGGCTCCACCCCGTCCGGCTGCCCCGACGCTCTCCGACGGTGCACAACAATCAATTCTGCAGTCACGCTCAGGATTCGTCTCTGCCGCACTCCTCATGCCGTGCCTGGTTTAATCTATGCATTGGAGTAAGGTAGTATCGCCTAGCAGGAGCGGAGTTCCTGCTGTGCTCACGCCATGGCGCCGGCGCAGACATAAATCGCTCGCTTTCCTCCGGCGCTGGCCGTTCTCTCGTGCCAGTTCGTCTATTGTGGTCGTAGGATCCTCTGTTCCCCTCGACAGCTCACAATGCGTGCCTTCTCCGCTGTCGCTGCTGCGGCCCTGGCGCTCTCTTGGGCGTCTCTGGCTCAGGCTGCTCGTCCCCGTCTTGTGCCCAAGCCTGTCTCTCGGCCAGCCTCGAGTAAATCGGCTGCGACCACGGGCGAGGCTTACTTTGAGCAGCTGCTGGACCATCATAATCCGGAGAAGGGAACCTTTTCCCAGAGGTACTGGTGGAGTACTGAATACTGGGGTGGTCCTGGGTCACCGGTGCGTCTCTAGCATTTGGTCGTATGACCGGCCATATTGGAATCTAGCCGTTGGCAACGTCCGTGATCATGAGGAACATTGCTGATTAGACTAGGTTGTCCTCTTTACTCCTGGAGAGGTCTCTGCCGATGGCTATGAGGGGTATCTCACCAATGAGACCCTCACCGGTGTCTATGCGCAGGAGATCCAGGGTGCCGTCATTCTCATTGAGCGTGAGTGTCACCGCTACCATGGAGGAAACATAGCTGATTGATCTCGATCTAGACCGCTACTGGGGCGATTCTTCGCCTTATGAGGTGCTCAACGCTGAAACTCTTCAGTACCTCACACTGGACCAAGCCATTCTGGACATGACCTACTTCGCCGAGACGGTGAAGCTGCAATTCGATAACAGCACCCGCAGCAATGCGCAGAATGCTGTATGTAACCTTCACCGCTCTGTGTTTCTGATAGGTGCTGACGATCTAGCCCTGGGTCATGGTCGGTGGATCATACAGTGGTGCCTTGACGGCTTGGACCGAATCTGTCGCGCCTGGAACGTTCTGGGCTTACCATGCCACTAGTGCCCCTGTGGAGGCTATCTACGACTTTGTAGGTGTAACCTGCTTTTGTTGTCTCTACTCGCAGCTAACCAGGTCAGTGGCAATACTTCTACCCCATCCAGCAAGGTATGGCACAGAACTGCAGCAAGGACGTGTCCCTGGTAGCCGAGTATGTCGACAAGGTTGGAAAGAACGGAACTGCCAAGGAGCAGCAGGCGCTCAAGGAATTGTTTGGTCTGGGAGCTGTTGAGCATTTCGATGACTTTGCCGCGTGAGTACTTCCATGTCCATGGGAGAAGCCACTCTGACAGCAACAGTGTCCTCCCCAACGGACCGTACCTCTGGCAAGACAACGACTTTGCCACAGGATACTCTTCCTTCTTCCAGTTCTGCGACGCCGTCGAGGTAAGTTACCAAAAGCATTTTTCTTCAGTAAATCACTATACTAACGAAAGCAGGGTGTTGAAGCCGGCGCGGCAGTAACCCCTGGCCCCGAGGGTGTCGGCCTCGAAAAGGCCCTGGCCAACTACGCAAACTGGTTCAATTCAACCATTCTCCCTGATTGTATTCCACCACCCCTTGTCTCATCCCTCTCTATCTTCAAGTCTAACCCAGTGGCAGACTGCGCAAGCTACGGCTACTGGACCGACGAATGGAGCGTCGCCTGCTTCGACAGCTACAACGCCTCGAGCCCCATCTACACCGATACCTCCGTCGGCAATCCCGTCGACCGCCAATGGGAATGGTTCCTCTGCAACGAGCCTTTCTTCTACTGGCAGGAGTGCGTACCCCTTACCTCATTTCATGATAACGCACGAACAACCCACTAACGAGAATCCAGCGGTGCTCCCGAGGGTACCTCCACCATTGTGCCCCGGCTCGTCAGCGCCTCCTACTGGCAACGGCAATGCCCGCTCTACTTCCCCGAAACGAACGGCTACACGTACGGCAGCGCGAAGGGTAAGAACGCCGCCACGGTGAACAGCTGGACCGGTGGATGGGACATGACCCGCAACACGACGCGGTTGATCTGGACGAATGGGTAGGTCTCCTAGATCCCATAAAAGAAATCGATGAAGCCAATGCTAATGAACCGGTCAAGGCAATACGACCCCTGGCGCGACTCGGGTGTGTCGAGCACTTTCCGGCCTGGTGGACCGCTGGCGAGCACTTCGAATGAGCCAGTGCAGATTATCCCGGGCGGATTCCATTGCTCGGATTTGTATATGGCGGATTATTATGCGAATGAGGGGGTTAAAAAGGTGGTGGATAATGAGGTGAAGCAGATCAAGGAGTGGGTGGAGGAGTATTATGCCTGAAGATAGGACCGGTGGTTGATGGTAAATACTTTTATGGACTGTACATAAGGAATGTGTTATGGGACATGATGATGGTAGGTATGGTCATGCCTACGATGAGATAGTAGTCGTTGGCGTCTTGTACCAATGAAAACATTATGCATGTGGGAAATGGGGACGTTGCTCACTAGTATATATACCGATTGTCGGGACATATAGTGCCAGTGTGTATACACCCGGTTCATCAGACCTTCTGTTACGTGGCTTTTACCTATAGACTCTGCCCAGTCTTCCTGTCTTAGGGTACCCAGATAATGACCAAACCCTCCACTCGCCTAAAAGACTAGCTTAAGGTCAATTCATAGTAGCCTGAGACGGTCATTATCAGCTGTGTGGTTATAGATGATACTTACTAGTTGTAGACAACTATGTGTAATCACTGACCGTTAACACCAGATATATATAACGTCTATCCGACTCGGTCACCCATATAATATTAAATGAAAGATGTCTTCTTCAACAAAAGATATACATACTAATAGAGATCTGTGGAGGCTAAGACAAAGTACCATACAAATTGTAAAGATAATAGATGATATGATCAATATCATTCCGCTTGTTGAAAGAACATTGAATGTAATAAATATATAAGTATATCAATAGCTAATATAATATCTGACTTGTGTGAACCTGAAAAGAATGTTCTTTTGTATGGTACTCCAGGAGGTGACCGGATAGCCTAGCAGTTTTAATCCGGAGGATTCATTGCCTGAAGAAGCGCACCAGACCGAATCCAAGAGAATCCTAGGAATCGATCTGATACATTTCTACCGCAATGGGTATGACGTAGGGGAAGGCAAGCATCCACTGTCCATACTCACATGACTGTAAACCGTTGCAGATCCCTCCAGATCTGCCGACAGCATTATCCGGATACTGAAGTCCTGAACTCCTGTTTTAACTAGTGCTCGGCCTCTGCGAAGTTTAACATCCGATAGTCACGACGATCCGGGCCGTGCCAGCCTGAGGCAGTCAATGCACAGTCAGCGGAGATACTTAGTCAGCGCTGTTAAGCAGGCAGAGACTCCGCTATCCGCTCAATTCGGAAGCCGGACCCCCTGGATTTGTATCTCATCCACAATCCACTTGTGGATCAACGTGGCTGATCGGGTTCCCTGAAGACACAGATCCGCTGACACATCCCACAATGGCCCACGTTCATTGGTGGGCGTGCTTCAGGCACCCTCAACGGCATCTATTCTTGCGAGATCCGATGGCCAGCTAGTAGGCTGGATCCCTGCTCCACAACTCTACCGGTCCATACCAATATCCGCATCCGAGTATACGCACAGCCTAGATCGACTTAGCATGATGTATACTCAAGCTCTGTATCTTGAACCATGGAAGCCACATCGGCCCCCCTGGGGACCGATATACCGGCCAGGGGAATGCGAGGTTGTCATATATATGACTGGGGCGTGAGCACGGTTTTCCTTTTAGAACAACAACGAGAAAAATCATCGCATCCCTCTTTATTCCTCCGTGATCGCTGCCGTTTGACAGCTGGCTAGCGTCTACGACATGGCTCCCGATCAGACCGGGCCCTGGTCCCAGGACGAGGACCACCTATTACGACAAAACACACCTAACACACTTCATACGCATAATGAAGAAGACCCATCCCACCCCTCTGTGGCCCTCATTGGTCCCGAGGAGAGACAGAATCTAGTTCGGATTGCGACTCATGAGTCCATGAGACGGCGTTCCAGCGTCTATACCCAGCATACAGCCGTCTCTGGTCGTCCAGATACTATGGGCACGATCCGAGAGGACGACCCCTGTCTTGACCCCCAGACGGACAAGTTCGATCTCGGAAAGTGGCTCGCATATGGTCTCGGTGAGTTTCGTCGAGAGGGTGCTCTCGATCTTCGACCAGGCATCGTGTTCAAGAACCTTTCCATCTCAGGGACTGGCGCGGCCGTTCAATTCCAGGATACTGTCGCATCGACCTTCACTGCCCCTTTTCGCATTGGCGAGGCACTTCGGAATCGTCACTCCCCGCCCAAGCGGATTTTGAATGAGTTCAATGGTGTGTTGAAGAGTGGAGAGCTTCTTCTGGTGCTTGGTCGCCCAGGTGCGGGCTGCAGTACTTTCCTGAAGTCACTTTGTGGTGAGCTTGAGGGGTTGACTGTCAATGATGACAGCGTGATACATTACAATGGTAACGACACTTTTATTATCTACATGTGTTTCTACTGACATGATACAGGCATCCCTCAACATCAGATGATCAAGGAGTTCAAAGGTGAAGTGGTCTACAACCAAGAGGTATGTCTATGCTGTCGTGAGCTAGCATTACACGCACTAATTATGTTATAGGTGGACAAGCACTTCCCTCACCTCACCGTTGGCCAGACCCTCGAATTCGCCGCCGCTATGCGCACCCCACAGCGTCGTATCAAAGGGTTATCTCGAGACGAACACGCGAAGCATATCACTAAGGTAGTCATGGCTGTCTTCGGGCTGAGCCACACGTACAACACCAAGGTTGGAAATGAGTTTATCAGGGGTGTCTCAGGAGGAGAGCGCAAGCGTGTTAGCATTGCCGAGATGACTTTGGCCGCAGCACCTTTGGCGGCATGGGATAACTCGACCCGTGGTCTCGACTCGGCCACGGCGCTGAAATTCGTCGAGGCTCTGCGATTGATGGCTGATCTGACAGGCTCCGCTCATGCTGTTGCCATCTACCAAGCGAGCCAGAGCATCTATGACATCTTCGATAAGGTGTCAGTGCTCTACGAGGGCCGCCAAATCTATTTTGGACCTACTTCGGAGGCGAAAGCCTTCTTTGAGCGACAGGGCTGGGAGTGTCCCCCGAGACAAACCACAGGCGATTTTCTGACCTCTGTTACCAACCCCCAGGAACGCCGGCCACGTGCAGGCATGGAGAGCCGTGTTCCTCGCACTCCTGACGACTTTGAAGCCTATTGGCGTCAGTCACCCGAGTACCAGAAAACGCTTACCGAGGTTGCTTCGTATGAAAAAGAGCATCCTTTGCATGGCAACAACGTTACCGATACAGAGTTTCACGAGCGCAAGCGGGCTGTGCAGGCTAAACACACGCGACCCAAGTCGCCATTTCTGTTGAGCGTACCCATGCAGATTAAGTTGAACACGAAACGTGCTTATCAACGACTGTGGATGGATATCCAGACCACTGTATCAACGGTCTGTGGACAGATCATCATGGCCCTGATCATCGGCTCGGTTTACTACAACGCACCCAATGACACTGCTTCTTTCACTTCTAAAGGGGCGGCGCTCTTCTTCGCCGTCCTTCTAAATGCACTGGCAGCTATGTCTGAGATTAACACACTCTACGCCCAGCGACCGATTGTGGAAAAGCAAGCTTCCTATGCTTTCTACCATCCAGCAACAGAGGCTATTGCGGGTGTTGTGAGCGACATACCGGTAAAGTTCGCTCTCGCAGTCGCGTTCAACGTTATCCTTTACTTTATGGTCAATCTCCGACGCGAACCGGCCCAGTTCTTTATCTACTTCCTGATCTCCTTCATTGTTATGTTTGTCATGAGCGCGGTCTTCCGAACTATGGCGGCGGTCACGAAAACCATCTCCCAGGCCATGTCGCTGGCAGGAGTTTTGATCCTGGCTTTGGTCGTCTATACTGGATTTGTGCTGCCCGTTCCTTCAATGCATCCCTGGTTCGAATGGATTCATTACATCAGTATGTCTCATGTTCCTTTTGTCTCCTAGTTGACTCTTGCTGACTTGCTAGATCCGATCTACTACGCGTTTGAAATACTTGTCGCCAACGAGTTCCACGGTCGCGAATTTCCCTGCTCTTCATTCATTCCGTCATATGCTGACATGAATGGCTCTTCCTTCGTTTGTTCCACGTCCGGATCAACTGCCGGCGAGAAGCTCGTCAGTGGAGATCGTTACATCGCCGTCAATTTCAGGTACTACTACAGCCACGTGTGGCGCAACTTTGGGATACTGATTGCTTTTTTGATCGCATTCATGGCGATCTACTTTGCGGCTACGGAGCTGAACTCATCCACCACCAGCACAGCCGAGGTATTGGTCTTTCACCGCAGCCAGAAGCGCGCCTTGTCGCGTGCTACAGGCCCAAAGTCTGCTGATGTTGAGAATGGAGTTGAGCTGAGTACCATCAAGCCGACTGGCACGGGAAAATCAGAGAACCTCGGAGGACTCGCTCCGCAACAGGATATTTTTACCTGGCGCGATGTGTGTTATGATGTCGACATTAAGGGAGAGACCAGACGGCTTTTGGACCATGTGTCGGGCTGGGTCAAGCCTGGAACCCTCACTGCACTCATGGGCGTCAGTGGAGCAGGAAAGACAACCCTTCTTGATGTTCTCGCCCATCGGACTACCATGGGAGTGATAACTGGAGATATGTTTGTTAACGGTAAAGGACTGGATGCTAGCTTTCAGCGCAAAACCGGGTATGTTCAGCAACAAGATCTCCATCTTCAGACAGCCACTGTTCGGGAATCACTGCAGTTCAGTGCTCTGCTGCGCCAGCCGCCGAATGTCTCGCTCAAGGAAAAGTATGACTATGTTGAAGAAGTCATATCTATGTTGAAGATGGAGGAATTTGCTGAAGCAGTCGTCGGTGTTCCGGGAGAGGGCTTGAACGTTGAACAACGCAAGCTGCTAACCATCGGTGTGGAGTTGGCTGCACGACCAAAGCTTCTTCTCTTTTTGGACGAGCCCACAAGTGGTCTTGATTCTCAGAGTTCGTGGGCTATCTGCGCATTTCTGCGCCGCTTAGCCGATCATGGACAGGCGGTTCTCTGTACCATTCACCAGCCTAGCGCCGTTTTGTTCCAACAATTCGATCGGCTGTTATTCCTTGCCCGCGGCGGTAAGACTGTCTACTTCGGACCAGTGGGAGAGAACTCGCGCACACTTCTCGATTACTTTGAGAATCATGGCGCTCCACGCCCTTGCGGAGAGGACGAGAATCCGGCCGAGTACATGCTCGAGATGGTCAACAACGGCTCCAATGCTAAAGGAGAGAACTGGTTCGATGTATGGAAACAAAGCAGCGAGAGTCAAGATGTCCAAGCGGAGATCGATCGCATCCATGCCGAGAAGGAGAACGCACCTGTCGAAGAGGACTCCAAATGGAGCCATACTGAGTTTGCCATGCCATTCTGGTTCCAGTTGTACCAAGTCACCTACCGAGTATTCCAGCAATACTGGCGCATGCCCTCGTACGTGCTGGCGAAATGGGGCCTGGGCGTGTTTGGCGGCCTTTTCATCGGGTTCTCTTTCTACCACGCCAAATCCTCTCTCCAAGGATTACAGACGGTTATCTATTCGATTTTCATGCTGTGCTCTATCTTCCCCTCCCTTGTACAGCAGATCATGCCTCTCTTCATCACCCAACGGGACCTCTACGAAGTCCGTGAGCGTCCCAGCAAAGCATACAGTTGGAAAGCATTCCTAATGGCCAATATCATCGTCGAAATACCGTACCAAATCGTTCTCGGCATCATCGTCTTCGCCTGCTACTACTTCCCGGTAGTAGGCATCCAAAGCTCCGCCCGACAAGCCACCGTGCTCATCCTCTGCATTGAATTATTCATCTACACCAGTACCTTTGCGCACATGATAATCGCTGCAATGCCCGATACCGTCACAGCCAGTGCCGTCGTGACTCTCCTCTTCGCCATGTCCTTGACCTTTTGCGGTATCATGCAGTCGCCTTCCGCTCTCCCGGGCTTTTGGATCTTCATGTACCGCGCATCCCCGTTCACATACTGGGCGTCGGCCATGGTGTCTACACAAGTCTCAGGAAGGGAGGTGGTGTGTTCATCGTCGGAGCTGTCGGTTCTTGACCCCCCGACGGGTCAATCCTGCGGCGAGTATCTGGGACAGTATGCGGAGCTTGCTGGGGGGAATCTGCTGAACCCGAACGCTACGACAGGGTGTGAGTACTGCTCTGTGAGCACAGCGGATGCGTATATTAGTATGTCGGGCATTGTGGCGAGTGATAAGTGGAGGAACTTTGGGATCTTTTGGGTGTATGTTGTTGTGCAGATTGCAGCGGCGGCGGCGTTTTATTATTTGTTCCGGGTGAAGAAGTGGCGGAAGCAGTGATGCTTGCCATAGATTTTTCCTTGCTTCTTGATTTGATTTCTTCCTTTTTTTAACATTGTCTATATTTCGATTACCTGGGTGTCTATATAGGTGCATTTCTTGTTGATACATTTAGATTAGAGATACAGTCATAATAGATGTTAGAATTTTACGATCATGTCTCAAGTTACTCATTCTTTCCACCGGTTACGTGTCGAATATCTACACCAACAGGCTCCATCGTACAGAGAAACTGAAGAAGTTGACCCAACCTGCAAGGACTGACGCATGTCTCACATTGACCGCAGTGGCTGCCTCGTGAAGGTGGCGTCTGAACACCCGGGATGGCAGCCCCTTGCAGATACAATAGTTACTCATGGAATGAAGAGTCACGACGTGACCATAGTCCCTATAAGATATTCTACATGGGGAGGTATGAAACATGCCATGATGTCACTTGCTACATACCATGCCATGTATCACACCGACCTTTGTATGATACCCTCTTACCTTAACACATCCATGTATGTACACAGTACTAAGTAGTGATGTACAATCCGGGCTAAACATACATCACCTCAGAGTTAGTAACTAACCGATATAAAGATCATCAAGACACACATATACACGACCAACTGATCTTCTATACCCTCAACTCCCTTGCACCGGTATCATTCATGCGATCTACCCCACACACACACGCAAGGAGACCATCCCTAGCACGTAACAGTGTTCATTATATCATAAGCCCTGAAGAATTGAGGGTTGAGGGTTGAGGGTATAAATCACCTCACTTCCTCGTGGTAGCACGACACTTCGTCTCCTTCGTATTCTATCACTTCAAGATACTTACTACTTACTTATTCCTGTCACAATGAAGTTCTCCATCCTCTTCCCTATCGCAACTATTCTCTCGTTCGCCGCGGCACAGAGTATCCCGGATTGTCTTGTATGTTGTTGTTGCTGGACATTGCCATGGAGATGGATGATAGGAAGTTTGGTGTAGAGTTGCTAACGATATCAGGGCAACTGCGTGGAGTCGAGCACAATCTGTGGCGATGGTGATCTTAACTGCTATTGCACCAATACCGGTTTCCAGCAGGGTGTGGTGGATTGTTTGAATAACAGTGGGTGTGGGGATGAGGTGCAGAGTATGTATTCCCCTTTGAAACTGGAGCATTCAGGTGGAAATGGCTGATGGATAGTTTGTGTAGCTGGCATCGATCTTCAGAATCAGCTCTGCGGTTGATTGAGTGAACAGTGCTTTGAGGGAGGTTAGGGACGATGGAGCAGGGTTTATGATGTGCATGACGTGACTGATCATTAACGATGAATCTTATCTATACTACTTATATTATCTATCCGTCTTAGGTGGTATCTATATATACATAACCCGAAATAAAGCAATGTAATCGCAGACGTGGATAGCAGGTATAATCTATTCCCACTCGGCCAGCAACTTCTCATCCAACCCCACATAGCCCTCGACAATCTTCATCCCTCTAACCCTCTCCTCTTCGATCATTTCCCACGTCCAATCCGATACCCCTTGTCCTGTAGCATGATCATCCTGATCCTTACTCAACACCTCCCCCACCCCCTCCACAATCCCCTCCACCGTCCCCTCTTCCTCCTCCTCAACCACCACTCCATCCTCACCCTCCCCATCATCAACACTCCTCTCCGGCAACATCCCACTCGCCCTCAACACCCTCTCCGGCGGCACAGTAACCCACCCCTTCTTCACCACATACTTACTCACCGCCGTAGCAAACACCTTCCCATTCGCCTTCCCCCGATTCTTCCCATTCCCCGAATTCATCCCCACAAAAGCAGACAACACATAAACCCACTTCCGATCCCACCCCACCACGCGACTCAACACACGATACCTCTGCAACGGCCCAATCTCCCTCTTGAAGCTAGTAAAGGTCGATCCCAGCGCGACATACACCTTCTTCCCCACATTGACCTTGGCATTCTCATCCTTCCCGTTCTTCAACTCGTGGTCGAATTCCAAGCTCACGAGCGCTAAACCCGGTGTATAGACTCTGGTCACGATGGCTGTGCGGGAGATGTCCAGATCGGAGAAATACGTGCTGTTGGATTTGTGGAAGTTGTAGTCGGTTTCCCAGAGGGAGGTGCGCGTGGTGAGTGTGTGCGGGTGGAAGATCGGGTGGGTTTGGATGTTCTTTTGGTTTTTGCTGCTTGGAGATGGGGGACAGGTTGGGAAGGGTGGGGAGGTCGGGGAGCGGCGGAGGTTGAGGAGGAGGTGGGTTAGAAGGCGGATCTATTAGTATTCATTATCTTTCGTTAGTATTTGGTATGTATGGGTGGGAGGGGGTATGGGATACATACGTGCCACGAGAAAGGAATGTTCTTGAGATTGAGTAATGCGAGGACAATGGCGAGGGATTTCCAGGAGAAGAGTGTGGGGAGGATGACTTCGCGGAGGGTGGAGAGGTCGGCCATGGTGATGTTGATTATTATTATGTATTATGGATTATGTAGATGTTGATGAATGTACAGTGGGAACGGGGATTCCCCGGACTCGGATATGGAGAAGAAGATGAGAACAGGAAGGGATCCTGCCTAAATTTAAAAGGAGACTGAATCAAGGAGAGAGTTGTTTGTAAAGAAGTAAGCCGGAGACTCAATCTTGGGGCGATCTCGGAAAAACTACCTCGGTACTTGGTACCTCCGTCGGAGTTATCTTATCGCAGGTGATTAGCCCTTGTTTCCTTTGGAAAGTCTATTACTGAAGTGTAGAGGTTATTGAATGTTATATCTTGAGTAATTTCTAGTAATACATTCCTTTAAATGTCATATTGCCTTTGGTTATCTAGATTTGTCGCAGTGAGAGCCTACATCTGAATTACCCGAATCGGTATAGTGTTGATTAGCTGCCTCGTGGATATATACACTTTTTGAACATCATATTCCTGCTGAAGTATGATATTCGTGAGATATCACTTCTTTTTCAAATTATATCTTGTATCACCGAATTAGAAGAGCTCTGTAATTGATTTACAGCAGATGTCTGCCTCTACCACTATGCACAACACTATACAACTTGCCCCAGCCAACTAAGCGCTAACGAGCTAGTGAATGAGACTAAATGCATGAACGAGCAGACCAATCAATGCAATCCTCCAACTGCCGACAGGTAAGCGCTAGCTCAATATAAGTGAATGAAAGGACTATAAAAAATCTCTACAATAACGCCATGACCCTCCTAATTTAAACATCAAATATCCTTCTCCTCCTACAAATACCAATCAACAGAATACAGCAGATCATACTCTCCTACTTGATACTATATCTACATCAACACCATGGCAACCCCCCAAGACCGCCACCCCGAGCTCTTCCGCCCCGTGAACAGCGAATCCCCACGAGGCAAGCAGCGCACAATTCCACTCGAAGTCCTCTGCCTAGGATTCAACCGCACCGGCACAGCCTGTAAGTACCTAGTTGTACTATACACCCCAAAATCAAGATCCCACCCCATAATCACCAAAAGCAAACCCATACTAAGAGAAGGAATAATAGCAATGTGCTCCGCCCTCGAAACCCTGTCGCTCCCCTGCTGGCACTCCATCCACCTAATGTCCGACAAATTCGGCACCATCCCCATGTGGCAAGAAGCCATCGACCGAAAGTTCTTCAACGCACCAGGTCCCCTCTACGGTCGAACCGAGTTCGATCAACTGCTCCACGACTACGCCGCCATATCCTCCGATACCCCGGCCATTGCCTTCTCCGAGGAGTTGCTCAACGCATACCCGGAGGCCAAAGTAGTCCTGGTAGAGAGAGACATCGACTCGTGGTACCAGAGCTGGATGAACGGCGTGATTGCCAATACGTATGATCCCGTCGTGACCATCATATATACCATTGATCGGTGGTTCACGCACCCGTTGGGGAAGGTGCATAAGTCGACGTTTGAGGGGTGGTTGGGGATTAAGGGACCCGAGGATGCGAAGCGTGTCAGTCGGGAAAAGTATAAGGAGCATTATGAGTTGGTGAGACGGTTGACGCCGCCTGAGAGGTTGTTGGAGTTCAGGTTAAGTGAGGGGTGGGAGCCGTTGTGTGAGTTTTTGGGCAAGCCCGTTCCTGAGGTGCCGTTTCCGCATTTGAATGAGAAGAAGTGGTTGGATGAGAAGGTGAAGATTGTGATGTGGAGGGGGATGGTGAGGTTGGGGTGGAGGATTGGGTTGTGGGTGTTGGGGCCGGTGGTGGTGGCGGCGTTGGTATATAGGGCTATGGGGGTGTAGTGGTTTTAACTACTAGGCTGTGGTGTTGAATGCTATATTTGTATTGAGTAGTTCACTAATGGGGGAAGCTTTTGACACAATTAACCCGAAGAGAAAACAATACAAAGGAACTTGAGTAACCCCAAAGCCAAGAGAACGTATTCTCCACGTGCAGTTTGTGTGATCACTATCTGAGCAGATGCTGTTACTGTGGCCCAGACGAACCATGACAATACTGTATACTCTGTCTGATTCTATAATCCAATTATGCTCAACATACACCGAATACAGACCAAACGAGCACTCCATTCCCACTCAACACCCAGCCCCAAAAACCACCAACCTAACTTCCAACGATCTACCTAAAAGATAGCCATACAATTCGGCGGACTCGACACCCCCGTCTTACAATTCAACGGACTCGAACTAACAAAAAACGTCCACCTGCCCAACCTCTCACAAACCTCCTTCAACCCCTCCAGATCAAACATCTCCCCAATTGGCACTCCCCACCCAGCAAGCAAAAAGTGATGTAAATCCCACTCCTTCTCTACCGGCGGATACACCTCAAAGCTGACCGCATCGCCCGCCACAGCCGCGAAATGTTGGTCCCAGAGGAACCGCACCACGCGCTCACTCTGCTCTAATCCTGCATGCTGAGGCATTTCCTGTTGACTGTACTTGACCTTCTCGTCATCGGTCATGTTATCCCATGTGGTGGGCAGGCCAACGCGCAGGAAGAGAATGTCGCCTGGCTGGAAGGTGATGTTGCATTCTTTCGCGATGGTGAGGACGTCGTCCAGGGAGACGGTGTGGCGGGTTAGGGCGTTTACTGTGATATCCTTGGTGCGCTGGATG